AAACAAACATGAAAACCAGTTGTTGAATACTACAAAATGTATTCTACACTAGATCCTTTGTTATTGATATGATTGACTTGAAGCTAAACAAATTTCCTACAAGACTGGCTGGAGTTGCCCCTAGGAATAGTCAGACTAACTGGATCCAATTTGTATACAAAGTTATATATGGTTAGCTCACCTACCCCTAGAGCAATTTAGATAGGGCTAGTCTAATAGATGTCAAATAAAAAAATATTTCTACCTTTTTTCTGCTATTTTTTTTTATCACTGAATTCTATCAATCGCAAAAGCTGATTAATTAAAAAAATTCGTACGTAAACGTGATAATGGATGGAAATTCGGATTAAAGGAAAGATAATTTTAAAAAAGAAAAAATTTTAAAGCTCTTCGAATTAGTTGATTTCAGTATGAATTTTTCATTTTTAATATCAAAGGTATTTAAATGATTAAAAAAATTTTCATTTTAATTTCAATTCTTCTTTAATTCCTACTGGTTTAATCTCTTAATCTGTATGATATTGATTGCAGTCATGTCAGCTTCTGTCAGTCAGTTTATTTTTGAAGATAAAAATATGCCAAGTATTACAAAAATGACTCTTTAGTAGGATTTTGTAGCATCACTGTTAGGAAAAGCAACAGTGTGATACAAGTTATCAATTCCTTTCATTTTAAACTATACATCTACTTGTATGTTATCTGTGCTATTGAGAAATAATTCGTGGATCTGATCATATCTAGACTCTCTTTCTCTCTCTCTAGATCTTCATCAACACTTCACTTTAGGTCTTGACTATGAGGTTTTCTCAATTCTGTTCGAATCTAAATTGATCTACTGAAACTGGTCTAAATTAAATGAGTTTCAATCCATTACAATCTCAAAGTTGTAATCTAAGTAATTTAAATTGTATATTTAAAAAAAAAAATTATATTTAATCTCATAAATCCTAACTCGAGTTGGCTGAGCTTATTTAGGCTAAGTAGGCCTAAATGTCTTTACTCCAAAAAAGGAAATTAAAATAGTAAAACTTACACACTTGGATTGTTATAAAGTTTTCATTTAATGATGATTAAGTTAATCAATGAACTCAATTATTTTTATTGATTTATTAAAGAAAATTAAAGAATATTAAAACTGTAAATAAAAATAATTATTCAATGATAAAACTCTGCTATTTTTAATATTCTATTTAATTAAGATATATCCTTTCAAACGAAATAAAAATGATTATAAAGACTCATTGTTTACTATTCCAATTAATCACCATCGATAGGAAGTAGGCGTATGCCGAGTATATGCAGAACGATTGAAATTATTTTCCCATTTCTTTATGAACTTTTTTATTCACTGGCTTTTATGATTTATCCCTCGATTTCTCTACCTTCCCTCCCAATCTTTTATTATTACCGCTATCTCCGGAAATTGACCGATGAGTACTCGAATGCGTCTATGTCATGTGCATTATTCCCTCAGTGATACTATCGCACATTGTAATTACCAATCGATATCACGAAAATACCACTTCGGCTAACAGTGAATCGTAATTGGATCTAAGAGTCCTACGTAATGATACATAAAATTACAATAAATGAACAGCTGTTACGTATAGTAATATTAAATTTAATATGAAACACACTTTAGAATAATTATTAAAGTTTGTAATGTGTTGGACTGTAATGTACTCAAGGAAATATTTCAAAATAAATAATAGAACTGATTCATCAACCTTTAATATTAACTATCAAACAATCATGATAAATAAAATACTCTTATTCTGATCACATCAATCATTTTTTTATTAATGAATATTAAATATAGCTATGTGACAATTTCTAGACAATAACAAGCTAATTGCATTGTTATTTTATCAGTAGAAAAGCCTAGTGTTCAGGAATTTGAGATTCAAGTACAACTAAAGCATTAAACAAAATTGAAATTCAAAATAAAGAGTTAGGTTTTGAAGGTTTTGATGATATTTCTAATTAAATTCTAAATAATTTAACTAGAAACTCATCATACTTTCTAAAATAGCAATTTTTGCTTTTAAATATAATGCACCAGACCAGATGTAATAAGGATATGATTTTAGAGCTGTGAAAGCAAAATAATGTGAGCACGTACAGTACGTACTCATATGTCAAATACAGTGACATTATCTAACTTTATCAGCTTCATAAACACTACGAATAGAGTATATTTCGATACAATAAATCCAATCTGACACAACAATCCTATTTTAACTAACACTTCTATTCTAAATTAGACCATTTCTAAAGTTACAAAGTCAATGAATAATTAGCATCAGATATAGATTCTTATTACCAATGTAATTACACGGAATTGAAAGTGGTATGGACTGTGTGCTGTAAATTCCATCTAATTAAAATTAAATTCCTTTTTTTGATCATGTAATATCAATGTTTAAATTAACTGTTAAGTTACATTTCTCATCACGAATTACTATATTTATAATTTTACGTTGATGCACTGCAATATTCTACACTTCATGTGCATTACTTGTAATATTTGTCTTACATCATTTGTGTAGCCAATAAAGGCTCTTTTTGAAGTTTAAAAGCTTAATAAAATAAAATTAGAATTAACATTTCAATGAAGAATCCAACGAAATAAACGAAAACAATGCTTGCTAGCTATCAACATCTAGGTATCTGAATGTGGCTAGCTGAATGCTGATGTCTTTGAACACATACGAAATCAATGCTATTTAATTAGCTGAGTTAATTACACATAAAAATGATCTGTTTTATCTACGAGCTATTCAATCGAATAAAAATAATTGTATATCGAAATTAAATCAACCATTTTGTTTCTAAAAGTCTCTTGTTGAAAGCTTGATAAATAATTCTAGATGTTTTTTGAAAAAATGTTTGCTCATAAACCAAGCTTTTGGTCACAGTATTTCAAGAACCACTCGACTGCTTATGATTATTTCAAGATCAATTGATACAATTTAAACTCACTTTAAATTGACAAAAATTCAGTGACAACTCTATCAGCTGATTAACTTGATTGGAGTTGTTGGTGAAAATTCAACTATTTTTTAGAACATCAAGTTTAAATTTAAATCAATTGAATTATATTGTGCTTTCAACTGGTTTTGAATATTTAAATAATTAAAGAAAAATAAGATGTTAAAAAAAAGTATAAAAACCAGACAACGTAAATTTTTCTTGAACGTTTCAAGTAAATGTTTTAGTAACAACTTTGAGATATTTTACGAGCAAGATAGAAGGTCAATATTCGAGATGTTTTTATTTTTAATTAATCAATAAAATTTAATGGATGCTTTATAACATCCTATTGATGTAGAGCATCAAGACAAAATTAGATTATTTTACTATTGAATGTTTTATGTAAAAAAAAATGAAGTTGAAAATGAAGTGAACTTTTTTTTAAAAAAATATTTTGAATAAATTATTTTTTAATTTTATAAAATATCGCTTTTTCTACAGCATTAAATAACTCTAAGGGATTATATTTTTTAAAAATAAGATAAAATAGACTAAAATAATTATATTATTTTTTTATATATAAAGAATCTGTGCTAGACATTTGAAAGAATGAAAAAAAAAAATGTAGTAAATATCAGAGTAAATTTTTTTGGATAATTTAATTTATTATTATCATTCCTTATTGTCTAGAATATTAAAAAACGATAAAGTGTATATTTTTAGTGATTTAAAAATGTTACATAACTTCATGAAATGAAGTTAAAGAAAATTTAAATCAATTTTTAATTAATTAAAAACTCTGATCCATTAAATTTATGTCAACTATTAATTGAAAAATTTATAAAGATGGAATAATTATGGATAAAATAATTATCCATTAACTAGAATTTCCAAGTTTTATAAATAAATATATAAAATTGAAAAATTATTTTTAAAATATATATTATCTATCAAAATTAGATATTCACTTTTCAATAAAATTTTTTTTACTAAATGAAAGTTTATTCCAACAAACCATAAAACATTTTGAAAGACAAAGAACGTTATAACATAATGAGAAAATGTTACCTTGATATTAAAAAATGTACTAGATTTCCCCTCTAGTATTTACCCTCTACACATCAACTATTGAAAAAAAGTAACACACTTTCACTGTTTTTTTCTCTTTCTTGTTACGATGTGATCATACTCATGGAAATGAATTCCAAGTGAAAGTGAAAGAAGTAACAGCATATAAATTTATAACTACTTCCATAGCACATGGGTTTTTATTTCATTCATTCATCTTTTTAATAGTGATTCTTTATTTTTAAATTAAAAATGGACAAATGCGTGAAATGATAAAAATGAAAAAGAAGCAATTTTTTAAAAGAAACCAACTTTTTCTGAAGTAGATCACAAGTGTTTCTCTCATCCTTTTTTGTACACTCTTAACCAACGCACTTGGCCTAGTTGCTAAAAGTTTTTTTTATGCTTTAGCAAAGAACTATTTTTGTGCATAAATCTATAGATAATTCCGTTGACTCTAACATTTTTTGAATTAAATGAAAAATTTCAAGCTGTCCAGTTCAAAATAATGATATATAATGATATATAAAAAATATAGAATTATATATTAAGTCTAATAATTATTTCGTATAATTATATCTGGTCATATATAGCGATATATAAATTATATGTAATACGAATAGTGAAATATAAAATTTATAAATGTGTTTTATATAAATGTATATCATTGTATAAAATTGTACATGTAATTTAAAATAATTTTGTACAACTTTAAATATTTATATATAATGATATATAATGAAATATAAAATCCAGCTTAAAATTATTTTTTAATTCTGAAACATCGTTCGATTATATATCATTATATTTATTATATATATTTATATTAAATTATATATAGACATATTTATTGCATAGAAAAGAAAGCGATCATCGTAAATATTCAGTTAATTTTTAATTACAAATATATATCATGACACTAATATAAAGAATTAAAAGAAAAATAAAATTCAACTTACGTGGTTAGCCAAATTTTGAAACCCATTTTAATGTAATGATTAATGATACAAATGAAGGTAGTCGTCCTGGTTGAGTTCCAGTCTTCCAAAAGCACTTTGATAATCGTAGGTTCAAATCTCACACAGTCAGACACAAGTAATATGATGACACTAATTTCTAGCATTAACAATTTATTCACAGTGTGTTCACAGTCACTCCAATTTGTCGACTGATTCAACTGATGAGTCTTTCTAAATTCTTAAGCTTTCTTATCTATATTCTTAACCCAGCAATTCGTAGAAATCCACCATAACAGACAAATGTAAACAAAGCAACCGATACGTTGTGTAAATTCTTGCACGATTATGTCATCATTATCGGACAAAGTGTTGCCGAAACGAAATTTAATCCACATTATTATCTCAATTTCCAAAAATTTATTCAAGGACTTCTTAGGACCTGATGGCCCATTTAAACAATAAAAATGTAAGTAATGAATTATTTTATAATTATTAAACAATACTAACAAAAAATTTTTTTATAATAATATGGCCATTGTCATATGTAATTAAATATATTTATATATCACTATGTCAGACTGAATTTTATATCTATAATCATTAAGAACTTGTTTATATATAATTCAATATGGTTATATATAATCATTTTTATCCAAGACAGCATCATAATTTTTCATCTAAGACTTATTTTATTTATGGATCAAAATTGATGGCTGGAATATTAAAAATAACGGTTAAATTAAGCCCTACAATATACCTTTATCGTTTAATGTGGTTTTTCTACCAACATGCTTTCATACTTTTCTTCTTCATCTTGCATACACTCCATTCCAGCTTTCTAACAAACGACGAGTCTAGTCAGGTATTGCAAGAATGCAGCAGTTGAGGATTCTATAGAATAACTTCGTCATATTAAATCTGCACAACGTAGCTCTAGATCGATCGACTATCTCATGTGTGCATTTAACAGAGTGTGTTTTAATTGATGCATTTGAAACATTTTCAAATGCAACTGAAATGGATTTAATCCTTGCCAAAATGACTCAAACTCTCTTTATTAATTGGTGCAATGACAGCAAAAATACTTCAATTGAGTAATCAATAGAAATATTTCCATTGACTTAGAAAGAAAAATATGTAAATTACAGTGAAAAACAGGTTCCTAGATGATTGGTTTAATCAGGAAAATTGATGCATTTAAATAACTACAGTCAGCACAGTGTCAACATGAATAAAGTTATTGGCTTTACTTCATTCGTAGTGATTCTCAATTATTATATAAATATTTCAATGTTGTTTCTATTGGGAATATCATTCATCTAAACCTTTGAACATGTTGGAAAAAACATTTTCATCCTCAATCGACAATTTTGAAGTCAATTAACATTTGATTGCATTGAATCTAAATGTTTTGATAAAATAAATAAGATGCATCAGTCTTGATGATAAGGAAGAAATAAGCCACCATTTCTTTTTTTTTCATATTGATGAATATGACATTTTTTGCTTCCTAGCTATTCCAACAATTTAGACATAAAACACAAATATCTCTAAATGATACCACATTTATGGAGTTTGCACGTTAATTAACAAATACTTGAGGATATTGGACTTCTGGTATTGACTGGTCAACCATCTACTCCATGTCATAGCAATCCTTGAATACTTGATGTCTGATGCACATGACTGAAATCATCGAAACTCTTGACAAGCAATAAATTGCAACATCTATAAAAAACAATTTGAAGAACTTATCTAATAAATGCTTGCTGGAAATAATACTTGGTACATTAAACTAATCTTGAATGATAAATGTATTTGCAAATAGAGAAGTTCTCTGTACTAAAACTTTGTGAATTATTTTTCTTAGATACTCTTTAGAAGTAAATTTTATTTCGTTGCAAACTAGGTAAAACAACTTCCATTTTACGTTCGAAAAGTTGAGTATAGCCGATTAAAAGAACGAAAAACTTTAAGATTTACAGATTACATAAATTGAAGTTTTTTTTTCCTTTGTCAATTTAATTATATTTAAGAAAGAAATATCTGTTGAAATAATTATTTAACTTGAATGAAGCTAGATCCAAGAGACATACAGACCAGTTTAAATGGAAACGAAAAAGATAGATACAATTATCTGAAAGCTAGAATAAGCTAAAGTTGGTGTATGGAGGACGTTGACCTATCACATGGTCACGAAAATAGGGATTATAGCGAATTGTTGAGTACAACGTTCCAATAATGGGGGGTGGATTTCACTCAGACGCAATGCACCATCTGGCAACAATCCAAAATACCAGTACTTTCCCCATCTCTCTTTGTCTTACGCTTTTTTTGCAACTCAAGATTATCGTTTTCATCATTCCTTTCAGCATAGCTGTTTTTCGCTAATTTTCAACTCCCTCTTATTTAAATATTTCCCTCTTTCTTACCCTCATCTTTTCTTATCCCTTAGGCTTTAAGTCTATGTTTTTATTTTTCATTATCTGAATAATTCCCGCTAGATTTTCATTTATTCACAAGAGGGTTGGTTTATGCTGTATGAAGTCAAACGGTTGAGAATTTTTTCATGAACAACTTTTTATAGATTAATGCGTTGGCTGAGAGTTTGTTATGGCATGAGTGCTTTTAAATGTGAATGATAAAATGGGAGAAAAAAAATACGAGAAAGTGATGCTGTGAGTGAAATTAATTGAGTTTGAAATAAGGTACATGTGGTAGATTTCACCTCTAACTTTAATGTGGTAGAAATTGATATAAATATTTCACTTGAGTTGTGAAGTTAATAAACTGGAAGACTTTTTTTTATTCTAACTACTTGACACACTAAATGCATTAATAATTCGAAAAAGAAACGTCTGAATGCAGGTGGTAATGACATATTGGTATCAGTGCTATCAGCAACCACTCCTAAGTAAAATAGCATCAAGACATTCTTAACTATTATCAGAGCTTTCTTAGACTGGTCAGAATGATACCATATGACAATATTTCATAAAAGTCTTGAAAAATTATCACATCAAAGAACTCTTCTAACACCCAATTCAATTATTTTTTTTATCATTCTTCTTCTAATTAATCTATCACCCTAATTCAACTGGTACCTAGATATCAATTCATCATCAATTATTAATTTTATTTGCTATTATTATAAGAAACAATAAACTATTGATTCGATTAATATAAAATGGTCATCAATTATATTCTATAACTGTTTTGATATTAATCAGTAATTATTTAATACTGCAATAAAATATTCAGAGAATCAAAATATCAAAAAGTGAGTAATCAATAACTTTGGTGAATACAATTTTTGGTATTCTATTGATGGATAATTTTATAATTTAATTTATTTCTAATTAATGTAATTGATAATTTGGCTTTTTCAATTATTTTATTATTGAACAATTATTAACAGGAATTAAAATGAATAAATTATTGTCAACTTTTTAATTGGTTGGTAAAAAAAAGTTTCTTCATTAGTAATGATGAATAAAATTGTAAATCAACATCAGCATGAGTATTTAAATAATTTTTACAGTCAATGATAGCTTTTTATTCAAATTATTAAGTACTTTATTAATGGATAATGTTTGAACTCAAATTTTTAAATGGTTAATTAAAAAAAAGAGTTCTTTGAAAATCTATCTGACATAAATAAACTTTGGCTATTAATTCAACACTCAATAGCTGTCTTGATAAAATGGATATGGTAATAGGAAAAATATGTACATCAGTCGAATGATTATTGACTATTCAACTCAACAAACAAATGAGATACATGATTCACTGGACTTCTACCAAAAAATATTGGAATTTATTCCTGACTGATAGTCCTCATCATTTTATGTAGTAACAACAAAAAGGATTAATTTTGGCTTAAAATGAAAACTGATCCAAAAAATTTAGAATTTGTCACGATCTCGTTGACAAAAGTGGAGGTCGTATCAGCACAATATCGATTACATTGCCATTTTAGTTAGACCAAAAGTAAATATTGGTTATTAAATTTTCAGCCTTTATATTTTTCCTCAAATAATAATTTTTTTACCACTTTCAATCATTTTTAAAAACCATCAGTTTTTTTTTAAACAAAAAACTTTTTTTTCTTTCTTATTTTTATATTTATTTAACAATATAAATATTTCCCTATTGAACGAGTTGAACAAAAAAAAATTTCATTTAATATTTTTTCTAGATAATAAAATAGATACTTCTATTCTTTATAAAAATAAAAAATTACCCAATTTAAACAAATAAATAGAATTTAATTATTTTTCATCTAGATAAAAATATTCCAATAACAAAAAAAAATCTTTTTGCATTCTTTTATTTGGAATTTTTATAACAATTTTTGTACGCAATTTATTAAAATTATAATTTATTTATTTAAATAAATAAAAACAATGATTTTTTAAAAATATTTTATATATTCAATTCATTTGAAATGATTAAACATGAAATGTTAAAAAATGATTAATAATAAATATATGAATATTATTAATATTTAAAAATTCTAAATATAAAATTCTTTTTTCAAGAATAAAATATAGCATTAGATAATTAATATAAAATTTTTTTTAAAGCAGATAAATATGCATCACATATTCACCTTTCTCCTTTATTTTTTGTCATCATGAATTTCGAGCTGGATGATGAAAATCAAGTTTTGCGAATCGTGTTAGGGGTAGATAAAACTCTCTCTGTAGGCGGGTATTTGACATCCGTCATGCCGCCGGGGTGGATCGTAGCTGAGGGTAAAGAGGTTGAAAGAGAATAGAAAAGAGAACGGAAGAAAAGAAGAGAAGGAATTAAATTGAATTTAAGAGTCAGCTTCAGAAAGATGATAATGGAATAGATAGACCTGAATTATAATTTTGTAAATTCACCATATTTTTTCTTTGAGTTATTAAAAAGAAAGTACTATTGATCTGTCAAAAAAAGAGCTTCTTTTTTTTTTTAGTACGCATTGAATATTTACCTTGACCGAGCCAAGCTCGAATATCTATTGAGGGTAGTTAGAGTGGTGCTGGTGGGGTAGCATTGTCCAAGACCTGACCTACTTCCAGGCCCAGCAACACATATTCTGCTTTCCTGCGGCTGGTTATCGGTTTACATAAACATTCCTAGTTGCTAGTATTTGTTAATATTTTTTCTTCTTTTCTTTTACCAAGATGTGAAATACATCAGTTACTTTTACTTTAAAATGTAATCCAGGTTCTCTTCTATCTCACCAGTATTCTAGTTCAAAATGATAAATTTCCTTTCATTTTATTTAATAGATGGGAAAAATATCTTGACTAATTTTCCCTCAATTATATTACAGATCAAATCTTCTTTAGCAAATTGATCTGAGAGGAGAAGTGATTGTTAAATTTCAACCTTATCGATTTTAGCAATCGGTTTAACCCTTTGGGTAAACTGTCGAACAAGTCTAGTAAATAGAAAGAAATATCTTCAGGGGAAAGGCGTACACGATTGGATGGTCATAGTTGATCAGAGGGTGCCAATCAAAAAATCAATCAAGTAGAAAAGGTTGATGCTCGCAAATCAATTGACATCTTCTGCTACTTCACATCAACCTTTTCTAGTTATATCGTCAAAAAAACAGATACATTTATTGAATCACTTCATCATCAAGTTCTTGATTATTTTTTTGCTTATTTGCAAATGAACAAAATGCCGAGAGAGTATGAAGAGAAGAATAGATGAAGAAGAAAAAAAAATGAAGAAAGGACAACTGAGTGTTGCCGCAAGCCAAAATTCTCCGCGTTACTAATTGCTACCATTGTATATATATGACTTTCAGAAAAAAGGCTACGTTTTTTTCTCCACTTCATTCACTCATGCGAACCACGAATTCTGCAATATCCGTGCTATATAGATACGCGTGAATACCATGTCACTCATATGGCAAATTTCCATCATAAATGTGAACATACCTGGGTTGCATAAAGCTAGGATTTAATGTTGGATTACAGTAGTTGTTTGTATATTCAATAGAGAAGTATTCATAAATTTCAGCATAGCTCTAGGATATTTTCAACATTATCAAGTCCAGAAAAAAAAAGGCATGATGAAAATAATGTTGGATAAATCTGAATCATTGTCCACTACACTGCAAATTTTCATATCAAATATTATCTAGACTATCAACTTGAAAGAGCTTCAAAAATATCACTAGAATAAAAATTATTCTTTGGACAAAGAGATTGTATTTCAGTAATTATTTAGTTGATCATTATTTTTTAGGTCATTGCTAAAAAGAAACTCAATTGAGAGGATCCCGTTGCCATGTCTCAATTATTATCAGATTATAGACCAAGCTAATAATGCATCAGGAAGCTGATTGTTATTTATTAATGAAGACACATGGTTTATATAAAACAAAGTCGTTTTACCAACTTTGTGAACTAATTAATTGATTCAAAAGCTAGGAAATGAAATTTAGTTGAGACTAATTACCTTAAAAATCATCAATTAATCAACATTGTACCTAAATAAATGGTATAGTAGCTACAAAATAGTGATAAATGAATGTAAAATATCTACATGAGCATCCTTTGTTTTAAAATCACCAGGATTCTCACTGTTTTACCTTCTTCACAATAAAATGTTTAATTAATAATTTCCTACTATTTCCTGTAATTACTCTGTTTGCTCCATAAACTTCCTGATGCTAATTTTGATGTCGATGGAATCCTTATCCTTCACTTATCTAATATCCCTTCTGGTTCAAAAGTTCCCAATACTTTTACTGTCTCATCTTAAAGTGGACATACCAATTGCTAACAGAAACTCTGTTTCTGCATTCTGGTCAACCAAAGCACCATTAACTGCAGATGCATGTAGTAACATGGTCCAAGTATCGACCTGTTCGTTTTTGTATCTTGTAATTTATTAGGTTGACCTGGTCAACTATAAATACACATTTACCTGTTCAGCTTCAATAAATTACAACATAATCATGAAATCTAAAATTGCTGGTCTTATTTTATCATGTAACGACAAATTAAAACAATTGTTTCTATAATCTTATTATTCTGAAGACAATATAGGGTTGAATGTTGAAGCTATCTTATTTGGTCAACTCCCGGAAGCTCTATTGAAGTTTAACTGTTGAGAGAATCTAAGAACTAAGTTAAAATCGTTCTAGCTCAAAAGTAATCACCATCAAAATTTACAATCAACCTATGTAGAATTGTACTAAGCAAATTGAAGCTCAAAATAATTCTTTTACTTGAAAAATTCATTTCATTATTAATCTATAATATATAGAATGGATTAAATAAATTTTATAATTTAACATTCAGATCAGAATGTAATGAATAATGAAAGTTCAACTTTTTATTTATAACTTTCATTTAATTTTTTTTAATTTGTTGATATTTTCTACCTCACTGTGGTATTCAATTATGATGATTACAGATTAAAAATTTTTTTAATGAAAAGTACACATCAATGATGAATTGTCAATACAATTTTTCTCTTTTATCAATAAAATTCTCGTATTTTTATTTACTCTGATTGGAGTTTTATGTGTTAAAATTATTTTGATGAATGGAATTTTTTAATTTATATCATGGAATAAAGCTTACAAGTTAAAATTGTTGATAGATAAATTGCAGAGATATATTTTGCATTCTATAAATACAACATATTCAATAAAAGCTGCAATATTTAACATAAAATTTATCAGAGTATTATTTTTTTTACTCAATAACAAAGCCAACTTTTTGATGATATCAAAATTAAATCATTTATTATAAAACAATTATTTACGAAATATTTATAAAAACGTTATACAACAATTAATTTATACAAAAAACAATTCAAGTATTTATGTTCGAATAATTATTTGGAATTTGAAAAGTTTGACTGCTGCAAATAGCCTTTCATAAATGAAAATATGCACTTTTAATTTTTTTGCATTGTATTAAATTGAAAAGAAAAAAAAAATACTCAACAAAAAGTAGCCTGGTTTTATTTAAATTTTCATCAATAACATGCTGATAACAACTCTTTTCAGATTGACCACCAGTGACCACATCTGACCATCAGTGGAAATGGTTATTATTACATCATAAAAAAAGCCATCTAAACCACCAACTAGGTCAGTAATTAGCATTCACTTATTCATATTTTTCAAGACTAAATGTATTTATAATTTATTCGTCATTAACCTTGTGTTACTTTTCGAAACTTTTAATAATCTTAATTACATTTGATTAGAATTTTGGTAAATTGCAAATTGAAACTCTTGACCTATTTATGATTGTCTGAAAAATCAAAAATGAAATGAATAACACTTTACCTTCTGGCCTTGAAATGTCATTCAGTTGCTATCATCAAAATATCGACTCTAAATACTTATATCAACTTGAAATGTAAAAGCATGTTCTGAACATGAACTCAACATTTTTCAACGATATATTTCAAGTATAAAATCCATTGAAAAAAATATTTTATATATGTCAATAATTTTTGTAGCATTTCAAACTGAAAGAACAAAATTCATCAACCATCTAGAAGAGCAAAAAAAAAACAGAATGAATCAAGTCAGATGGTGATGATCAAATTGGCTACCATCAGATGAAAACCCACATGTAGATGAATGTGTAGGACTTTTTATTTTTCATTCAAATAAACTCAATATTTTACTGCTTATTAAATCAGGAAAAATAGTAATTTATTTGTATGAAAGTTGGAGAAAGCTTGGCTTTTGTTTGGGAGTAGGTACTCCAATAAATTGGAAATATGTCTAGAGAAAGAACTTATGAATAGGAAGAAGCTGGAGACCAAGTACTCTTACCCGACCTTTTTTCGTTGCCACTCATGTGTCAGGAGCATAAGGCTATGCATCAAATTTACTAGCAAGACAAGCCTGTAAATCTCTTGTAAATAATACCTTTCAAAAAATATATTTCATGAATAAATCTTATGAAAAACACGTGTCATGAGGGAATAATCAACTTCATTTTAACATATAGATCAGATTTATACTCCATGTCTAATTTTTTCTACTACAATATTGACTAGTTTTTATTGATTACTCTATCAAGATTAAAGAGATAAATCACATTTAGAAGGAAAATAAATTAGAAAATTTTTGTCTGTTTCAGCATTGACAAGTGATTGGAATCCCAATTGGATCTGAGATTAAACCAAGAGGATGAGCGGTTGGGTGGTCACTCTGGCGGTTGTTTTGGCTATTGCTGTCATTGCTGGTGCTACCTTAGCTCTTTACCGGAGGCAAGTTTTGCCACTTCTCTCATTCTATCCTTCCCATTTTCTTTTCTTGTATCACGTGTCTTGAAACTTGCCAAGTTTCGTGTTATCCAACAATAACAGGAAAGGTTTTAATTGCACTTTAATTTATTTTTCAGCTTTATAGTTTTTTAAGAGATTTATTTCTTCTGCTCTACAACAATGGATTAAGAAAAACGATCAAAACGATGATAAATTTTATTGAGAGAAGAAGAAAATTGAATTTGAAATTGCATAAAATAATCTTTCAAATAAGAAATGCTTCATTCTAGAGTAATATAAAATCATAATAAGAATTTAAATGAATATTTTTCTATTGAATAATTATCAAGCTACTCATTCAAGGAATTATATTTCATTTTCATAGTAATTGTTAGATCTATTTTTTAATAGAATTTCTTTAGAGAGACTTTTTAAAACTAAGCTTTAGATGTTATTCAAATCTTAATGCCTAGCACATTGAGTTGATTCAAGTTTAGTTTCATCAATAAATCTCAGTAATCTTCATCCCAATTGTCAATACTCTACTTTATTTAACTTTGGTTTAATCAACATGCTGACATTGTTAGCTGAAAAATATTTTAAATAAATTGATTACGTCAATAAGTAGTAAATTTTATTCTCAATATGAAAAGTAGTTGAAATAATTTTTTTTCGTTTGGTTCAATAATCTGTTAATTGATTGAAATATTTTTCTAAAAAGACCAACACATCATTCAACATCATCCTGGATGATAATAAATTCATTCTGATTTATATTTATAATTTATTTGTTGAGCATTATTTAAATCCTAAACTATTTATCATGACAAATAATATGAATTTAAAATAAAACAAATTCTTCAGATACTGCATTAACGTGAAATGGGGAGCTAGAAATATATGGAGTATATGTGAAGAATGGAGACAGAGATTGTCTTGGTTGTGGGCACCAAGGGAGGAAAAGGTATTTTTATAGTAAACCATATTTTTCTTCGACTTTTTTTTCTTCATCTTCTCCTTCTAAAGATAAAACATGGTTAAAATGTCATATCTTAACGCTTTTAGGTGGGTCTTGTGAAGGCTCAACATCCGACAGCTCATTGTCAGACAATTCCAGGACTATATAGACATTCTAGTAATAACTCTCAGCATCTTCTACACAGTGACAGCGATCTACGCTTGGATGCTCAAGGAGCATTTACGCGGTAAATACACGAGAAAATTTCTAGATTCACTCGATTATATACTGTACTTAATGATGAAGTTTTACTTTTTGTACAGTCAAGTTATTTTAATCCATATTACTAATGACTTCACTTCACTAAAGTAACCAGTTTTTTTTTTTTTTTTTGCAAAAATTGATTTGAAATATTTTTTATTTTATTTCACTTTATTTATTTATTATTATTATTATTATTAAGTAAAAAATATATCCTTCCAATTATTTGTGATAATAAATTATGATAAATACCATTGCCCTAAGGCTAAATATTTTTATGACATTTTCTTTTAAATGTTCAATTGAATATTATCAGACTTTGATAAAAAATATTTCAAATGATATGTAATTTTATTGATAGAGAAAAAGCATAGAATGAATGTTTTATGCTAAGTATTAGGTAAAGCTAGTTTGGGAGCTTATTATTATGATGATCAACAACCTGAATGGTGAAAATAAAAATTAATATGCTATTTTGAAGCTAATCGATATTGAGCATCATCTGAATAGTTAATTATACGGTCAACTGACCGATGCATGAGCAAAAATCAATCAATGATTAGTAGCTAATTGTTGACATGAATCAATTAGTTCTATACAATTCAATGAATAAGAATTTTAAAATAGATTATAAGAAATTAAATCACATGATGTATCATAATTCTTGAATAAGTAATTCATTAATTCTCTCATCAATCGATCCATCATATTTCTTTCTTTTCCACGATTTATATTGAAAAAAGTAAGAAAAGATAAAAATAGTTAAAATCATATTGAGTTTTAACTTCTACATTTACATTTTAAATACTCTAGCTTGCCAATATTGATATAATGATGAAAGAATAACAGAAGTAAAGTGAAAGGATATTTTTTTAACAGATTTGAATCAGTAGACAGAGATCTTCATCCACCATTAGGAGTAAGTGGAAATACAATTCCACCTCAGCCACTTAGACCAGCACCTCAACCTAGACCAACTGCTCGTCCAAGACCTTCACCTCTTCAAACACCTTACGGAGCGGAATATCTACGTCAAGAAACAGGACCAGGTCCTCTGACACCACCTCCAGTTCCACGTCCATCAGTACCTCATCGAGGAGGAGCACAACCTGTATTTGTATTTCAAAATGAACTTCCACAGTCATACAGTCATAGTCAGTATGTAAAAGCTTGCAATGGACAATCTGCATTACACTTTGATCCATATACTAGTAAATCTATTCCTGAGAGTATTCAAACATCAGCTTTTGCTACTAATAATCCATCAGAGGTCAAGGTATCAGGATTCGAACCAAGGTATGAGAGCCTTGAGAGCTTTGAAGAGAAAATGAAGGATGCTTATCTCAGTAGAATTAATCGAGAGATTCCCTATAGATCTTATGATCTTATAGATGACTCGTCAAAGCTTAAATATGGTATTTCACAAGCTCAAATGAATGAAAGAAGTGTTATGAGAAATTCTGATGATATTCGATCAGTATCAAGTTACCCTGAATACAATAAACCAGCTTCAAAGAATCAACATCAAATGAGACACGTGAGAAATGACTCGAGAGGATCTTATAGTAGTTTTAATTTTATTAATTCAAATAATTCAAACAGTCAGAACATAATGGAGTCTATTTATGGGCCTCAAGCTGTGACTAAATTGCTACAGAACTCACAGATTTATAATAATGATCTTGGAACAAAGGACGATGGAACGCAAAGCATAGAAATGACTCCATTCAGAAACACTGCTGTTTTTCCAGAAGATCTCAGTTATGAAATTCATGCTAATTCCAAGATTCAAGGATTACAAAGGGTTTCTCAATATATTCAAAGTCTACCTGATGTACCTATTTATGATTCAATGAGTGATCAAGCACATGAAGATCAAATAGAGGATGACGGAACTCTCACTCCTAATGACAATGAATTAGCACCGAGTCCAGTTCCTCCACCAGCTCCACCTGATCCCTCCAATTCAGTTGATATGAACAGGAAAAATGGACTTACAACTGGCGAGAGAATATTCAGTGCTCTCAGATCAGTTACTTCGCAAAGTTATATTGATGCATCTGAATTCTACAAGTAAGCTAAATATTTATTTTCATTATTTAATTAAAATTGTGAGGTACTTTAACATCAAATTGTTACATAGGCTTACATATTTTTAACTTTTAAATATTTTAGTTCAAGATTTTCTTTTGCTGTTTATTATTTACTTTTCGTTTTAAATTATACTGTAAATGATTATTATTCTACTAGTCAAAGTATTTGAGAGCTTGTTTACATCTTGAGTATCAACAATCACTGCAGAATGAAAAAAAAATTGTCTAGCTTACTTATAGCATAAAGCCTGGAGGTTAAAAAGGGAGTTGTTAAAAAATTCAAAATTTGTATGTCAATCTTTGATAGGTTATCTTAGGAGGAAATTTATGATAAAAGCATAAAAATAAACCATAAACGAAAAATAAAAATTCATGTATAAAATTCCGGAATAGTGTCATAAGGAAAATAAATGGTTATCACTACGATAAAAATCGTTATGAACTGACAAAGGGAATTTATTTTTCTCTATTTTTCTTAACCCCACAAAAGCCAAAGAAATTTTTATATACAATAAAAAAAGCTATCTCTATTGTTCGATAAATGGAAATATTTGCTAGTCTTGAGTGTTCTTTAAAAGCCTATAAAATTTTTCAAATTTATGATTCCAATTTTTTAAACAGTAATTAAGGATTCATTGAGTGCATAAATTAGATTAGAATCTAAAGAGATCTAGATTGTTCTAAGTAGATAGTTGTTGGTGTTATCCAACTGTCAAATAGATCAAATGAATTTGACTTCCAAGGGACACGATTAAAAACTCCAATTAGATAAATCTAAAGACGAATAAGATCCTAATGACAAATTTGCTAGCTTAATTAGGACCTGATGAAATCCTAACTGAAGTCTCCAGTCAGGAGAGTTGACAACTACAGCTAGCAACAGAATGAATCTGCATGTTTTATTCATTTCTCCTTTCATAATAAAACTATTATGACTAATCATCTTTAACATGGGTAAAATTTGTAACTATTTTAAATTTATTGTTTATTTTCCAAGCTTTTTTTCTAAGGATAACCCACCCAATTGTAGTACACACTTGATAATGATTGTAATTAAAACATTGTGTTCGAAAATTTATTAACATCAGGACTGTTGGATTGGTAAAAGTTTGGATAATAAACAATACATTTAAAATATCACTGAACCAATCTTGGAGGAATTCAATTGATTTGAAATAATATTACAATGTCAGTTAAAAATCATCTATACTATAAACACTTAGGTATGTGGATTAATTTAATCATCCATATCTAAAAAATAGTTTCCTGATCAATTTTGAAACAAATAGTGCAATATTAAAATAAAATGATCAACATCTGCTAAAACTTTCAGTTAAAAATTTAAGCTTACCTAGGACACCTAGGTACCAACTGCTTTAAAGAGCATATGACTGTATCAAATCCTTCAACAATCTAGAGAAAAATAAAATAGCATTAAAAAATAAATTTTTCATCAACTTTAGCATAAATAAAATGCAGAATATACTTGAAGAAGATGCTAAACCATCATCAGCAAATTTTGATTTTAATATTTAATATGATAATCACGATGTAAGCCTATGTAATTGACCAGAAAAATTTTCAAGACCTTAAGATTTTATTGAATCGACAGTTCAGTGCTTTCATCAGCTCAGCAAGTTCCAATGCTTACCTTCCCGACGATTAGAAGATCATCTTTACAGCTTGAAAAGGATAGCCCAGCAAATAGTATACAAGATGAAGCTTCAAATCTCTACATCGATGTTGAGCCTGAAGCGATTGGTATTGATGGCTCGAGGCGAGCATCCGACCTTTACAGTCCCGAGCTTAATTTGAAGGCTCACCAGACCGCACAGGAGGTAAAATCCTCGATTGGCTGATCACACGTTTACCTACACTACTTCAACTAAATTTCTCATATAAACAGAGCTTTTTTTTTCAATTGAAATTTTTCAATTATTCGCACGTGTAAACAACCCACTCATATCATACTCAGTTATTCATTTTAATTACACGTGTCTAAAATTCTAGATTTTTCCTTCCTATTCATATTCTTCTCTCATATTATTAGGTTTTTACAATTTTTTTCAAATGAATAGAAAATTTTTCCACTTCTACAATGATTATTATTTTTTTTTATTCACAGATAGAATTCAATTCTTTTTTTTGTAATTATTTAAGAAAATATTTGAGACTTACAACTTTAGAAAATTATGAACAATGAACAACCATTGGAATAATAAATATTCTAATTAAAGTAGAATTAATTTGTTTAAGGTTAAAGTTACCAATTAATAAAATTATCAAGATGATGTGCTATTTGTAATTGCTTTGAAGGTTTTAATGATTCTAATTAAAGTATAAACTTCTGTTTATACTTTATTTCTAATATCATAAGTATTTATTTAATTTTCCAATGAAAAGTTAGATAAATTTTTTTATTAAAAAATAAAAAATTATTTCATCAATGTGAATATATCTACTTTTATATTTATTTTTTAAAAAATAGAACTTTTTTAGAACTGGTTAATCCAATTTTTCTATAAATAATTCAAATAGTTATTCAGTTTGAATTTTTACCTCGTAGTTATCAGAATTTATTTCTTGAATGCACTCCAAAACATCAGTTATCTTTCCCAATTAATTAATACCTAGCTGTATTAAACTCACATACTTTTGATAAAATACCAACATGTGTACGTAAAATAAATAAACCATCACATTCTCTTCATTGACAAAAAAAAAGTAATTTTTCCTCGCTTTTTCTTTTGATTTGTAATCGCAATGTTTGCTTGACATGACAAAAGCTTTTTCCTGAACGTAGTGTTCTCTTTTTTACTCTTTTATTTGTTTATTTTTGGTTATAGGTGTACAACAGTCTCCAAGATCCCCCATCGTCACCACTACTTTTGAAAGATCTTAGTCAGGAACCCTATCCCTACATGTCTGATCCGAGTTTTACGAGAACCTCAGAGGTATTATCGAGTAGTGTGTAGTGAATTTTGAAAACATCTTACAACTTTATCTTTTGCCTTTTTTAGGATATATTCAATAGTATAGAGCAAAGAAGAAAAAGTATGGAAAGACTCAATGGACTTCATGAATACGTTGAAATGGAAAGCATTAATAATGTAAGGTATGTTGATTCATTCAATTATCAAACTTGAATTGATTACAAGTTGGTGATGTAATTAAAATCTGGGATTTCAAATAATGCTTTCCCACAGAAGACGCAGTAGTCAAGATCTTTATAATGCGCTTGAAGAAGTTCAATTAAAAAGACGACTTTCACAAGTAAGTTATTGATTTTACCAATGAAATTTCATTCATTAACTCACCATTCATCATTAAAACCCTTTAGCAAGTCCTCGATGAATCCTATGGATATTCAAACTTCGACATGGAGGAAATAACTCCAGGAAGTCGACAAAATTCACAGGGCCCTGAACCAGAACCACCACCCGATGAGACTAACTTAAAACGAGCTGTTAGTTGTGAAAGCGTTTGTTCAGATACTAGTGTGGTCCTGGATGATCTAGAGGAAATCACTGTCGGGCATGTTTGCGTTGGCCTCGAGTATGAACGATGGGCTGGACGTGGAACTGATATTAAAGGAGATCTAGCTGTTAGTGTGCTAGAGGCAAGAGACCTTATTGCACGGGATGGAAGACCTGCTCAAGATACACTTGCTAGGTCTGTTGATTCTTCTAAAATCTTTCATATTCATCATTAGTTTTTGCTTTGCATTTTTAATCATTCCTTTTTTATTGGTTTTATTTGATAATAAACTTTATAGAATAATCTTGAAAATATTTTGTGGTGAATAAATTAGTTTTAAAATCATATTCCACATTTAATTAAAAATGAAAACAAATACTTTGTTCTATCAAATAATTATGAATAAAAATCCTATAAATAACTTTCTACCAGGTTCTTTGAATCTCGTAAAAAGCTGTCATTTATTGAAATTTTAATAGTAATAAATTACTAACCAACATAAATTTAAAAATACGAAGCTTTTCAATTTATAGGAAGCTTTATTACCTAATATTATTATTTACAGCAGCACAGCTATAAAATATTATCAAATTAAATCAAATATTTACCTAAGATAAAAATTTTAATCAGATATTCCATCAACTTGAAATTCTCTATTTTGTATTTTTTTTTTCTCCATACAAACATGCATCAGGCTATTATTTATAGTATGTGGGGGTTTATTATTCTTTTTTTTAATAACCTAAATTATAAATTGTTTAGAGATATGAATTTCTATTGAATTAAAAAGAATTGTAAATTAATATTTGTTTAAAACATAGGTTGAATATTCGTTCATATTTCGTTTGACTAAAAATATATTCTTTTTACAGAGTGTGTCTCCTACCAGACCGTCAAACTCATGTACAAACGAGACTCTACAGGGGATCGCCTGCACCAAGTTATCAAGAAAAATTTTCATTTCCTCTTGATGGAGGTCCAGTAGGGAGAACATTATTGGTTGAGGTAAAAGCTACTGATCTTTCAAGCATGCCAGTTTAATAGAAATTTATAAATAAGCATTGAAGATAGCTTCTTCATCAATGTTTCATTTAGAAAACATCTCTTAGAGTTCGTTTATAAAATCAAGTTGTTCTTGATTTCAAATAAGAAAGTATCAGAAGAAAAACAATGATATAATTATTATTCAATAGTAAACAGAAATGTTTAGTATAAAATAGTCTTGTCTAAAACATTTGCTTATTTTATTCATCAGAATAATAAAGAAAATGTTTATAAGTACTAAGATGTTGCTTAAAAGTCAAAGGTTATCCACCCTTGGCATAACTTATTAAATTTTAATACTTCTTTAACTTTGTATATAAAAATTATCCAGATTTTTTCGGTTGATCTCAACATGGGTGGTGAGGCATATCTTCTAGGAGAAGCAACTCTGAAGCTGGGTCCTGTGGCAAGAACTCCAGCAACGACGTGGCTACCTCTTATTTCTCCTACACTATCAGTGCCACATCTAGGAGAAATAATGTTCTCTCTAAGTTACTCACCAACTGCTGAAAGACTAACTTTAGTGGTAGTCAAAGCCAGAAATCTCCGAGGAGCCAATGAAGCACCTGGAGAATTTTTCGTTAAAGTAAATAATGATAAAGTTTTATAAATAATTGTTTTCTATAATAAGAAATCATTTTATTGACAACAATGTATCATTTTTAATGAAGGTGTACCTGCTTCAACAAGGGAAGAAAATGCACAAGAAAAAGACTTCTGTCAAACGAGGAGAAAAAAGTCCTACCTTCAATGAAGCCATGATTTTCAATGTTCCTGTTCATACTTTGCAGGTATTATGAATTTTCTATGATTTATTGATGATGTAAAGCAAGAAATTTGTCGTGAAAGTTTGATGAAGAAAAGATCAACAGAAGAACAATTTAACTGCTCATACTAGTGTTGAACTTCGATATTATTATTATAATCATAAATAAAAAAGTTTCTTTTAATTTTACTATAGCTTACTACCAAAGAAATATCTTAGGTTCATAGCACTTAGCATAGTCAACTTAATGTTGATTGAGCTAGCATGTTGACATTGCAACGCTAGGTATACACTGGAAATCACAATGAGTTGATGTAGCTTACAATAGAGTTGTAAAATATCAACAAGTGATTTTCTCGGACATTGACCGTTACTTGGGTAGGATCGATGGCAAAGTTAACGGCTGGTAATTGACAAAAGTCATTCTTGTCATAGTCCATCACTTATATATCGATACAGGTGTACCTGAAAGTCAATTGCAGTCTTTAAACCCTGGATCTTTAACAGGACATATCACTTCATGATGATTTATAGTGGGATGGGTAATGCAGGTAGTAAAGAGTCCAACGTCTATACCTGGACTACTAAAGTCTTCAACTTATTTGCAAATTAAGAAGTCAAGTTTCGTTTTAATGGGATTAGGTTACCTGTTCAATCCAATCGTACTTTATAACAGGACAAGAGAAACTCTGACTTTTGCAGAGTAACGAGGGATCGTTTACAAATCTCTTTGTGATGGGTCAGGTGTACCTGCGAAAGGTTCTCCTGAAGAATACATTGTGCTCCCAAAAGCACAATAATAATAGACTATCAATGATTATCTGCAAAGATTAACTTCTGCCGAAGAAAATGGGATGTTGAAGATGAGACTAATTGATGTTTTGTCAAGTTTAGGAGCAGTTTTTTCATGTAGCTTCATTTCACCTAACTCTAGAGCAGCTTTAATACCATTACAATTATTCCAACATCAATGAATAATTATAATAGTTTTCACTGAATAGAATCTTTATGATACAACATCAATATTAATTAGTTAACTAATAAAAAATATTTTGTTTATTGCAGACAATTCAATTGAGACTGACTGTAGCCGAGTGGAATTCGGATTCTGGAGCTAACTCAAAAGCCTATTCCGTAGGTCATGTAATAACAGGATCCAATGCGACAGGCAAATCTTCAACACACTGGAGACAGATGTTATCTGCTCCCCGTCGACCTGTTGCTATGTGGCATCCGTTAAGGAAATAATAAATAATTAAAATGTCTCATCAATTTGACCTCCAAGCAGTTATTTAATATTTTAAACAAGTGAAGTTATGAATTAATAAATAAGAATCTAAACGTATTGATATTATATCTGTTCCAGTTCTTCATTGATCAATTCTAATAATGACATCAATAATGTTTGTAATTAATCGGAGTAATAAATTTATTAAATAAGTTTAATTAAAGTGAGAAGATATTAAATAATTAAATGTTGCTGGATATTCTATTATTTGATTCATTGTCGAATCAAAAAGCAACTTACAATATGCGATATTCAAATATATTCGCGGTTATCAACAGACTGAAAAATCAACCCCACAGTAAATTTACAAAGTTCAACAATTTAATCACAGTTAATTATTAATTAAATAATTTAATAATTATTATGATTAAAATTATAAGCCTATTGTATTCATCATAATGGTATTATTGTAAATATATTTATATTTCAATGAAGTCTACATTGAATTAATGAATGTAATTAATTTAATATTATAAGACTATGTATTGCGCAATTGTTATAAGTTTTTGCGCATATTGTACTTGAATAGATAGATATATTTTGTTTTTTATTCATTAATGCTGTAGAAATTGATAATTTAATGTAGACTTTTTGGTCTCGAAAGACATGAATAATCATTATTTATACTGGATATAATTTTAAACTGAATGAAAAAGCATACATTTTTAAGTTTTAAAAATGATAAAAATCTTTTAATGCAAATTTATAAACCATAAAAAATTATCAATTTCTTTTAATAATTTCTAATGTTCAATTTTGTTTGTTTAAGTCAACAAATAATTAAAATTTGCACTTCTGATAAATATTACTGCTAATGTAAAGCCATAATCGTTGATGATAAAACATGAAAAATACAATTGTTAGATGCCAAACAATGGAGTGTAAGCAAAAATCAAATAATGATGAGAATTTACCATTTGGTATTTGATTCATTACCAAATAATGAATGTTAATGTTTTCAAAGGGATGTTAACGTTTATACAGAGTTTATTAGCAGTTCATTAAATATGCACAAGTGTTTTTGATTCAGTGCACAGAGCTAGAGAAAGTTACTTCCAAAATTTATTCTTGAAAAATAACATTGACATTATTATTTCTGATAACTACCTAAATGAAAAAATTATGTATGCAATGAGATAAATGTATTCGAGCTTAAAGAGTATGTTATAAAAGATTATTTTAATTATTTATCTTTTTTATTTTTAAAAAATAAGTATAATGATAAATGGTGAATATTGTTATTTGATAAACAATGTAGTTGAATTGGATATTATTTTTTTTTATAAAATTTCGTAGATTTTCTTGTATATAAATATTAAGAATGAAACTTGAGAATTAATTGACAACAGCCTTGCGAATTTCATAGCCTAATCTAAACTTATATAACTTTTATACTTCTTCTATGTCGTTGAAATACTTATTGCTAAAGTATATACTGAGTGCATGAATATAAATTCGATAAAATTTTACATTTAAATCTTACAATTACCAATTCAAGGCTATCTAGTATCCATAAACTTGTATCATCATAAAAAACATTAGTTTAATTTTCTATTTATAATCATTATGGGACTAAAAAAATATTGTTAAATAATCTTAAATAAATTTCAGCTACTTTAAATGATCATTGCATCCAACATACTGTTAACTGTCTATTTAACAATCTAATAATAATAATTACTTGAAGCAAATGATATTATTATTATATCAAACTAATTGATAAATTAAAAAAGAATATAAAAAAAAAAAGAAATATGGCATTTCATAAATTGTATGTCTATGAAATACATAAAGTGATGTTATAACAAGCACTGTTGTATATCAGCACAATCAATAATTCTGAATACACTAGAACAAAAAGTGTATTCCTCATTATCATATAAAATTTAATTTCATCTAATTAAATTGATCTAAAATCATAATGAAAAGTCATTGTTTTTAATGAAAAAAAAAGTAATTAAATTGATATGCTTATTCAATAAATAATGAAGCCGTCAATCTTCAACAGTTATAAGCTTCAATTTTACTGGTTGAAATATAGTGGACTGGAGATAACAGATGATAGATAATTTTAAAAAAATATAAAAGAATTTCTAAAAACAAAAAAAAAAACAAAAACAAGTGAAGAATGATGACAATAATTAAGCTGAGTAACTCGTTTTACAATTATGTATTTTTTTATTTTAATAGAAAAACATTTTTTATGGTGGTATTTAATGTAACGGTTGAATAATTAAACTCATGTTGATATGTATGTTATGAAGAATTAATATTCTATATGATAGCTATGATAAATGATAATGATAAAAAGAAGAGCATGATTTTTTGTAACATGCTTAATAAAATATAAAACCATATGTCCAATAATTCAATATTTAAATTCTAAGTTTGATTGTAAAATGAGTTACAATGCATAGTTTGCCGTATGAATGCATGATTTATAAAAGATGAGATACTGTAACATTTAAATTGTTTTATATTTTTGTTACGCCTCTCTGTGATATGATATGGGCACATTCACACCACCCTGTATATTAAATGCATTAATCTTTGTATTCTATGATGATATAAAAAAAAAACCTCTTTCTACTTTGAACTTTTCAAAATGTTTCATGACATTCATTTAAATATAATGATAATGAAAAGAAATTGATAATAAAATATTGCACAAAAATATTAAAAAAACGTATAAATAAATTGTGTTGGAATGATATAAAATTGGAGGATAAAAGTAGCCAACATCAGCATCCATTTTATTTCTACAATGCATTATCAATGTAATCGTTAACCATCAAGTGTATCCTAATTATAAGAATTGTAAGATTTGTGAAATGAGAGTTCTAATGATGGTAATAATGATGATGATGATGATAAGACCATGAATGATAACATTATACATAGAAATGTAATAATTATGTTATTGATTATATTAATGCACGTCAAAGTGAACGCAAGGGTCATGTAATAATTGAAACTATATATACCCTGATTGTTGATCATCGTTACGGTTCTATTTACACGGATTCGTTTTATCGATGATATTCTGAAAAAAATATATTTAAATTAAAGACTGGCACTTTCTATTCGAATTCCTTCTTATCACAATCCTTTAGTTGAATAGCACAGGAAATGTAATATTGGTTTATTAGGATGTGTTAAGTAGTGAATATTTAGATTAATTTAATATTTCTTTCTGTAAAATCTTCACTTCTTGCTCAACTATTTAACCTGACAAATAAAGACCTTTCTTTTTTTTAAATTTTTTGTGTAACTTTTAGTATTTATTTATCTTCGCATTAACTGATACACTCGAGTAAACTGCTTCTAAACCTGAATTGAGATCTTTTATATCATCTTATAAGTATAGTTTTTTCATAACACCTAATAAGAATGCTTGTCATTTGTTCTTTAGAGGACTGAATTGAAACGAATAAAAAAGTTGGATTAAATGGAGTAGATATAGAATCCAATGACATTTATATTGTAAAAAGTTTCTGAAAACACAAATAATTGTTTTTAAAAACTTACCAGTGATGATCATCATCTTGCTTTCATTTTCAACAGGATTAAATTATTTTATAATAGAAGATCCAATTTTAGTTGTTTTGCTACATTTTGGAGCCTTAATCCTGAACTTGACTCCTTTTATTAACACTCCAGAGCGTCTTTTAATTTGAAATCACAATATTGTTTATAATACACAGTTTATTCCTAATAAAATAAACACCATACACTAAAACATATGCACATTCACTACATTAAACATAAACAATTATGATAATAATAAATAAAACAAAAGAACCGTTAAAACAAACGCACTTGTTTAAATGAGTTTGTTTACACCTTTACACACTAGCGACACCTGGTGTTAGAACAAAATGGATTTCTCAGAATTATGCTCTATCGATAAAAACATTATCGATATTATAGGATCCTCTTTCTGTTCATTATCGACGTTTTTTTAAATTTTAATCGAACTTTTTTTTTTATAACTCTTTAAGCATTCTTTGAATGTCATAATAAAATATCGAAATAATTATAATATAAATTGAGAAAGGAAGATTGAAAATACTAAATGTTATGAAATAATTTTTTTTTATTTAGTGTCAGAATCAAAATATATTTATTTACCGAGGTAGATGCAAAAAAATATATTTAAACCAATAATCACTATAATAAAGCAACGAAAAAATATATCTTTATATAAATAATGAAAAATCTTTAAGTACGTATTTTATAAAATATATATATAAGTGTATATCATAAATTTTATCTATCTCAATAGTGACTAGTGACGGATTAGCACTTTATCACTTAAAAAATTAATTTGCATCATGTCAATAATATCATTCGTTATTTACATTCAATACTAATATGTGCAGATATTCATTAAAATTTTAACATCATAAATTTCATCGTAATGTCAACATATTTAATGACACATGTCAAAGCGCAGCAGGTCTTGTTCGCAGAGGTGGAGTTGGAGCAATTGCTGGACTTCCGTGAACTTCCAAGTCAAAATCTGCCATTGACATAGAATCTCTCATCACACGATTCCATCGATCTGCATTTTCACATACATAAGTTCGTCTTCTAACTATTTCTGGCTCATCAGGATTACGATTAGAAGCTCTCAATGCTTCATGCTGAATAATTATTTCATTTGTTATGTAGGTTTCTCGTCGAATTTTATCACGAAGTTTAGGACTCATGTCTGGTATACACCATCGAACCAAAATCATCACAACTGCAACAGCATTCTGTAAGTAAAAAGCAGAGATAATTATAATTTTATTCGGAATTTTTATTGTATTATCAATAAAATAGAATTTCCTTTTACATAAATTTATGTAAAAGACCTTCATGGAGTTTTTTCAATACTTAAAAATTTTTTATATTATTTTTGAACTAAAAATATTCATTTCCTTTCACATGCGTTTCTTTTCTTCAATGATTTCTAAGATTTTCTTCACTTTATGACCTTCATTATAAAAGAAATTCTGTGAAAGGAGAAAAGAACATTTTTTTTGTCGTCTTTTTGCTAACTCCGGAATCAGCTTTCATTCAAATATGAGTTTTTTAGATTCTTTCTCTTTCTCTAATATCCGGTTATATTAAAATAAGCTTATTACATAGTCGATAAATCAAGAAGCCAAGAACTACCTCAAAGACAACAACGAAGGCTAGTCTTGCTGCTAGTACATGCCAATACATCGTTGTGACATTATATTTATTTGGAGAAGTCGGTGGCTCTCTGAAATCAGGATACCGACAGATTTCAATATTTGCTGTGTTTTCGGTGAGTTTGATCTCTTTTTCAAGATCTGAGGTATTGAATTTCGAGAGTGAGTAATCCAGAAAGCCTTCTAATGAATAATTTTCAGACACAGTCAATTGGTAGACCAGTTTTGGTATAAAATTGGAAGTGAATGCTATTATGAAACCCTGAAAAAAATAAATAAATTAAAAATAAAAGTTTCTATTCGACTCAATGTTTTTATTGAGCTAAAATAATTAAATTAAATTACAACTTACATTCGTTATGACTGATAATTTCGAAATAGAATCCAAAATTCTGTACCAAATACCAATGTCTCGAACACGTTGACCTACAGGTCTTCTGTACATAGTCAGCAATTTTTTTGCATCCAATCTCATTTCGAATATATTATTTAATAAAGCACAAAGTGGAGCTAATGGAAATGCGGCGACAAAAATCGTAACAAATCCATACTGTAGCACTGTATAATCATTAAAAATAATTTCAATTATTTAATTGGAAGAAGTAATTATTAAAAATAATAATAAAAGAATATTTACCCATTTCTAAATACTCTGGAAACAAACTTCTTGGTCCCCATTCAACTAATTTAAAATCTCTAACCCAAGGTAAAAATTTTCTATTATTCAACCTTTCCGTTTCATCTTTCGTCTTTGTCATGTGTACTTTCCAAGTATTCAATCTCTTATAAAATAATGGAAATATCATTTCTAACAATGAATTCATCGCTTGTTTACCAATCATTATAATGCTAAGTTGTATACACAGTTCAGTAAGGCAACCACCCGGTCCACATTCTTCTTGTCGATATTGAAAAAATCTATTATAAGTGCGTGGATGTCCCACAAATTTACCTTTAAAGAATGCTATGTAGAATATTGATGCATAATAGTTTACAAATTGAAGCAAGTAAATTTTTAAAGTCAGGCTATCATCGAATTCAGTTTGTGTTCGAAGAAGTTCCAATTCAGTTAAATATTCTGCCAACCATACATAAAGCCAATTAAATAGAACAATGCAACATAAATTCAAGCATGCTGCGGTGGCAGTGGTGAAGAGAATTGCATTACTTGTAAGTGTTGCATGTCCATAAACACTTAAAGTTGTTAAAACTGACATCCGATATAAAATAACACCTAGAACGGCAGCCATAGCTACAGCAATTAATAATAATACAACAGAAAAACTTAAAATTGTTGCTGGCAGTCTCATACTCCAAAAAGGAACTTTAGGTTCCACAGTATTAGTAATAACATTAACAGCTTTTTTCTTAACGTGAGCAAGACGTGCTAAATATTGAGGTCGTGGGTGTTCTTCTTGAGCATCAAGACCGGTTAGGTCCCATCGATGAGTAATTTCTGCAGAATAATTCTTCCATAATTCTAAAAATAACGTTGCCCATAGGGACATAAATATTGCAAAGAAAACTGTTGATGGGTTGTCAAACAAATACGTTAATCGTCCATGAAGGCACGTGTCCTTTAGATCCCAGTAACCGCAAATATGGTCACAGAGTGGACACATGTGTATAGAATCATTCCCATGGCAAATATCTTCGCTAGGTTGGTGGGAATACAGCGTAAAACAGCCGTAGATGAAACAAAATAGACCCACAACACTAGCTGGTACCAGCATGTGGGTGTAAAATCCAAGCCAGGCAAAGTAAAGACCTATTTTCACTCCAAAATATTCCTTTATGTAATCAAGGGGTTGATAATGGAAGCACTTTTGAAGACTCGCCCAGTGTGTATATAATAGATATCTTGTAGAGTTTGGAGTCCGCAGATTTCCCTGTAAAGAAAAAACAGATGTTCTATGATTGGAGTTTATTATCTAGTCCGTAAGCCTACAGTTATTTTTACAACAATAGCTATTATATCGGTACTCTAATACTCTTAACATAAACTAAATGGGCATTTGAAAAATTTCGAAATGTTTAATTAGGGATGAGGATAAATAACTGTCCTAAAGGTTATGTGGGACCAGGATAAATTTAAATACCTTGGAGACATTGGGAATCAGGTTTATGATCAGGACTTTTAAATTTTAAAGGTCCCAAGGTGAATGACAACCTCATGTGCTATCCAAAAAGCAATGACTTTTGTTGTAACTCATCTCTAAAATTGGGTAAAGGTCATCAATTGTAGTATTTGCTATTTTCTGCCTGGATCAGCATTAGTATCATTGTACTTTGACCTTGACTTGAGCACAACTTTTATTTACATTCTCATCTAATTGAGAAATGCTCTTGAATAGGAATCCTCTTAACAAATAAAATAGTTTACAACCGAATTTTCTTGGGTGGGATTATGAATCTCAATACCAGATAAATCGATAGGGATTGATTGCAGTGAAGAAGATTTTATATATGCTATGGGTCAACTTAAACGTTGTCCACTTTCATCTTTGTATTAGATCTCATTCTATTCCCCAAAGATTTTCCGATTTTAAATGCCTTGAGAACAATCAAACAGCATGAAACCCATGGTCAGATTTTCTTGGAATTTACCACCTAAAAAATGTCTTTGAATAAAATGTATATGCATACTATTCCCAAAAGGAAGTACTAGAAATACTCGAAATTTAAGGACCATTTTTTATAATTTTTTTAAGTGTCAACAGGTTTGATTTAGGATTCTTTTTATAAATAATTTTATCTTTTTTTTTTATTCTGAATCATAAACTACGCACAATCTCGTCCGTATTCGAATAAATATAAAATAATAAGTGAAAAAAAAATTTTGAACAATTGTTAAATATTTTTAATAGAATTTAAATTCTATAAAATAAAAAATTTTTTAAATTGTAGATCAGTATCAAGAGGACAAAGATTCATTTACATTAAATAGAAATGATAAATATCAATGAACATAAAATTCATTTTTCACAAAATTAGAATACATCCCCTGTCGTGTTGAGGTTTTTTCCATTTATAAATATATATATTTGAATAAAAGCATTATATTACTAGAAATAACAAATACTCACATCATGCAAAGGATAGGCAGCAGTATAAGCATGTTCAGAAATCAATCTGTCAACTCCAAATGCAAAATCATCATTTTTGTCCTGTGTGAACTTAGTGCGGTCAAGTATAAATTGTACTATTCTGGAGTGTGTTGCAGGTGTAAAAAATTCTGGTGCATCGAGGTCGAAAAGATATTCTTTGTCCCTACTATAGACTGCAGTGAATCGATGTTTCATCGGCGGAAAAATCGTAGTATCTACATAATAACGTTTCATGAACGTTTTTATCCATCCATTCACTTCTCGAATGATTGTACTACTCGGTTGGGATGACGCTACCGATCCTATTAACTCTTTCATCGGCAATCTTAACTTTAATATTTCCGAGTAACGCCTTAGTACCTCCCGTGGTGCGTGGATTTTAATAAATCTTAAGCCGCTTGGTTCCGGTGGTTCATATTCTAACTGCAATCCTTCAAATTCTAGATTTCGTTCAAAAACCTACAAATAATTAAAAAAAAAAATAGGATTAGGAGACTGTTCAATACAACCCAAAAGATTACTTATTATAAGTCTAATTAATTCTATTTACTTGCAAAATTATTTTTGTTCAGATATTTAAGTTGAAAGTTAAAAAAAAATATACTTGAATAACGACATAACCTTGCAAATCACCATGATTGATAGTTATTTTTTGCAATTAACATTCCTGATAATTTTTAATTATAAATAATAATTAAAAAACTTATCTTTTTAATTACCTTACGATAATAAACACACTTGGGAGTTATTGCTTGCTCATCACATTCATCCCACACGAGAACAAAATCAATAGATCTAATTCCATCTCTAAAGAATAAATATGTACCATCATCTTGAGCGAACTGAAGGAATATAATATTAACTTTTAGTAATTACTCTAATTATCACTTTGAAATTGAAAATAATCTACCATCATTGATCCTCCGTGTAATTTATTCTTACATCTTCACAACTTCCTTCAAGAACTGTTTCCTCAGTGCCTCTTAATGTCGAAGAATCATCTCCTGAGGTAAAATTTACTATTCCGTTTGTCATATCAACGCTAATAGCATCTTCATACATTGTATTTCGAAAACTCTGATAGATTGTTTGTTGAGAACCTTTATTATCAATATTACTAGTAGCAGAACGATAAATGCTTGGGGATGTACTATGACTCCTTCTACTAACTATTTCTGTCTTATCATTTTCCTCTTCCTCCATTTTGTCGTTATACTGCAATAAAAAAACATTGTATTCACACAAATACCCAGAACGATGTTACAAAATATAAATATTACACTTGAGAGTCTGTGATGAGTAATACCATCACAGGCTTGATGTAACCAAAAATAAAACCAGAAGAGCTGCAGTACTCTTGTTTTCAAAAAAGAAAAATCCTAATGATGTACAATACATTTTTTGTGGCTAGAAAATATTTAAAGCTCACTTACACTAGCTAAAAGGAAGTAGATAATGAAGGAGTAGAGTCCAAAACAGTAGATGATTGATGTTACTCTGTACCAACCCGACCATGTGGTAATATAATATTACTTGCTGTTACATCGTTATTTTCTTGCTCCTAAAAGAATAATCATTGGAATCAAAAAGAAAATAAGTTAAAAATAAATATAGATGATCTATATACATAGATATTAAGATAAATAAATTTAATTTTGCTCACTCATGGTGCAAAGTTCTCTTAAATAAACGAATACTGTTCATGTATCCACGCACCGCGTGCTACTGGATTGCTAAGTGAATGCTGCATCAACAGCTGCTTATTATTATTGATTCGTAAGAGTCATTCGAGATATTTTAGCGGCTATATTTAAATTACATCCAATAAGCGATCATATTTTGAAGCGGGTGATACGAATTATCTGCATAATGATATTCTTATGATAGCTTCAAGCAATATTGAAATTTATTAGGTCTAAAAAAAATTGCAAAAACGTTTGAAATTAATGATACTCTACGAAGTAAATTTGGTAACTAAGATTAAAAAAAAGTCGAGGAAAGAGCAGGTGTACTTTAGCGATTGACGCTTGGGTTTTAAACTTCTTTTGCTAGTATCTGATTGGAGGAGCTCAATTTTTGCTTGAAATTGAAGATCAGCAGATTGGTACGCTGAGTCCTGTAACACCTGGTCTCTTTCATAGGCGTCACCTGACTTCCTTTTTATCATGAAAGGTTCAGATTTTCGAAATATAATATTTTCATTTATGCTTGTTATTACTATTTTTTATTTATCACTATTATGATTATTATTGCTTTGTTTACAAATAAATGTATATATTAAAAGTTTTATAATATTATTTAACTACTCGAAAATTTTTTTCAGTATTTAAAATATTAAAATTCATTAATACAAAAAATTAATTCATTTCATATTAAGGTACAATTATTTATAATTGAATATAACCATTGATTGATCGATTTTTAATCCAAAAATGGTTGATTATCAATGGTATGAATGAAAATTAATTATTTCTATTATCATTTTACACTTCTTGCATAACTAAGGCATTTAATTCATCTTCTCCAGGACATAGAACAGAATCTATATTGTAAAAAGCTGCATGAAGGAGTATCAAGCACCAAGATACGCCTGTATGCAAATAAAAAAAAATTTTGAATCATTTGATTCTCTTCTAATGATTGAAGAATTGTTAAGCTTACCTAACACCCAAAAAAGAACAGCACCAGCTCCAACCAGATAGAAGACAGGTAAAAAGCAGAGTCCAATTAACATATACACTTGTGCCAACGTTAAAGTGTGGTTTAATACTTTTAATTCATGCCTGGCATGTCTTTGAGATACTTTATAACATGTACCTAAAGATCCAGCAACTGCTATTAATAGTAATGGAGAAGTAATTCTGCAAAAAACAGAATTTGTTTGTAATATCAGACCAGTTGATGACAATTATTGATTATTTAATGATCAGTATACTTACAAACAATAAATAATCAAACCAATAAATACAAAAAAATAATTGCTTTGGAAGTATTCAATATTTTTCATCACTCTCTTGCTAAACCTAGATATACTAGGAGGAGCTTTGATATTATTCGTATTTAAAAACACACTCCACGGCCGAAGAGTAGCTTTTCTATGTTGAATCCATGCTTGAGCTTGCGGATATCCTAATTGATTCAATTGAGTCAATGGAAGCTGTGATAATTGTAGAAAATCAAACCTGAAATGTAAAGAAAAAAGTATTATTTAGATATATAATGATTTGTTTACATAGTAAATGATTCAGTAAATTTTAAAGTTTGATAACAATTCGGATAAATTCACTATCAAATTCTTATCTCCCTTCTCATAACACCTGCCAAGTGTAGTAATAAGAAAATAAATAAAAAAGATACAGTTGTGAACTCAAGTGAGGTTAGGTTGTCTATAGTAAACATATGGAAAATCGGAGTAAAAATAGGAGTAGATCAAAATGTGAATATAAATAAAGTTACCCATTTTGTTTCTGAGCTTTTTGCTCTTCTTTATTCTCCATTTCACCAGTAATCGTGATTCCTACATCGTCCTGCATCGTTTATTTGTATCAACAACTCTTCTGTGATGTGGCAGATGATAAAAACAATGGCTGTCTATGTGTTTAGTTTGTCTTGCTAGAGTTCTCTTGTATTTTTTTTACTCTCTTCAATATACGTAAATGAATAAGGCTTCCCCACTCTGAAATTTTAGATTTAGACCAAGAGCAGTCATCAGTAGGCCCCCTCTACAAGTTCAAACATGCTTCATATTACGATAAAGTTGCTCCTACGTTCTCCCTTCTCCTACCTATGTTTTTGCCTGATGCAGCCGTCGTAGCCCTACGCATGCTACAGGTTGCAGCTGCTCCAACAAAAATTCTTTTGCACACCCTACTGCGTATGCTCTCGGCAAATCTGCTTCCCAAAACTCACTCGCTAGAATCGGAATTTTGGTTGGTTATTTAGCGGAGTAATTGATGTAAACTTGAAAAAACAAGAATGTAAATGAAATTTGAAGCTGCAATGTTCAGTATCTAATTTTAAAAGATAATAAGACATAGATTAGGAAATTGATTTTTAATGTAGGTTTTTTTTATCAAATAATATATCTTAATTTTGTAAATGATTATTTAACATTTATACTTTAAAAATTAGAAGAAAAATATAGTCGTAATACTTACAATTACAATATAATTGTTAGAAAACATGAAGAACATAATGGAAATCACATGCTTGTGAGCAACAATGAAAGTAACTTTCATTTTACATGGTTTAAAAATGATGCTTCGAGAAAAAATATTGTTTATTATTATTCCAATTGTATTTAGATAAAATTTAATTTATCAAAGTTATAAAAACATCAAAAATTTGATGAATAAATAAATCATTTTCAGCTTAAAATGAAAAATTTTGAACTATTCTTGATGCCACGTGGTAATTTACAACAAAAGAATGTTTGAAAAAAATAAAAATTACATGTTTTAACAATTATTATTAATGAAAAATTATTTTCTATGATAATTTAGAAAAATAACTGAATAAATGTTTAATATTAAAACATTGATACAGCCATGGGAGATTAAAGGATAACAGTTTGAATATTTTGAAAATGGAAAAATCCTGAGAGATTTAAAATAGAGGAGGATGGTCAACATTAGAAAGTAGAATAAAGAGATTCTGTATTCTCCGAAAGAAAGGAAGGTCACTATTGAGATAGGCAAGTGAGAAAGAGAGAGAAAAAGAAAGACGCGTCTGATGAAAATCATCCAGTTGTCGACAAATATGAGTTGTAGATGGCACTGTTATACATTGACCATTGTGTCTAGCAACAGCCAATAGGAAAACAGGTTACATAAGATTTCAGGTAGAAGTCCATTTATAAAACGTTTTCTCATTGGTTACAAAAATATATCCTCAAAATGCAGCAGACCACCCGCCATAACGAACATAGCGTGGTATGAGTAGTGTTTGAATGAACGTGTTCTGGAAAAATATTTAAAATTTAGTGATCAGTGTATAGTTGACTAATATAATTGTGTATTAATGAAATTCGTTTTTTACTCGCGTATTTATCTATGACGTCTTAATGAAGATGAACGTTGCACAAAAGCTCAATTTTGATGCTTATGATATTGAAGACGAAGAACTCAACATCAGCTGTCGTACAAATAGTTCAGGATGCGACGTAGAGGATCCCCTTGATTCATCAGCAGAAGATTTTTCACCATCACCACAGCGAAGAAAGTTATCATTTAGCAATGTCATGGATTGCAGTGATAGTGAAATTAGCCCATCCGACAGTATCGAGAAAACTCCGGCCATCGTTGTGACAGGTTAGTCCATCGTTTTATGGACGCTATCTTCGCCTTGTGATACACATACCATTTACCTGCGTCATAAGCTTTAAAAAAACCCCAATTTTTTTTTTCTATTTAGCTCATCATCTCGAAGATATTTTTTGTTCACAGGGATTTTATTTTTAAGTGTGTTGTTTGGCGTTATTTATTTATTTATTTATTTATTTATTTATTTATTTATTCATTTATATATTTAATCTTTATTTTTCAAGTGATTTAAATAAGAGTGTTTTTTTTTTCAATTATCAAGGTTTTTCATTATTTATTTTGGTTTGGTGATTTAAATCAGTGTTCTTTCATTTATTTATTCTTTCGTTTGATTTTTTTATTCTTTTATTTTTCTAAAAAAATTGAAAATTCGCCTAGTGAATTTGATTGATTGTGATTTTTATGTGTAGAAAAAGATAATTCAACGCTTTTAGTAAATTTGTTAGTTACAATGGATTTTTCATTGACCGAAACGGTAATGGGTCAAGATTCTCCGAGTAAGTGTTCTTCAAATTTTGCCTGCAGACATTTCAAAATTTATAGGACTTATTGACATCTGGTGTGGACAATTGATTATGCAAAGGTGTCGAGCCAATTGTTTCATACCTGTCACAAGTACCAACCAAGAAGCCTTTGAGCCGAATTGATTAATAAAAATACTCATTATTGCCATTAGCTGGTATCAACTTGATTACATAGAGAATTATTGGACTGTTAAAAGAAAGGATCGCATAAAATATAAAGGATCTAAAAGTCAAGGACAATAAATATCTACTCTTTCTTCTAACTAATTCTTTTTTCTTTGGTTTCAAAAAATTCCACCACAGCATAAACGGAGCATGGATTTTTTGTTTAATAACTAATAGATATTATTTTCAGCAATGGCTGAGTGTATTTGTGGTTCAAAAAATTGTTTGAGATTTTTAGAATATTTTTTTTGCCACTTGCACTCGTATAAAATAGAAATAAGAATATTTATATTATAAACTAACATATTTTTTAAAAAATATTTGAATTGTTTATTGATAAAGTAATTTTTGTTCACAGGCCCTAGGAATCCTCTTAGAGACAGTGGACCACAGTCGAGAATTTCAATGGCTTGCAGTCCACCTTATAAGAGAGTCAGAGCCTTAAGGCTATTTGATTCTCCAACAACTCCTAAAACTTTAATAGAAAAAAGTGCTATGCACACACCTGTTCCCTCTAAATGCTCAAGACTTTTCCCCTTAGATAAACCAAGATCTGTAGCATGTTTTTCAAGTCAAAAATCCGATAGACCCGCAGCCAATGTTAATCCATTTACTCCCAATGGAATGTTACTCACTGCCAGGAAACGGAGTAGGTCGAAGCGAAGTCTTGATGGGTAAGATTAAAAAATTGTTTCTTCACTCTCATTAGTGAAATTTATTTTTCTTACTAATTTTTTTAATAAGTTTATTCGGAAAATACTTCTTCATTTTATTATTATTTTCTTTAAGGATTTAAGAAAATAGTTGTTTTTTTAGTATTGTGTTAATTGAGGAAGTTGAAAATTCAAAAAGAGACAAAGCAAGCTATTTATCTGTTGTTATTGTTATTTTAATAATTAAATTTAACAAAAAAATCTGAATAAATTCATATCAACTTCTCTTTTTGTTTCTAAATTCTTTTATATTATTTATGGTTTGTTTTAAAAAAAATAATTACTAAATAATTTTTCTATTGAATGTTGTAGATCCCCTGATATTCGAATACCAAAGTATGATCTAGGAGATTCAGAAGAATCGGACAATGAAGTAGAACATCCAACAAAACGCGTTGCGTTACAGGAATCAAACATACCAAGGTATCATCAAGAATTTCATGAAGTAGGACTCATTGGTACAGGAGAATTTGGCTCTGTGTACAAATGCATAAATAGACTGGATGGTTGTACCTATGCTATAAAAAAGAGCATAAAACCAGTAGCCGGAAGTGCGAATGAAAAGAATGCATTGAATGAAGTTTATGCTCATGCAGTTCTTGGGAAACATCAGCATGTTGTGCGCTATTATTCAGCATGGGCGGAAGACAATCACATGATAATACAAAATGAGTATTGTAATGGAGGAAGCTTGGCAGATGCTATCATAAACCTCGAAAAAGAAAAAAGAACATTTTCTGAAGCAGAATTAAGACAATTACTTCTTCACGTTGCCGAAGGTTTACGGTATATTCATAGTATGCAGTTGGTTCACATGGACATTAAACCTGGAAATATTTTTATTTCTAAAGAAAAACGACTTCATGCTGTAAATTATGACTCCGCAGACGATGGTTTTGACGAAGAAGAAACTGTTGAAGAAGAAATTACCTACAAAATTGGTGACCTTGGTCATGTAACATCTATTACAAACCCACAAGTTGAAGAAGGCGACTGTAGATATCTACCGACAGAAATTTTACATGAAGACTTCACACATCTCACCAAAGCTGACATCTTTGCGTTAGGTTTAACAGTTTATGAAGCTGGTGGCGGTGGTCCATTGCCATTAAATGGACCTGACTGGCATGAAATCAGAAAAGGAAACCTCAAAGAACTACCTCAATATAGTCGTGATCTCAATGATTTATTAAAGGTAAATTTAATAGTTATCTATTTTTTTTTTATAAATTTTTTTGAATTTTATTTCTATATCATAGTCTGAATCAAAGTTCAACGAACTAATTCATCTTTTACCGGTTCTTAGTAACGTTAATCCAGTTGATGATTCAACATACTAATATGTACTTTTTTTCTGTAGCTTATGATTCATCCAAACCCCGAAACAAGACCATCAGCAGTGTCCTTAATTCAACATCGAGTTTTATGTCCTTTTGGAAATAAAACCAAAGCCCAACTTCGTCGAGAGTTGAATGCAGAAAAACTCAAAAATGAGATTTTATCGAAGCAACTTCAGGAAGCGGCTAAATGTATTAAGACAATGGCTCCCAATGTCACGGCTATCAATAATTCTCTTAGTAATTCCGGTGGTTACAGATTGAGACCGACTCCAAATCGAACATCATCACGGGTCATAGGAAAAAAAGTTAATCGTAGTAGTAGCACAACAAATTTTTAGAGTCGTGTTTCGAGTCATGCTCGGGATGAGGTGATAAAATAAGGCATTGTGCCTTCTATAATGTGATATCCTATTAATTTTAATTATTAAGTTAAAATATAGTAGTAAATGAAAAAATTGGCGAAATCAAATTTAAAGAAGTAGGAATGTATGCAGAGTAAAATGTTTAAGCTGTGAATAGAAAAAAAAAATTATAGGAATAAGTCGTTCGTTTACAACAATTAATTTTTCTTATAAAAACAAAAAAAATAATAATATTAAGAAACAATTAAATTCTTAAGTTCAATTGAATTTTTTTTTATCGTTTATTAGTTTTATTGAAATACGTTTTCATGATTTTATTTAGCATGAAACAATATCATCATGTTTGCTATTAATTTATTGGTTTTAAATTCAATAGATTATTCGTGATCGGAGTATTTTTACATTTTGTTTTGCACGTTTAGAGAAAAATCGAACTTATCACTGATTTACTTTTCAATCATTAAAATAATAATCAATAAATATAATTAATTGTAAAGAAATCTTTATAAGTAATAGTATGAAAAGTTTTGGAATATTTTTTCATTCGTTTGAGTTTTGACGACCAACAATCATTTTATATTACCAAGAGAAATACTAAATTTTTTTGCCAAAGGTTATTTCTATATACACCTCAGTATAGTAATTGTTTTTGCATGACAGTCATTTTCAATTATACTAAGTATTTCTTATAATGAATATTTTTACAATACTGACATATTTTAATTAAAATTTCAATTAAATCGTAAACTATATATTTTACTCTGCGTACAATAAACATTTGTATACAAAAATAAAACGATCACAGTTGAAAACTTTCAAATAACATAAAAAAAAAAATTTTATAAAATTAAATTAAATTATTTTTGTAGTATTTTTAAGAGTCTCAGTTGTTTTCGTCATTTGTCTACGAATAACATTCTTTATCTTATACATAAAAATATATATTATTTACTGTAGAATAAATATTGATGTAAAATAATTTATAATTACAGCGAAATACAATCTACTCTTAAGTCGTGTCAACTGTTAACCATTAACAATTTTTTATGTATACGATTCGGCTGATTAATGTATTGCTACAGTTTCTATATCAATTTGACATTAACATTTATTTATATTTTAATTGCACATATGAAAATCAATTGAGTTTCGGATTTTTTTATATTCTCTTAATCAGAATTATATTCAAACAACAAGAAAAAGTTTTCTGTCAATCTTTCTTTCTTGTTAGTTTAACAAATATCAGTTTTATTGTTTATTTTTATTAATTACGTTTTAATAGCTTACAATAAAACAGGAAGCATGTAACAATATACCATCTTTTACTAAATAATCAGCCTATTCTACGTAATGTATTAAAAGTTAAGACTAGCAGTGTATAAAATATCACAATTGGTTAATTAACAGATGTGAATATGTTATTTGGTGGTAATGAGATAAACTTGAGCGATAAAATAAGTAAAAGTGAGAATACTAAATTGCCATTAAGAGGGTGGAACCCAGGCAAGTGGCAAGGAAACGCTGCATGCGGCATTATGCCATTTTTTTTAGGCGAACAATAAATTGTTATCTTTCAATAAGCACCATCATCTATTATTTTTTATTTTATTACTTTATTAAAAAGAAAGAATAAAAAAAAATAATAATGTCCTAATGTTACTAATATTTTTGAAATATTAGTTAAGTCATTTTTTTTGTTATGAGTTAAATCCTTAATTTATTTGTATGTTGTTTGGACAATAGTCTTATGTGCGTAACAGCAATAAAGGCGTTATTATCAGATATTGCTAATACTTTGAATTCAGTAGATACATATTTAAATTAGCTATTTATAAGAAGCTATAAAATAATTTTTATTTTTATTTTACTTCTATCTTTAAAAAAATATCTAACTATTATTATGTTTTTCTATTATGCTTTAATAGGAACCTGATAATTTTCTATTGTCTGCATTTCTTATTTGTCGGATATTTTTTGAGCAAATTCTGCGTGATACTTAGATATATTTGAGCGTTCTTTTTTTCCTGAGAATGTTCATAAATATTTGATGCATTTATTTTTTTTAACTTCCTTTTTATTCCTGGTGAATGGACTAGAAAGGCCCCGTCGAGAATTATCAAATGATAATTTAAAAGACACATTTCAAGCATCTGAAAAAAAAATATAATTGTTTAGTAATTATTGATAATGATTTAATGATAAATGTTAAAATGCTCATTTTATAGCCTATAAATATGTTGCAGTAATAGAAAATTAAAACATTTTTAAAAGTTTTTTTAAATTTAAATTGAATAAAATTTGAAATAACACTTTTATTGCAAATAAACTTTAAATAGCTCAAAATTATGCTCATGATTTTTAAATTATGATTTGAAACGAAAGGACATTGGTATTTTTTAAAAATTTATACAATATTGAAAATATTATAAATTATTGATACTGAAAGTAATAAAATCATTGTTGTAATCAAAAAATGATTTATAATTTAACAAGGTTCAATATACTAACAGATAACTACAAAAAAATTGAAATTAACATTACATTATTTTTTAACCGTTTAAACTAGAGACTCTTGAAAATTAACAAATAAAAACTAATAGTATCTAATTGTAAAAACATTTTTTTGTAGGTTGTCTTATTTTAACCGTCCATTTATTGGTTTGGTTACCTTATTCTTATCTACTTTTTTCATTCGATACGACATGAGAACGAACTTTACCACGTAAGCTTTTTTTTATGACTAAAGTGGATTCCCTAGCACTTGAAATACTTCATGGCCAATTTAAATTGTCAAGTGAAATTAAAATAAATCATACTTGGGCCATCTTCTCTTGGCGCCCTTCCCAGGACATGTCTTCGTTATACAGTGGGTCTTCTTGAGTACCAATATAAAGTGGTTCCCACCTATGATGAGGATATTCTCTCCGAGTGACAATTAAAGGTTTCACTCGGCCTGGATCTGGTCTCAACATCCATCGTGTTATTCCTGGAAACTTCTGACAGTGTATACAAACATATCTGTGAAAGTAAACTGCCACACCATTCTTCATTGCAATCATTAACTCCTTTTTATTTTTAGGTGGTCGTTCGTTCTCTTCAATTTCAAATACAGGCACTACAAATACAAGTCCATACTGCGGTGGTTGTCCATCAATCATTTCCGAGAAACCCGAAGCAAGTTTCTCACTGGGTAACAATTCTATATCAGACACCAAAACACGAGAAGTATTTGCTAGGACTTTAGCAACATTTCTAGCAACATTAATAGGATATGTCATTCCCAGACGAAATCTTTCAGTGTCAGATCTATTTATTTGGAGATCTAGAGCAGTACAGTCTCCATAAGTTGGACAATTGTTCTTGAGGGCAGGTGGATGATTCGCTGGAAATATCAAATGGACGGATAGCTAAAGAAAATTATTATAAATCATTGAAATAATCAATGTTAATTTTAAAAAGTATTTTTACTATTCTGACCTTATTCATCTCTGGCTCACACCGACAAGCTCGGTCGAGTAGATTAACTGCAAGTCCAGCATCATATCCTGGTACAAAAATAGCTAAACTAACTGGCCCTTCCCATCTTCTTATAATTTCCACGATGTTATAAACTAGGTCAGCTGTTGCATGAGTGCACAACGTTAGTTGTGGTAATAATTTTTTATCAAAAGATTGATCGACACCTCGAATGATAAATGGAAGGATCCTATATGGTCCTTTTCTTCCTTGCTGTGGACTCCAGATGATATTATTGACCGAATAAGAGAATAACGATGGTAACCCATAGTCCCAAATGCAGGCTGCGGTGTTTTTGGGTTGATGACCAATCATATATGTACCAGGTGCGTACGCAAGCGTGAATTGTGCATTTTCCTGACCTTCTGAGCTTACTAAAGAAGCATCTTCATCGACCGGAAGTAGAAGATTTCGACCTGTCAAGATATGGATGCCAAAGAAGAAGAAAATGATGAAACTTAGGAAAAAAAACAACCTACGTAAATGCGCACGCATTCCTTATTATTATGATTTTGAACTTGCTTTCAGTCTTTTACACAAATCCATGAATTGTTCTCCACTTTTTTACCCTCACTGACACTACACCCTCATTTACTTTGCTTGCATTTTCTAATCGATGCCACATGAGCGCAAGTCTCAGGGCCGACGTTGTTACATTTCAGAACCCAAATGATTTTTTTTTTATCTTCACAATTATACTATGAAATAATCAAAAAAATATCTTAATTCATAACTGTCAGCAGAATTTTATGAAGAAATATTATGACAAGAATTCAAATGAACTGTCAGTAGTGTCAAAAAGTGATTTCTAACATAAAATTTATTCTTTCATTGTTCAAAAACGATCGATAAAAGTTAATTAAAGTCTGTAACTGAACTATCCCTCTTTTCTACATTTCTTGATCATGTTCATCTATTAAATGACGCCCGGAAGCTCTGCGGCATGCTGATAATTACAGCTAAAATGCTCTTTAATCGATTCCTTTTAACTTGACAGCGAAAATTCCTTTACAGTAAAAAGAGTAATGACCTACTAAATTGATGGACACAATCATAACACATTCAGAAACTTTTGATTACATGAGCAAGTTAATTTAAAATCTTTTATAAACATTTTAATAGTCAGATAGTACTAAACCAATCCATATTTTTTAAATATTATACTTTTGATGACAATAAATCGTATTGAGAGAAATTAAATCATTAGTCCAAATATTGTATTGCTGCATAATTTAAGTCATCACTTGTGATTGTCAAGAAAAGATGTCTGCGACCTTCAGTTAATAATAAATACTCGACGTCACACAGTAGTAAATGTTTATTTTTCGTTCATTTCATTTAATGATTTTTCATTCTTCTTTTATCTGTAATAATATTTTATATTTATATTATTCAGTTTTCTACAGAATAATTAAGTTGAAAATATGATTTTTATTTTTATTTATCGAATGTATAATGTTATTACAATCATAGTCTGTAAGATTAATGCGAAGATTAAAATAATATAAATGTAATATATTATTTCAATTACCTTGTTTTAGTATTATTTATGATCCATATAGAAGGTATGCAACTAAACATTGTATTTGGCCATTATTATTTCAGGAATTTCTAGAAATTGTATTAAACAAAAATATTTATTAAATTCATCAGTATGATTCACAGGATATTTATAAATTTTTTGGAAAAATGACATTTATCCATATCTATAAATTGATATAAATTTTATGAGTAAGTAAGTGTTAAAAATAATTCAAACACATCCATACTATCATCATCATCATACCTAGAATTTCCCGCGTGCAATACAGCCCACTTTATTCTGCGCATGGCCATTATCAGTGTATTCAAAGGTATGAATTTTTATTTCTAACCGTCTATGACTGCTTTCTTTCTCAACCCTCCGTCTATTCACATCGCACCTGTGATTTTTCGGTCATCTATACCTAGGGAAATAAAAAAATACTTGTTAATTATGAACCATCATCACGAGTAAGTATTTTAATAACTTTATTACTTCACAATAACCACAATAATAATACTCATCATCAACATTGTCTACGTTATCACACTCAATCTGTAGATTATCTAATTACATATAATCAGCTAGAGTTAAAGATCGTAAAATTTATTTCTAATTTATATTTGATTGCAGCCAAGACTTACGTGTTTCTTAGTGTTCATTATATGTATTCATATGAAGGTACCGGCTTTTCCGGTGCCACCACCAACAATAACATTCAGAGACGTTTCGGATGTTATCTCGAGACCGTGTAATCATGTTACACCTGAGCAACACACTTGCACTACTTTGTCAAACTCTTCTGGCATCAACAACTCCTCCAAGAGACGCGCGCACCGGCTGGCGCGTCTTGCAAACTCTGTACATCCACGAGTCGTCACGAGAGCGTCAACGAGAATTAACCGTGCACGTGTCACAGAGCTGAAGCTCAAGATGACCGAAAGGAGAGAAGAGGACGATGATGATGCTGATGTGGTTTGTGCGCCAGGTAGGCCACTTGTATTTTATTTTATTTTCCCACACTAATATTTGTCTTTACATTCTATTTTCAAAATAGACTATAGAAATAATTGACTGAGTTATTTATTTATTAGATTAAAATTCAACTTGATCATACATCTAAATCATACGCATTAGATTGATCAACTGACTTTGTTGAATTTTTTTTTTTTATTATTGGTAAATCCAATGACACTCAAATTCGTACTTCTTGTGAGGATGGCAACAATGGGTTTAAAAGAAGTCGAAAGTAGTTTAAATTCGATTTATTGACATTTGCCAATTGTTTTTATCATTTAATCACTATGTCAATTAATTCATCATCTATTTCACATTTTTTCATGATATATCACGAGTTTTTGTTTAGTTTCATCCAGTATCTACTAAATTAATATTAAATGAAATTTCTGAGCACTTAAAAATTTGAAAACAACTTTTTTAATCAATCGTTTTTTATTAGAAAAAAAATTCAATTAATAAATTAACCTAAATGTTATTTACAATTATCTTATTTTTAATAAAAAACAATTTCCATCATCTATGCAATTCCATATATTGATTAACATTCTAAAAACAATACATAACCCTTTGAACTTATTATGACTTTTTTTCAATTCATTTAATGTGACATTGATACAATCATTCACGAACATTTTCATTGTCACTCATAACCATCAATAGAAAGTGGGAGTTTCATGGATTTCCCTCGGAAAAAATCGATTGGTTTCACAATTATGCTACATAACCATTTAATACTCTCAGTACATTGCATACAATCGTTTATATTCAGTGATTCACTTGGTATTTATAGTACTTTCTTTTGCAATGCATTATGTTTTAGATACTCCAGCGTCCTTCGACTCGAGGACGATATCAGAAGACTTATCTGTTGATCTAAAAGAAGAAAATACTCACCAAAATACTGAAGATCCCCTTATTAAATCGATTGGTATCCAAACTCGTAAATGTGAAGGTCCATATAGGCTAAAGGTGCTTCCTTCGTTGAGAGACATCATTGATGAAGAAGAGAATGATAGTAATAAAAGGCCTGCTGCTAAATTTTGGAAGCACTTAAGGTTTTTAGGAAGGCTTTCTCTAAGTCAATTTGGTACGTTACTTTGATATCATTAATAAATGATGAATTATGTGTTAGCATGTCATAATTATTTATTTTTTTTACTCTTATTTACACTGCTTGATAATATGTTGAATGAATATAAATATTGAATTTTTTATTTTAGATTATTGACTTAATTCATTATTGAAATACTTTTCCTGCCTCCTGTTTTATCAACTTCAAGTACTGAAATTTGAATTATTTTTTTATTTTTGGTTTGGATAATTTTTTTTATATTCATTAGTAATTCAAAATATTGAGTACGATTGAATCTACGAAGTACAATAAGTATTTTTTTATATTTGCAAAAAATTAATTAAAACCATTAACTTTATGATTGAAAACAGGAAGAAGTGTTTAATTTTACGATGTCAAAAGATCTTAAACTTAAAAAAGTTCATCCAAGTTAATAAAACTTCCAAATTCTGCCAAACTGTAAAAAGAATTTTTCAGACATATGTTTTGAAGTAGTGATTATTTTAACGAACTGAAATTGAAGTAATAAATCAAACATTTAAACACTTGTCTAAATAATTCAGTAAAAGTTATAATAATAAGAAGGAACTTGAAACACTTAAAGCTTCAATCATTTTTAGTTTTACATAAATTAAAAAATAGACTATTACATTTACATAAATTAACTTCAAACTTTCTACGTCAAATTTAATATTAAAAACTCCAGAAATTGTACGAGTGATGGAGCTATTGACTGGCCTAATTTTTATTATATCAGCTTTGATTAATTTATTCCTCCTTTTTATTAATTTTAATATGAAAGAATTAAAATCAATAAACTTTATCTAATTTTAATATTTTATGATTATACAGGTCTGGCATGGCTTCTCACATTCTGGACGATTGCTGGAGCAGCAGCATTTTATGCAACAGAAGGCCCTCGGGAACGAGAACAAGTTATAGAGTTAAAAACAATGCAAAAAGATCTCGCAGTAGGTTTAGCAACAGAGCTTCGACAGTTAAAAGCTAGTGAAGAGGAAATGGAACCTCTTTGGAGCAATAAAGTTCGACAATATGTTGCGAAACACGAGAAACTTTTGTTAGCAGCAGTGAGTTCTGGTTATGGTGAAGGTGGTGGTGATAGTGGTCGATTGTGGACATTTCCCGGTTGTGTTCTTTTTGCTGTTTCATTAATTACTACTTTAGGTAGATGATCTTCTTGCATACGTACGGTATCGATTGATGATTTATCTAATCCAATCGAACCGTTATAAATTGTAGGTTTCGGAGCACCAGTACCTCGCACTACTCCTGGAAGAACTGTGGCTGTAATTTTTGCTGCAATTGGAATTCCAGCCCACTTCCTCCTTGTTTTAAATCTTGGCCTTTTGCTTGCGGTACGCCTTCAAAGGTTTGCTGCAAAGAAGAGATATGGGTCTAATTATGATGTGGAAACCGCAGAAAATTTACCTGTTCCTAAATGGGTGAAAGTCACGCCTTTTATTATTGGAGGTAAGATATACATAGTTTAAATATTTGTGGATAATTCAAAAAAAAAACTCGTTAATGTGAATACTTTGATCTAAAGTAAGATTGATCATACTCATTACTCCAATCTTTTTAGGAAAAAAATTTTATTCGAGTAAACGACTAAAGTATTTCATAAGAAATATTCCTACGAAAATGCTGAACGTTAATTTTAATTTATTTCTTTGATTAATCTTTATAATGGAAATAATCGTCTAACTTGATCCACATATGACCCGACTGTTCATAATTAAACTTAAAACGAAAAGACTTTTTTTGATGTGAGATTTAATCATATAATTTAGATGTAGGAATCACGCAGCTTGAAAAGCTCTATTTATATAAATAGAATAACAGAATACAATAAAAACAAATAAGAAGATATGTGTTTATTAATTTATTTATTTTAAATGAATGTATCGATATAAATATTTTGTTATAAGCACTGACCTATAATAGTTTTTCTTCATTTTAATTAATCATATCTACCATTTTTCTAAAACTTATCATCTTTAAAATAAATCTAATGAACATAAATAAAATTAAATCAAATTTTTTTTCTAAATTATTAAATAACTTTATGTCAATAAAATAATGGATGAACTAAATAATCAAGCTTCCAAGTTCTAATTTTATGCAGCGTGAGTAGAAAGGATTTTAATATTTACTTTTAAAATTACATCATTTGGTCGTATTATGCAATGTTGAGTTATTTTCAGAACTATTTCAATTATTCAAAACCAAAATTTTTACATATTAAAAAGAAAAAATCATAAATTCTAATAAAGCTATTAATGAAAAGTGAAAAGTTAAAATTTAAAATGCATTTATACGCTCACTTTTGTTTTCAAAATTACATAAAAATAAGAAAAAATCTTTTTTTTGTTTCAGTGAGTTATTATCTACTTGGTATCATAGGATTTGGAGCAGCAAGGTTACGACCATTAGCGGCAAGCCTGTTGTTTCCTTTAGACTTCACAGCAGCTGGTGGATTAGCTACAACTTCAGGTCCTGTTAGAATAATTTATGGTTTGTATCTTGAAGGTGCAGTCACGATAGCTGCTATGGCAGTAGCAGTACTTCAAGTGTCTGCTACGGAAAGTCTTACAAATATTGGACTAAAATACGGCCTGTTAACTGAAGCATAGTGCAAAGCACGATCAATCCTTATTATATTAACGGCAACCTAGTTGACCCTGGAAAAAGCCTAGCACATAGCGTGACTTTGATTTTTCGATAGGACGGTCACGGCTACGGTTTTCCTGCTGTATAAATGAGATAAAGAACATCAAGGACCATCACCAAAAAGCGTGAATAATCAGAAGACTTGAATTTAAAATCTTCTAACAGAAGAAAATTCAACAAAACGTACTGAGACCCGTTCAAATATTGAGCTGTGATGAACACAGTACTCTTTTTATTTTTAAATCTTTTAATTAATGATACTGAATAAAATATTTTTTATTGTAAATGTAATTATTAATATTTATAATTTATTGTGTGTAAAAAGTTGTATATGTCTATTAAATAATTATATGTATTAAAGAGATATTATATACGAATGTTATATTGAAAATGTGTTGAAAAAGTTTCATTAATACGCCAAACATCATTGAATAGTCTATAGAGTGATTCATGTTTTTTATATTCACGAACGTTTTATTTGCAATGAAAGTTAACAAGAGCTTACTGCGTTCTATAATTCATAATATTGATCGAGATAGGTCATGTGTAGAGCATAAAAGATACTTGAACTTTACTAATGGTAACGCATTTACACTATTGAAGTAATATTTAAATAATATTGTTCAAAAAATAATTTAGAAGAATTATTGATTTTTTCTACAAAGAAAAATAGCTCATGATATTCACTATTTCCGAATAACAGAGATAGCTCATTACTAATAATTATGCTTTGTTTTTTAATTGTAAGATATTGTAATGTTAATTTACATTGTTAATAAAAATGATTAAAAATTTAAACTAACTATAATTTATAATTTTAAAATATATTTTAAAATTAAAAAAATTATTATAAACAATCTGAGTAACAGGTAACTAAAGAGCCTTTATTATACATTTTTAACCACTTCATCTTTTCACTACATTCCATAATATACTCTTAATATTTTTAACTCCAACATACTCAGACGATACAATTAAAAATTAGGGCTTTAAGAAAACTGCTGAAAGTCCATTTTCTTAAACCAGTCAATTATTTAAGTCAAGGTATGAACTTTTACCTTCTATTTATTCTACAATTCAAGTCATTTTTTGCTTCATTTTAACTTCATCATCACTTCTACTTTCTTCTGTTTTTGGATTACTTTTTGGTGACCCGCCGGCAGGTTTTGTAGATGAGCTTTGTGAAGCACCGCTTTTACCGCCAGAAGAAAATGATGATGACCTTGACAAGTCACCCAAAGCTTGTCGTATTAACTCTAACAGGTGTAGAGGACCTTCATAGCATTGTTTAGCTCCTGTAATTATAGAAATTATATAATTCGTTTCAAAATCATAATTGGCACTTGTCATTAATGCTTTCATGGATATTGAAATGATTTACGAATAATTGTAGTGACTGACCAAAACAAATTAAGTCCAAAAATAATATTGCTAAATTCTTTTTTCTCACAACAAAACTTGTTTATTTTTTTTATGATTCTTAAATGGTAACCTTTATTATCGTGAGAAAAATTAGTATTTAAATTATTTTATCTTCAAAATATGAGTATTTTTCCAACAAAGATTATTGATCTTTTACTTACCTAAATATTTTTAACCAAAAATTGCTTTCTTTATTTTATTAAGTATGCCGTCGTTTTCGTCATCGCCTTGGACCTCCGGTTTCGCTTGAGTTCTCTGAGATGAGCCTAAAACAGGAATATTTATTCTCAACTCGGTTAAACAAATTTAATTTCCCATCTTGAAATCATGTCAAGCAATATTTTTATATCTTCAATCGTTTTTCATACTTTATAAAAAAGGGAAAACTCAAGCGATACCAGAAGGTATTTCTTTTTAATTAATAATATTTAGAAATATATATATATATGTCGAAAGCCACTAACCAAAATGCAATCTGATAAAATAACACATTTTTCCACACTGTAATTTTAAATACTGCTTATCTATCCTATTTACACAATATATTTACATCGAATTAATTCATTTTTATATTAAATAAAAATAATCGAATGGCATTTTGATTATTCGCTCGTCTATTCTAGTTGATCTTACCGTCTTTCAAATTTGTAATTCCATAAATAGTTCCAGGTGTGTATGTTTCTAGCTCCGCATAAGCTAGAAGTAAAGCCTTTTGTTTGTCAGTAAGTGTTGTTGGTACAGTAATTTTGATATTAACATAATGATCTCCATGTCCAACTCCATTCACTTTCCTCATTCCTTTACCAGTTAATCGTATTTTAGAGTGTGATGATGTACCAGGTCGAATTTGTATAGTATGATCTTCGTAAACTCCTTGAACCCTAATTGTACCACCAAGGGCTGCTTGTGCGAGTGATATTTCCGCGTCTGTGTGAACATCAGCTCCATCACGACGGAAGTAACGTGATTTTTCTACGCGGAATGTGACAAATATTTCTTTATTTCCTACTGCCATTCTGATTGTTTGACCGTCTTCTACACCAGCTGGTACAGGTACAATTACGTTCTTTCTTTGAACCTGAATTAAATAATAAATATAATAAGCATTTATTACTAATAACATATCAATAACAGATAAATTATCTTTTATCAAACTTAGTATTAAAATAAACTTTAATTGGGGCTTAATAAATGTAGATTGGAGTTTCAGCTCCAAAAAACTCTCATCAATTTTTTATAAGTATAATGTTTAATTGTTATTATCTATATCTAAGATTATTGAAATTAATTCAAGAACTCACCGTTTGTCCTTTTCCTTCGCATTCGAGACATGGGTATTTAATATAAACTCGGCTTCCATGACAATATCGACAAGTTGATCTCATTACGAATGGTCCAGTACTTATTGTTTCCATACCTGTACCATTACATTGTTGACATTTGATAGCTTTTGTGCCGAGTTCACAACGAGATCCATTACATTTTGGACAAACATCTACTACATTAAGAGTAACTTCTTTATTAACACCTCGAGCAGCTTGTGCGAATGATAAATTCATGACTACCTGCAATCAAACATATTTTTCTTAATACAAAATTTAATAAAATGATAAAACAAATTAAGTTATAGAAAAATACCTCTTGAGCAGTTCCAAACCCATATTTGGAATCAGCATAGTCGTCATACTCTGAAAAATCAGATGCTCTAAATCCAGCATTTCCAAAGATTTTTCGAAAAAGATCTTCTGGATTTATTGTTGACTGAAAATTCCAATTATAATTGGCTTCTTGAGACTGTTGTTGACCACCTGGGTAACCTCCGCCCATTCCCATTTGTTCGGAAGTGGCACCCCAAGTGTCGTATTGTTTTCTTTTTGTTTCATCACTGAGAACTTCGTAAGCTTCTGATACTTCTTGAAACTTTTTGTTCGCATTAGGATCATTCTTGTTAGTGTCGGGATGATATTTCTTGGCAAGCTGATAATAAGCTTTTTTTATATCTTTAGCTGAAGCATTTCTAGTTATACCTAATATTTCGTAATAATCCTTTTTTACAGCCTTCAAGCTATTTGTTGTATGGAAATCTCGTCGCAAAAAAAGAAAACGTTTGGTATCTAGAACATTAACAAAATAAAAAACGATTACAAACGATATCAATTAGTAACAAGAACCTCGTGTTTCTGTTATAAAAGTGAGGTTGGAAATAATTTCGAAACCTAATTGATTGTCACGTTAGAGACACTCTAATACACCATGAAAATTAAATGTTTATGTACAATTCAATCACAGTAACAGCAAATGTTTTAAAAAATCAAACAAATTCAATATGATGTAATCTTAAAAAATGAAAGATATGCAAAAGCGCATTACATTTTTCATTGATACTCGTAGACCACGCATCGACACTAAATGCTGTTGTTCCGAATAACCGTTGACACTCGTGACATTTTGGTAAAATATTTGATTTGATTGTATTAATATTATTATTTCTTATAATACGAATACTGCACGGTCGAAAAATAGAAACTATTCCTTTGCCGGTCGCCATGATAAAGAAAAGACATATGAGTAATTGGAGTGCACATGTGTTGAAACTAGACGAACAAAAAAAAGGTAAGAGGGTTTACTCACTGCAAAAATTGCCCTTTATGAGGTGGCGCTGCTTGCCATTTCTGAAAGGTACCAAAATTAAATTAGTGAATTTATTTATTTATTATATTGTTATTTATTTATTTCTTTAAAATTAGCAGTTAGAAAATACTTGTAAGGAAGATGTAAAATTTATTACTGCTGAGGATCCTGTTGAGGATAAATCAACATAATATTTATATTAATTAATTGTATAAAACTAAGTAATTTTCATTCTGAATTTTACTAGAGAGAGCAACATATCAAGTCTTAAGGCGGATTTTTCAAAATTCAGTTAAAATTTATAAAAAAAATTTTCTTATTTACCATACTATTTTTTAGATAATTTATGATCAACTTTTATATAAAAAAAACCAATAAATAAATTATACTCTGTGGAGAGAAATTTAAGGTGATTATACCTAAATATGGCCTAGTCTCAATAAGATACAAATAGCGCTCTCAATATGGCATCTTACGTGTAAATCGCCATCTTTAAATATGGCGCTATCTCTTTTAGTATATGGGATTCTTTTTAATCATTATTATCTGAAGGTTCGTAAAATATGTATTTTTTAATACTTAATAATGTCATTCCAATTGAATTTGTCAATTTAATAATTTTATTCGATAATTGGACGTATTAAACATTTATAATATTTTAATATGTGAAGGTTAGATTTTTAACATATTTTAAAAAAACTCTCTTACTAAATATTAATCAGTATTATGCAATTACTTAGTAATATTGTTGCGATTCTGTTTCATTAACATGGTGTATAATATTTCTATTTTCATTAACAGGTAAATTTTGAAGTGAAGTTAATCTCCAAACCTGATACTGAAAGTCTGAAAAATCAAGGTGAAGATAGGCCGTAATGGCCACCTGGGATGGCTCCTTTCAAGGAGAATCCCATGAGGATGATTATTATTATCACCATTCAGATTCTCAGAATGTAAGTTCCAATCAACAGTCCTGGAAGTATTACAATGCATCCTCCAATTATGTTGATAATAGCACTGTAAATCAACAAAAAAATTTTAACTTTTCAACCGGAGTATTTCAAAATTATCAGGATGCATCTGTAAATAGTAATACCAGTTCAACAAACAACTCCAATTATTATATTGAAGATAATCGACTACCATCAAATTTCTATACACAACAGAATTATCAAGTGGACATTTCAGATGATTCAAAACCAAGGAACTTTGATTCTTACAGTATCAGTCATTCAAATTTGCATCCAGATGCTAATGAATTTGTTCCATCTAACAGAAAGCCTGTTGAATATCCAAAAACATTTTTTGCTGATAATCAAAGCAGATACAATCATAAAAAGTATGATAATAGAAAAAATAACGAAGGCTATCGACAGCAAAGTAACGACTATTTAAGAAGTTCTTATAAACATTATGAAAAACATCGAAAGGATCACACTTCCAGCAATCACACATTTACTAACGAAACCTATTCTAATTCTGCTGTTCCTGAAGATCATTTAAATATTAAAGAAAGTAATGAAGAAGAATTTAAAGCTTCATCTAGCAACGATTCTTCGAAAGGATACAAAGGTCGGAAAAATCGAAATGATGGCAGATTTCAGAATGATAGATTTTCTAATAGTCGTTATTATAATAATGGAACTACATCTACGTCAAATTATCAAAACAATTCGAATAGGTGGAGAAATACATCAAGCCTTAATGATATTGGTGATGGAGAAAAGTTAAATCGAAGTAAGCTATCAGTAAAAGAATCAGTTTCTAAAGATCCTCGTGATGAAAAATATCGTCCAGGTTCATCCTCTACAGGTTATAATAATTATGGCGAGCATTCAGAAATGGATAGAACATCAAAGAAAGATAAAAGACGAGCTAAAGGCAAAGATGCAACCTACTCTGATGAATATCGAAATGACAAATTTAGAAACTGGCGAAATTCTTATGAAGAAAAAAACTCTAAAAGCCGAAAAAATCATCAAACTAATTACCGAGAAGGTTATGATCATGATTCAAAGTTTGATAAGTCTGAAAAAGTTAAAGAAGATGATAAACCGAAAGAAAACTCTACAAATCGTGAAGAAAAGCCTGTTAATTGGCGTCTGAAGTCAAATACTAATCGAATGAAGAAAATTAATAAAGCTGATTTAGATGATGCATCAAGTCAGAGAGAAAGATTAACAGAACAATTAAATAGAGGACAATTAGAATGTTTAGTTTGCTGTGACTCTATCCGGCAAAATGATTCTATTTGGTCATGTGATAACTGCTATCATGTTCTGCATTTAAAATGTATTAAAAAATGGGCGGAATCATCACAGAGTGAAAGTGGCTGGCGTTGTCCTGCTTGTCAGAATGCTAATCTAGCCATCCCTGAAGATTATAATTGTTTCTGTGGTAAAACAAAAGATCCTGAATGGAATAGGAGAGATGTAGCACATTCTTGTGGAGAAGTATGTGGTAGGAAAAGAAGAGCACGAGAAAAAAATATTTGTGTGCATAAATGTACTTTGCTTTGTCATCCAGGATCTTGTCCTTTGTGTATTGCTATTGTAACTCGTTATTGTGGTTGTGAAAGAACTTCACAAAATCTTAAGTGCAGCACTGATACTCAACTACTATGTGATGCTGTTTGCGAAAAACTTTTGAATTGTGGAATTCATAAATGTGAAAGACAGTGTCATCATGATAACTGTGGTCCTTGCACAAAAACAATTCATCAAGAATGCTTTTGTGGTAAACATAATCGTGATGTTGCGTGTTTACCAAATACTCCATCGATGTACACTTGTGAAGATACTTGTAATAAATTACTAGAATGTGGGAATCATTATTGTAAAGAAAAATGTCATCCAGGAGCCTGTGGAACATGTTCATTGAAACCAGAAATAGTTACTCACTGCCCTTGTGGCCAAACTCTTCTAACAATAAAACGAGAATCTTGTTTAGATCCCATTCCTACTTGTGATAAAATTTGTTCGAAACAACTTAAATGCGGTCAACCAAGTTCTCCACATAGTTGTAAAGCTCTTTGTCACACAGGTGATTGTCCACAATGTGATTTAACAACTTGGGTCAAGTGTAGATGTGGAAATATGGATCGAGAAATTCCTTGTTCTGATCTAACAACAAAAGCTGATGATGCAAGATGTGAAAAAAAATGTACAAAAAAAAGATCTTGTGGAAAGCATAAATGCAATCAGTTATGTTGTATTGACATTGAACATATTTGTCCTTTGCCTTGTTCTAAAACTCTCAGTTGTGGACGACACAAATGCGAACTTACTTGTCACAAAGGGAGATGTCAGCCGTGTTATAGAAGTAGTTTTGAAGAGTTATTCTGTGAATGTGGTGCAGCTGTTATTTACCCACCTGTAGCTTGTGGAACAAGACGACCAACATGCAGTCAACCTTGCTCTCGGCAACATTCTTGTGGTCATGAAGTTTTGCATAATTGTCATAGCGAAGCATCGTGTCCACCTTGTACAGTTTTAACTCAGAAATGGTGTTATGGTAAACATGAGCTTAGAAAAGCTGTTCCATGTTATTACAACGAAATTTCTTGTGGAATGCCTTGTGGAAAGCCAATTAGTTGTGGTAGACACAAATGCATTACACTTTGTCATCCTGGACCTTGTGAAAAACCTGGACAAGTTTGTGTTCAACCTTGCACTACACCTAGAGAACTTTGTGGGCATATTTGTGCAGCTCCTTGTCATGAAGGAAAGTGCCCTGATACTCCTTGTAAAGAAATGGTAAAAGTAACATGCACATGTGGACATCGAAGTATGACCAGAGCTTGTGCCGAAAATTCGCAAGAATATCAAAGAATTGCTAGTGGAATTCTTGCGAGTAAAATGGCTGATATGCAATTAGGACATTCAGTGGATTTAGAGGAAGTTTTTGGTCAAAGTGCACGAAAACAAAATCAGTTGAAAACTTTAGAATGTAATGATGAGTGTAAAATAATAGAAAGAAATAGAAAGTTAGCATTAGGTTTACAAATTGCTAATCCGGATCTCAGTAGTAAACTTTTGCCAAGATATAGTGATTTTATGAAACAATGGGCTAAGAAAGATCCAAGTTTTTGTCAAATGGTTCATGAAAAGCTTACAGAGTTAGTTCAATTAGCTAAAACATCTAAACAAAAGTCGAGAAGTTATTCTTTTGATAGCATGAATCGAGAGAAACGGCAATTTGTTCATGAAGCGTGTGAACATTTTGGATGTGGAAGTCAAGCTTATGATCAAGAGCCTAAAAGGAATGTTGTTGCAACTGCTGTAAAAGATAAGGTAATTTTTCTTGAAAAAAAAATTATCCTTAAATAAATTAATAATTAATAAATTATTTTTCAGTGCTGGCTACCAAGTTACAGTTTATTAGAAATGGTCCAACGGGAAAATGGTCAACGAAAAGTGCCAAGGCCAATGCTCAATTCAACGAAAACTAATACTTTAATTTCACGGTAAGTTGGTAAAAAATGTATATATTGTCAATTTTGTTTTAATGAATTTTAATTTTACAGAACTTCAGAAGTTCTACCATCAACTGCTAAGAAAACTCAAATGCTTCAGCCTTCAACTTCAAGCTCAAAGGTTTCAGAGCAGGAGATAGATTATTTTGACTACTCCAATTCCAAGGGAAGTTAAATTTCATTGAAAATTAAAGCAATCATTAAGTTTGAATTAATTATCAGTTTTGTAATTAATTGTTTAAATTATTTTTCAAAACATCATGTATTTTATATTTTTAAATCTTAAAAACTTCGATTTCGGTTTGATTTAGAAAAAATATTACATTTTGCTCCAAAATTTCATGTTTTCAATAGAAAGTTTTATGCTCAGAAAAACATCTGCATTAACAAAGAATAGAAAAGGATATTTCTACGTTAAACACAATAGTTGTATTATAATAAAATTGTTTAGTTGTTGTAATTTACAGTAATTCATATGCAATGAATTTTTTACTGTTCAATTTGATAGTAGCACAGAAATAATGTCATTATAAATGAATGGAAATGAAGGAAAAATATACAGAACCATCAAACATGAAAACTTTATTTTATTGACAAATTTTACCTTATTTCTTATTTTATCCTCTTGTAGAAGTCTTAAATATTAGAGTGTATATTAAATAGTAAAATCAATATTGACAGAAATTCTCAATACAACATTTTTGCATCAATTTCAAATTTTTTTTTTTCTTTTGGTAACTCAGTTTATTCAATTTTTGAAACACTATTAATGATTGATAGAAGTATGAAGTCATCATAATTTGATCAATGTTTTTTTTTTTTTTTAGCATTAGACTATGTACATAAAAGATTGCTAATTGTACGAGTAAGAAATACAACTGTTTATTTCAATGACTGGAATATTCAAAATAATATTTAATATTTCGAAATTTTTTATTTATTCAAATGCTCCAATCATCTTCTAATAATTATTTTTTAATTTTAACAATATATTGTCTGACTATCTATAGATGATGTCATTATTTTATTATATGAATGCTTAAAATTAAGTAGTTTAAAATGTTCATATTGCAAAAAAATATGTTTATAATTTTTAAAAACTCTGTTATAAATATTTTATGTAATTTTTTCTGATATATTTTTTGTAGTATCACTTGTCCTTTTATTTTTTAAAACTTATTGTGCATTTAGGAAAAACATTTTTCAAGAATTATTCATGAAAAAATGATATATCTTTTCTCTCCTTAACTTTTTCATGATATTTGTGTTTTTTTTTTTGTTCAATATAATTTCTCTTAACTTATTTGTTTTTAGTTTAATAAACATTTAGAATAGATAACATGAGTAGTTTTGGCACATCGAAACATCTACTATATGATAATGAAAAATCTAAAAACGTTCACAATGTCATGAGTACTCATAAGTATTCCTAAACATTTTTAATTGAAGTTTTTGTACTTGTATATTTGACTTCTAAGATACTTTACTGACTTATATAAAAAAAAAAAAAAATCATCATTATTATTTCAATACATTAAAACGAAATTTCTGTAAAAATATTTATTAGTAATGCTTGCAAATAATTTAAATTATATTTTCATTCTCTTATAATTGTTGCAAAAAAAACCATTTAATAATATTTCGAATACCAACAATAAATATTATTAAGACGAGTACTGATATCATTGAAAACAATCGATCTAACTCTACAAACATCAAGATGCATATCACATATAGAATCATAACATTGTTAATTTTCATAATGAAAAACATTAAAGTCATTAGTCTCAAGTATTAAAATATTTCGGTTGAACATTTAAAGAGTCGGGCACTTGAAAAATTGGGTTTGAAGTGTACACTGATTGTGTATAAAAAAAAAAATAAAAAAGTTATTCATTTTTATTACTACTTATTACATTTATTTATCATCAACTTAGATAAATAATATAATAACTGAATAAACTTCCACTTTTTTATTTTTTTTGCAAACTTCAATCTTTATGTATAATATATATGTTGGTTTTGATTATAAGTTTTTATTTACAATAGAATTAAATATTAAAGCCCTCCCATGATGCTCATCATGATCTTTTTCATAGAAAATAAATAAATTGATTGATAACGTAGACTTGAGCCATTTTAGTCATAGTAAAAAAATAAATTTAATGACGAGATTAACCATTAAATGCTCAATATATGCGGAATTTTATCATATTTTCACTGATATATATTCAACTAATTTTATTTGATAAAAAATAAATAGTTTATCAATTTTTAATCTGATGATTATCTAAATGAATGACTTTTTTTATTGGACGATAGAATTATTAATTATCAACACATTGATAATTTTTTTTTTTTTTTAAATTAATTGCTATTAATTAACACTTGTATATTGTTGCATTTCCACATATTTTGTTTAATGTTGAACACAATTTACTTTTATTTAGAATCCAACTTTAAACTATTGCTGTTAAATAAATAATCAATCGATAATTTAATCATTTATATCGCTTTCTTCATTATTTTTCTCTTTCTGTTTTTTTTTTTTTTTAATTATAATTTTTTTTTCAGTTTTTCATTAGTCTTTAAGTCTTTTGTTCACAGCAATTTCATGTTCCCAAGTTTGATTTTTATGAAAGGTATGTATATATAATTAAATTTATTATTCTAGTCTTACTAGAATCAATTGGAAAATTTTTCAACATATTTACCTTCATTGCTGCTATTTAATCAAACTTTAATAAAAAAAAATCCATTTATTGGTGTAATATACACCCACTATACTTTAACTCGTGAATAAAATTTTAACATTGAATAATAAAAAAAGTACTGATGTTTTTGATCGATTTATAATAAATAAACAAATAAAAAATCTAAATACAGTCATTGCTTTCTGAAATGTTTCATGCTCCTAATTTCAACGGATTTCATATGTACGGATCATCGCGATTCTTCAGTCGATAACTACTGTTATAATTAGGAAAATATTGATGTCTTGGACTTACAGATGATTGTTTGGTAATACTTGCCATAGCACAACCCATTATTAATTCTAATCCACGACAGATGGTTTGATAAATAATCCAAGGTACAGGCTTTGGATATTTCACTGTTTTAAATTGTTCACCTGGTCTTATGGTATCAGCTAGTAATCCTAAAAACAAAAAATTCAATATTTACGAAGAGCATGAAGAACAATAAATACAACCTACCATATGGTCCAAATATTCGTATGATGTCTGCGATGCATAAAATTATCCCTAAGATTGCTGTTGCATAAATAACATGAAGAATTCTCTTAATCTGTGATTTACGAGCTGCAGCAGTACTCGATTCTGGAACGTGAAGTGGAATGCTTGATTTCGACCGATTTACATGGGCAATGTGATTGAGAATTGCATGAAGAGTAAAGTCACTTCCCTAGAATAAATTAAACGATTTAATCTTAATAACATAAAAAAACACTAACATTATTTAAAATAAACATTTCAGAATAATTACCCCTACTTTATTATCTATATTTTCTGGCAACAGACTGCTTTCAGCAGTAATATCATCATTTCTACAAGAATCAATATTTTTCCATGAAAGACTTTTTTTACGATTTTTTGGTTCACTTTCTGGATTTTTTGGTTTATCATTTGTCATTAATGCAGCCTTTTCATTACAATCTGGTTGTTCTGAATCTGATTCAGACTTTTCGAGAATCTCCATCTTTGGTATTGAGCTCTGGAAGTGAGTAGGACTTTTATCCAATGTTCTAATACTGACGTCACTAGTTCGGCGATTCATTACGAATGGTTTTATTTCAGATAGCTCTGAATTACGTCTGTAAGAAATATCACTATTTCTCCGAGATTCTGGTATTTTTACACTTGCTAATCCACCAATATCAGAATTACGTCGAGAGCCTTGAATTAAAAAGAAAAAAAAGCGTTAATCACTGGTTAATTAAAAATTTGATTCATATATTAATAATTATTACCAGCCGGACTAATATCCAATACCCTAGGTAATCTTGGATGATCATCTAATTGCATCATTCTCTTGGGTGTTCGATTACCAAAATCAGAATTTCTCCTTAGCTTAGTAGCAAACTGTGAGCTTCTATTTTTTTCATGAGTGAAATCTGAGCATCTTCTGATATCTTTAGTACTTCCAGTAGGTGTGGGCATATCAGAATGTCTTCTCATAGCTCCTTCTGGCGTTCTTGGTCGATCATAAATTGGCGAGTGTCTATTTTCTGCTATCGACGATGTATCATCCCTGCCAATAGATTTAATACTACATTCTGAGTTTCTTCTGGATTCCCTAGATACATCACTTCCTCTTCGACTGCTTGCTACAGAACTTCTCCGACTTGCACTGGAAATTGTTATTATAGGAAGATTTGCTATTGGAGGAGTTGGCGTTGGTGGTCTCACATAAACTTCTGGTACTGTAGAGGTAGATTGATTTTGTTCTTGGATATTTTTATTTATTGACATCGCTGTTGTGTCAAATTTATCTTTTTCTTCTGAATTCATTTTATTATTTACTTCATTCTTGTTATGATTGACTGCATCGCGTTCATCAGGCTTGGATTTTTGGCTTAATAATGTTGGAACCAATGCTGCAGCTACGGAAGATGCCAGATTGTTGTAGGGAGCCAGCATTGCTAATTGCATGATTCCTAAATACATATTAAATAATTGATGAAATAAAGATTTTTATTCTATATGGTACAAAAAAAATTAAATAATTGCCTTTCTGACTTCCCAAAGAGTTATCTCGAGTGAGAATGTGATTTGGTAAATTCTTTAAAAGATTCATGACTTTATAGCCAGCATGAAGGAAGGTCAAGTACAGGAGTATACTCCAAGTGAGATAAGCACTTTGCACCACATACTTGGTAATAAAGTGATTATGGAATGCTAATGCTACATCACTTGCTATTACACACGAAAAGTGTGAAGTTATGATAAGACTTAGGCATGATTCTTTTTGTATCTTTGCCGGACCAAACTTAAGCTGGAAGATTAAGAGCAAAATTGATAGAATCAGTATTTGGTTGTTAATCCAAACTATCTTTCATGTAATTTTAACTTGTAATTGCACCTGCGTGAGTTGGAGGAAAGCAAGTTGTATGAGGCAAAAGGCCGAGGTCACGCAAGGAAATCCAATGTCCCACATTATTGAACCAATTACTTTTGGCATTGTCTGGAATTATCATAAATTGACTGTTTCATTATCTGTTCAATATTAATACATTTCCTGGTCATTAAATTGCATAATTTTTATATAATATTCTGGATATATTTTTTTCTAGATATTTAACAAAAACAATTACTTCTTGGAGATTGTAAGGATCTATAAAAAGACAGCCACTTCTCGACGCTCCCAAGAGACAGAGAAATATGTTGATTGATGACATGAAAGGCCGACTGGACAGGAGAGATCTATAAAAAAAAGTTTTATTGTAAAAAAACAACCTTATTATATTTAGGAAACACATAAAAAAATTAAATAGATAAATTTAATTATTAAAATAAAGTGAGAATTGTTTAAATTAAAATTAGCTTATATTTTAAATGAAGATAAGGACTCGACAAAAATAATATTAAAGTTTGACAAAGTTGGTGAAAGTTTTTAATGAATAATAACAACTTAACTTTTATCTTTGTATATCTATATATAAACTATTTAATTTAAAACAATAACAAAAAGAGTTATGTTAAATGAAATACCTGAGGTTTAAAATAGAAAACAATGTGTAGAAACTCAGTACAAAAAAAAGACATCCAAAACCATATGAATGTAAAGAAAAGATCCATTTTAATTCTTGATCAACTTGATCTAAAGGTGGAGTAGTTATGAGAATTTTATCAAATAAAATTGATGAATTGCCCACGCAATTTTGTCCAGGATTAGTTGTTGCATTTTTATCTGAAATAAATTATTTCAATCAATTGAATTCAGTGTTTAATTTTTATCTAAATGAATAAATAAATGAAAAACAATCAAATAAAAAGAACAACGAAATTAAAAAGTCAAATAAATAATAGAAAAATTAATCAATAAAGTTTTAATAGAGAACTTTATGCATGGATGCTGCGAATTGATTTTTGTTTATTTGTCATATTAATCAGACAATGTGATCATAATAACAAAGATATTGTATCATTTTTAATCAAAGAAAATAATAATATTAGTGAATTCTATCAATATTATGACAGTCTTTGTTAATAAGAATAAAAAACATTATTTAAATAAATATATTTATTTAATTATCACTCACCATGGGTCGCATTAGCAAGTTTATCCATAATCTTTTGAGTGCAAATCACCACACATCACTTGACCGCCCTTTTAAATAACAAATGAAGAATTAATAGTGATGAATAAAAATATTAAAATATCGTGGTGAATCAGACGCACTCACCACTAAAACTAGTTGCAAAGTGCAGCGGCAGCAACAGGCTTTGTCTATAGAGTAATTTCATTCGCACCCCTACCCTTTTGCAAGCGTCAGAAGAGATATTCTGTCTCCCTTGGGTAGGGAATATTGATCTTCTTCATAGGAAATAGGAGGAGGGAGTATAGAGAGATAACTTGTTACCTACCCATCCTCACAGTCCACAAGCTTTTTAGATTGTTTATTTTTGGGATTAAATTTGCTCACTCATTACACTTACAAGTTTTTATTATATTTTTATATAAAATTGGTAACAATTATTCATTAAAATCTACAAATGGTATTCAATTTTTATTTTTATTGCTTTCAGGATTTGTATTGAGCTTTTTCTGTTTCGTATAAAATTTTCAAAGAGATGGGACGACCTAGTTATCTTATGACTACATGGACAAAGTGTCTTCAACTTCATCTCAAAGAATAATCAACATCATGAAATTGAAAGTATTTCAAATTCTTGATAATAAAATAATATTCATTCTATCTATTATTTTAAATAGTTTATTTACATCTTGGAGTTTATTGTTTCAAATTATTTTTTTTATGTTTATTTTTTGGGACTTCTAAAAACTATTTTTAATATTTTATAAAAGCATAAAAACTTTGATAAATAAATTTGGGTTATTTTTTTTAGGTTAAAAAAAAACAACCAACGTCATCATGTAGGTATCATGAAAAAAAAAACATCTTAACTTGTGAAAAATCATTGTGAGGGTTTTTACTGTTTTGAGGCAATAAAAGTCGGTCACTTCCGATGTTGAATATAGTCTAGAGAAAAGATTATCACCTCTTCGATCGATTATTGACGTTAAGAGTGAGGTTTTTATCTATATTTAGAATAAACTACGTGATTTCTATGATCGATTACACGAGTTCATTATGTTTTTTATACGATAATAGACCATGTAAGTTGGTGAATTACAATTAAGTCATCCTTAAAATAGTTTAGGAGCAAACGGATGCATGCAAGGGCAATTTATTTATAATTGAGTAGTAAAAAAATCATTTTATTTATTAATTCAGTAATCAATGATTCAAAATTACGTTCAGCATTGTCGCCCATAAAGTTCTAAAAATATTTTCATCAATAAATTAATTATACTTAATCATCAACTGATTAGCAATAAATAGCAATACTTATGCTCTGATTATTTACATTACAATTAAAGTGATAGAAAAAACCTTGTTCAAGCATTGAATTGTTGGTAAAGTTCATAGAATATTTTTTTTTTCTTTTTTATAAAAAATTCTAATGCTTGAATAAATCAAAATTATAATAAGATTGTTAGATCTTAATCAGTGAAGTTGACAAGCTCTAACTGCGACTAATTGAAGCAGTATAAATACAGGACTCAATACCTCTGAATATTCAAGATTACTTTGACCTGATAATTTTTTACATAGCAAATATTTGAATACAAATATTAATAATAATGATATCAAACTCCATAAACCACGTAATATTCCTACTTTAATCATTCCTTCCATGTGCATTCGTATGAATATGATTGCACAAAAATAAGTATTTAAACCATCAGCTATAAAAAGTGGTGAAAAGACGATCCACCAACCAGAATAGCCGATAAAATAATCCTCATCTAATTTTAAAGCTAATAAAACAGTGAATATTGTAAGTGATACTAAATTTATCCATATTTCAAAGATGGTTAGTCCCAACCAGTGTACTAATTCGTTTAAAGAAAATATCATTTTTTAAACATTGATTTCTTTTGTCTCTACCAGGAAGACATTTGAGCGAAAGTTAAATACATAATAGATAAATATAACTATTATAATTAAATTTAAATACTCAGAAGTAAAAAATTATAAGTTACTTTTTTGTTTCCTTAGCATATCTGAGTGAACCAAAATTAACAACTTTAAACACTCGGATGTGTATTGCAGAATTTTGCCTTTTGTTTATCGAATAATCGTCATCATCAGTAAGTGGTATAATGTCATCTGTGTAAAAAAATATTATGTAATAAATACATTATTGATTGTTAAATTTATTATCATACCTGTTAATCCTACAGTTGAAGTTTCAATGTCTAAATCAACAGTTTGGTGGTGATTACTTTGTAATTGTAATGCTAAAGTACAAGCTTTACTTATTGCTGCTCCAAGACCATGAATAAATATTTCAGATTCTCCGGAGTCAAGAAGTTTTTCACATTTTTTTAATTGAGCCTAAAAAGATAAGTTTCAGCGTCAATAAACCATCCTTTTAACAGAAATATTACTGCTTTCTGACATTTAAATATTGTTGACATGAATTAGCAGAGAATTTCAAATAATACAAAAGTAATGAATGATTAACATGTTAAAAAATTATATAAAAATTTTTTTAATAAATTGTAAACATAAAGTAAAAATATTTTTAAGGTTAAATAAATTATGCGGTTTACTTACTGTGAAGCTCGATTGATTAGAGACATAAACGTCATTTTTTTTACGACCACTACTCAAAGGATTTCGTTTTTTGATTAAATAATTGGAATTTTTTTCCAATGAACTTTTTGGTTTACTTGAGGAATTATCTTTTTTATTATTAAAATCTACTTGTTCACTTTCATCAGCCATTGTGCTCCATGTTAACTCGAACCACGTGACCAATGACTCCGAAAAATAACGAATGTTTATAGGTTATTTCTCATGGATCTTCTTTCACTGCCCAATTGAATTTATTTTTTGAAATAAAATTGTAATGGAAATTTATAAATATATGTAGACAAAATCACAACAACATGACATAACCTCAACAGATTTGGCATCGATTAATGGGCGTTCTGTTCTTTCCTAGAAAGTAAGAAATAAATTGCAAAAATTCAGTCCCCGGAAAAAATGACTGAAAATAGTGTGAAAGAGCCGGAGATAGATCCAAAAAATGTAATAAAAAATAGAGAACTTCTCTACAGATTAATTATCAGGTTTGAATTTTTTGTATTTACTTTATAAATATTTTAATAGTAGTTTACATAAATATCTTCTACGCATTTATTTTCGTATAGTTTATTTTATTCGTCATTTAAACATATTAAAAAAGCCTTTTAATACAAATAATTTATTCTTTCTAACAATTATTTTGATTAAAAAAATTTTTTTTCAGTCAATTATTTTATGATGGCCATCAAACACTGGCAGTACAACTGTCGAATCTGATTCAAGCAGAACCACCATGTCCACCATCGGACAGATTACTTCATTTAATGTTAATTGGAATGGCTCATGAGCCAGATAGATCAAAGAAGGAAAATAATCATCAATCATCTTTCAGTAATTTTGATAGTACATTGGGACCTGGATTAGACTTGGAATATGAAACTGAAACACAAACACAAGCTCCAGAACCAGCTCAATATGAAACCGCTTATGTGACCTCTCATAAAGGCAATTGTAGAGCTGGAGCATTTTCGCCTGATGGACAATTAATAGCAACAGGATCTGTAGATGCATCAATAAAAATTTTAGACGTTGATAGAATGTTGGCCAAATCTGCTCCTGATGAAATGGCTCCAGGAGATCAAGCTGGCGGGCATCCAGTAATTAGAACTCTCTATGATCATTTAGAGGAAGTAACATGTTTAGAGTTTCATCCAAGAGAGCCTATTTTAGTCTCAGGGAGTAGAGATTTTTCTATAAAGTTATTTGATTACTCCAAAGCCAGTGTAAAAAAAGCCTTCAGGACTATAACTGATGCCGATCAGATTAGATGTTTATCTTTTCATCCAACGGGAGACTTTTTAGTTGTTGGAACTAATCATCCAGTTATACGACTATATGATGTTAACACTGCTCAGTGTTTTGTTTGCAGTATTCCTAGTCATCAACATACTGATGGTATTACTAGCATCAAATATTCTCCTGATGCTAAAACTTATGCTTCTGCTAGCAAAGATGGCAGTATTAAAATTTGGGATGGTATTTCAAACAGATGTATCAATGCTTTTGTCAAAGCTCATGACAGCTATGAAGTTTGTTCTGTTGCATTTACACGAAATGGAAAGGTATGTAGCAATATTGATAATTTTAGTTTATACCAGTGATGTTTGAAATAATATTTTATTATGTTTTTTAGTATCTACTATCATCAGGGAAAGATTCTTTAATAAAATTATGGGAATTATCAACCAGCAGATGTTTAATAGCATACACAGGTGCAGGAACTACAGGTAAAATCAGTAACAATAAAGTTCTAAAAGTATTTTACTGAATATTATTTATTTACTTTAAACTATGTTGTCTAGACAACTTATGAGTAGAATTTAAAATACGAAATTGTTTTATTTACTTTAGGAAAACAAGAACATAAAGCTCAAGCAATATTTAACCACACTGAAGATTACGTAATGTTCCCTGACGAAGCCACAACATCTCTTTGTGCATGGAATTCAAGAAATGCTTCGAGAAAACAACTATTATCATTGGGACATAATGGCCCAGTTCGACTGATTGTTCATTCCCCTACAGCTCCAGCATTTTTGACTTGCAGTGATGATTTCAGAGCACGATTTTGGTTCCGACGAATGCCTACACATTAAAAATGATGATTAATCTGATTAAATATTTAAGAAAAAAAGACTTCACTGGTGAATTTATATTTTTATATTATTAGTGATGATGAATTATTATTCAACTTTGTGGATTTCAAGCAATTAAATGAATGAATACATGATATTTATAACAAAGAAACAGATCTATTGCCGTTTAAACTACCAGTCAGCAATCAGTAAACTAAAAAATTTACTGAACATTTATTTTATTTTTAAAAGTATTTTTATTTATTTATTATAGTTAATTTAGGATTCAATAATTATCAACAATACCATAATTTAGGTATGTATCTTATTTAATCATAATAACTTAATCTTTGAAATTTTTATAAGAATACTAACATATTTTCTAATTATTTTTAGGTGATCGAAACATTATTAGATTAAAAAAATAAAGGTAAAAATGGAACATTAAAAAAATTAATCTTCCCTGTTTAATTATATGAATTACGTAGCTTGATAAAGGTATCAAGGGTAAGTTTGTAAATTGTTAGATAACATATTTCAAATTTAATTCTTTTTCACAAGTTTGAATGGATGATTTTAGTTTTCAGATGTTTCTGGAATAATATGAAACATAATTATTATTAAAAAAAAAATAATAATAACAATCGAGTAAATATAATATTTCTATTCATTTGAAATTGGGAAAAATTTTGAAGAAAAATAGAAAAGTATCTATTCAATTGGAATGTAAGAAATTTAATTTAACACCATAGACAAACTGAAGCGTCACCAAGCGCGAAGTTTGTTGAAACGACGTGTGATGTCGCTTCGAACTCCCGCTCCGCGTTTGACCACATCACGTGACCCACGCTAACCGCCATCTTTGCTTATCGTATAAACAGTGCGACCGGGCGCAACGAGAATTAACGTTGGTAAATTCGTAGTATTACCGTGTTTGTTGTGTGATTGAGGTGCAAAAAGATGTCGGAAATCAAGACAGAAACAAAGAATGATAATAATATCGACGATATATCTAAGGTAAGTGGTTGGAATTATTGAAAAAAGCTTCGTCAAGCCGAGTTTTCATGCTGAAGCGCCGTGTCGTGGCTGAAATATGGGATAATGCTCAAATCTTAGAAATTCAGAGCTCCTAAGTGATTACTTATTAAGACTTAGTATTTCTTATTAATCAGGTACACATTTAGCTCCATTATTTGCCATATAAAGTATCGCTTAGGTACGTAAATTGAAAATTCTGCGATTTTTTGAAGCTGCGCCGTACGTCCTTCATTGGCAAAGATGGTGGATGTTTTTTATTTGTGACTCTTGTGACGAGAGTCGCTGCTCTCCACGCCGGCAGTTTGGCTTTCAAAAAGGCGGGAAATCACCAGTTTTACTATATCGTTGTCGGTCATCGTACGCTCCATTATAATTTCACATTACATTTAAATTCATTCAACTAAATTAACTAGATCATGATAATCAATATTAATTACCAATTGATTCCCGGAAATGAAAAAAAACCAGTACCGCCCATGGTTCAATGGTCTTCGATAGTCTTATCAAAGCTTAACAATTATCGTTATACAGAAATTTTTCTTGACTTAAATTAATTTCTTCAAACTATTATAAAATATTTCTCTAATACTATATGATGTCTTAACACGTTTATTTCAAGTATTCTGATTTATTTCGCTTTAATAAATCTGATGAATTTGAATTAGTAGTCAATTCATTTCTATAATGCGTCATCTGCATGTTAATGTGACTTATCTTTTATTCCATATCTCTTATCTTGTAATTTTACTTATCATTTATTTTTTTTTTTTTTAGGATCAGTCGGCGGAAGAGAAGCCTATTCCTGCAAAAAATAAACGCAGTGGTACAAAGAGGCTGTCGACCTTAGAAAGAACAGCACAAGAAGGCGAAGCATTAACTAAGGTGCAAATTGTATATTAAAAAATACCATATTTTAGTGAATAAGATATCCTACAATTTTGCAATATATAAAATAGTATGATGAGGTCAAGGTTACGCACCCTTCGTCCATAAAGTATTCACTACATTTATTCTCCCCGCCAATTTAATGTTTCACTTACACATTCGAAATCTACTCCAAATGTATGTATGGGTATACATGTGATTCATATTTACTAGAGTCAAGGGAGGGGAATATCGTTACAAGTGTGACGAGGAAACAGTCGTTAAACTGGCGACTAGACTACTCTTATACCCGAAGGGGAGGTATTGCAACGAATGTCCACAGTAGCGTTTTTTTTATAAAAAAAATTATCAACTACTTGATTCCTCCAATTTTTAAGACAGATTTTTTATTAATCTAATTTTTATTTCAATTACTGAAGATTTTTTTTTCTAATTTTAGGGAATGAACACAGCAGGTGGTGAAGTTGAAGGAAGAAGACGTACACGTAGTTCAGCACGTGGGCTGACTCCATCGACACCACCGACACCAACTCCATCACCACCGAAGAAACAGAAACAAGAATCAGGTACAAAAGGAACAGGACGTGGTCGTGGTCGTCCAAAGAGACAAGATAAAATAAATGAAAATAACACAGATGAAGAAGCGAATAATAAAAGTGAGAAACATGACGAAGAATCGGCGAAAATGGATGTGGATGAGATGAAAGATGAGAAAGATGGTAAAACGTTGGAAAAAGTAGAAAAGAATGAAGAACAAGATAGTAAAGATGTTGAAAAAACGCCGGAAACAAATTCAAAAGAAGAAAATTTAACGGAAGAATCGGAAAATACTACGGTTACAGAATCTAAAAGTGCGAATGCTAATGAAGAAAAAAAAGATGATGAAGTAAAAGATAGTTCAGACTCAAGTCAAGATGCCACAGATGCAGCAGAGAAATCTGATGCTGCCTCTACGGAGTCTCAAAATCCCTCCACCAAGCCTACTACTGATGACAAGAAGGAATAACCTTCTTATATTTGACTTCGTGTAATTTTTGTGTGAGTATATTAATTATTCAAGTAAAATTTTACTTATTTTTATGAATTAATCAATAAAAAGAATAATTATAATTGTTTTTTTTATAGCAGGAATGAAGATGACGCACATAGGGATCTTAAAGATTCAAGTCCCTACGTCTACTTTAATTAATTGAGGTGTAGAGCATATGTTGTTCATGTACAATAATAATATTGTAAAATATATTTAATATGGGCTCATAGAAAATAATGGAGTAAATTTATAAACTGAAGGAATTTTAAGAAATTGACTAATTTTCATATTAAATAAATTGGTTAGTGAAAAAAAATCGATTTAACAGTAAGAAAAAAATTAGTTCTTCAATCATATTTATCATTTTGTTCACGCGCAAATGTTAATTATTAATGTGATTAATAAATTTTTTTTTCTTCCTGTTAGCTAAGATATCTTGTTTAAGTTATCTGATAGTTATTAATAATTAATTATCATTTTTAAGAATTGTTAAATTATTAAATATTACGAACAAATATTATATATAATATTTCTGGTACCATATTAAATATTTTGATATTATTGTGTATTTGAACGGTTGTGAGTGTACAGATAGATTATATGATTGATGGACTATGTTTAGTAAATCCACACTTGATGAGACACCAATCATAAAGTGAACAATTTTCAGTAGATAAATATTGAACAAAAAAAAAAGCATATTCATTTGTAGGATTTTCATGGCATTTGGCATAATGTATTAATGAACAATAGCCAATCAATTTCATTTTGAGCTCAATATTCAGTTTTGAAATTAATCAATTTATTCAAATTACTATAAATAAAATGGCCTGAATATAATATAAAATGAATTCTCACGACTCTAAAATTGAATGACTATAATATTGTGAGCTATCAGTGCAATAAAGTGGGATCTCGTAATTATTGTTAGTTTTTAATTATGACTTAAACAATTGTCTGTTAATTTTTTTTTATTAATACTGTTTATTATACAAATTATATTATTGTATATTTAAAAGGCTATCAAGTTCGTATTCGTTAGACTAAATGCCCAAAAATATAATTACATATTGTTTATAATTAGAATTGTTTAATGGAAAGTAATTTATTCCTTCATATTAATTAATTTCAAGTCAAGTATGTGTCTCGTTTAGTGGGATTTAGGTCTAGCTATTAGAATTAAATATTAGCTAAATAATTACGATATGAATATTATTAAATATATAAGTTTGCCCTGTTGAGATGCTTATTCAACTCTTCAGGTCAAGCAAATATGTGTAATAAAAAATATATATTAGCGTTTTATCATAATAATTATTATAATAATTAAATATGAATAATATTAAAGAATAAAATTATAAATGAGTGAGTCGTGAATGTAAGACAAACAGTAGTTTTTATACACTCTTATCTTTTTGGTTCTCGGGTCAAATATTTTTTGTTTCTTTTTTAGTCAATTCTATCATATAGACTCTAATCAAAACTTTTCAATCACTCATTGTACAATTGATAGGTAAATCATATATATGTATACCTACGTACCAATTTTATCTGTTACTCCATTTTTTCTTGTAGTGTGGAACGATTATAACGATTGTGAGATGACGTTTGACTTTTGTAACAAAATTGCTTCATTCAATAAAATAAATGAAAATTTATTTTTTCACGATATTTTTTTTATCTTCCTGTATTTATTAAATTAAATTTATCTAGTAGTTTACTCTACATTAATAATATTAACAATGTATGTTATTTTATTATGTAATGAATTAGGTAAGTTTGAATGACAATAATTCGGTATATTAAATAGAAAAATTGATAAATTTATTTTTTTTAACTTTACACATTAAGTAATAAATATAAAAATGAAATTACATTATAATCTGTTAAATTTATAGTAATAAAATCTATTCTGTCCATCGATGAGTGCAGTGCTTATTTGTACATACATAATACAATCTCATTTCTTCTTCTGCTCTTCGTGTTTGAGCTTGAAAAAAAACAGCTTCTCTATGATTACATTTTGGACAGGGATGCTCTTCTGTTCTAGGTAATGTTGGATCTGATATGACATCGGCAACAATGTGAGTTAATTCACTGTAAATTTAATATTTTGTTAAAATAATTTCAATAAACAAGTATTATAATTAAATTTTGTTTATATAACAAATGAAAAAATGTTGGCAATAACAATACTTACTCAATTTCGTGCATAATTTTATTTACATAGATACAATTACTGTCTGCTAATTGTTTATAGTCACATGTTCGACACTATAAAAATAATAATAAAACAATTAAATGTTGTAATTAATAAATAGATGATAAGTGTGTAGAGGTTATGTTATGAACTTTATGGTCTTACCGCATACATAAGTGCTTTATTTTCTTTATCTTCTTTAGGATATAACATATTATTACATTCTTGACAAAATCTTATACCAACAAATCCTGGACCATCGTTGTGAGAATCATAACCGGCCATTCTTGACATGATTCAATTTATTTGGAATGATGTTTACAAAAATATAAAAAAAAAATGAATATATCGAACGCAGATGTTTAATATGGATCGATACTCAACGAATAAAATTTACTGAATTTTCAGCCAATGAGAGAAGTGGAATATTTAATAAATTAATGCTGATTGGTTAAAATCTAGAAAGTCCCTAGACCAACTAGGATGGTTGAACGGAAGTCACGCATTGTAAATACACCAAGAATGATTTATCGCGCAATTATAATAATAATTTTATTTTTTGTTAATTATAAATTTTAAATGACGAAAAATAATATAAAATAAACTAGAAATAACAGTAAAGGAGTATAATTAAAAAACATATAATGTATAATTAACAAAATTATTAATAATGCTTTAATTTAAATTATTGATGATCAAATATATGATTTGGTTTTTTATTTGCATTTGTCGGTTGAACAAACTCGATGCGCACAAGTGAATGCGCGTTACGTAAAAGTTATTGCGACGAATAATAACGTTAAAATTTTATCTATAAAGTTTTACAGATATATTTATAAAAAAAAGTGAACTTTAAAAATAAAGAGTAAAAATAGTAGCTAAAGTGGTAGGTATTTTTGAATGATTGATAGAAAAGTATATTAGACGCTAGTGAGCGCTAGTGTTCCCATTGAAGCTACCCCCCAATTTCGCTACCCCCACCCCTGGAGCTCCCCTAGCTAGTGCAAATCTCGGCGGATGTATGTTTTCTTAAGGGATTCTTACTAAATTGACGCGACGATCGTTGAGTTATTGCCAAATAAGTGTGCACGCGAGTGAAATTAAACGTGTTGGAAGTGTGAAAATAAAGGTAGTAATAAAAAAGTCAGTGTTATTTAGTGATTATTAGCGTGATATTAAGAAGAAAGCGTGAAACTTGTGCTCAAGGCGGTCCCTCGGGGGGTGATGGCCCTCACGCCGACAGAGCGTCGTCTCCTACAACGTTTCAATAATTATTATGCTTGAGCATCATTTTCACTCAAATTATTTCCTATCAATACTTTATTATTTTGTTAACCTAGTGAAGCGTGCTAAATGCCGACACGTGATTTTTGAAAACGCTTTCGAACGCGTGGGTGTTTCTATCTCTCTCTTGTTCGTGTACCAACAGGCATTCCTTTTTTCACGGCGCTCGTCTCGCGCCGCTTCGTTATTTGTTTTGTTGCCCATCCATTCTTTCTACTGCACGCTCAACACTCTTAGGCCTTTTTCCCTTGTAAAATCTTGACCGGGACGCCAAATTTTACCGTTAGCGTGGGTATCCGTTAGTTACTTATTTATTCGTCTAATGAATATTCCACCGGCTAAAATAGATTTGCCCATTTGAAGCTATTAGTTGAGAACATCTAGCGCAACGCTCTCTTGTGCCCATATTTTTCGGGAGTATTTTATTGTTAATGGAGATTCTCATGCCGTGACAGCCATGTTGTAAATTCTTTTACACTTGTGTGTCGTTTCGTTTCTTTTCTTCCCGCTCTCTTAATATACTCATGCCTCTATTGTCTTTCCATTCATCTTATAATCCACTTAACAATCATTTCACTGTCGTGAACTCCACTTTATTATACACATTTTTCACGTATTTTCAAGTTTATTGTATTAAATATATTATTAAATCAACCTCATATTAATATTCTCATCATAATAATTAAGTGAGAATTCATCATAATCATTATTTTTATGTAAAATTATCCTATATTGAAAAGTTGCCTCCAAAAATCTCTATCGGCATGATTAAACTATTTTTTCTAATCAGTACATATTACGTCTCATGTTAATTGTTTACAATAAGTTCTTATCATAGTTTCACTTACGTCAGCGTTATTTAATTATTCATTATCAAATTTTATTTAAGTTTGTCCAATTTTATTAGTTGAAACAAGTTATTGGTTATCTGATTTATGTTATATTTTTTTCTTTTTAGAAACCTTGACGAATTTGATTCAACATTTATTATGGAATCTGGAAACAACCTGCCCACTGTGGGTAATTATCCCGGCGGGAATCGTCAACAATTTTGCGTATCATGGAATTCTCATCAGTCAAATATGCACAGTGCTTTTCCAAAGTTGCTAAGTTCTGAGCAATTTGTGGATGTCACTTTGGCGTGTGATGGTGGCTCCATTAAATGTCACAAGGTTGTTTTGTCAGCATGCAGTGATTACCTGGAACGATTGCTTTTGGAAATACCATGTACACATCCTATCATATTCCTTCGGGATATGCGTATGTGGGAACTCCAAGCATTAGTGGAGTTTATGTATCGAGGAGAAGTTTATGTTGAGGAACAGCAGCTTGCTAAATTAATGCAGGCTGCTGAAGCTCTTCAGGTAATCATTATTTTTATTGTCATAATTGAGTTTATCTTCTCTTAAGATTTTAAATGAAAATAATAATATCATATTTACTATATTTACTTGTAGGTTCGTGGCCTTTCAAGCCAAGGACGAGACAATAATCAAGACACCCCAACGCCACAAAGTTCCTCCAGTGTACCAACAACACCAACAACTCCTGTCAAACTTAATCAAGTAAATTTAAAGACCGACGACACACTACCTATTGACTCGATTAACCTCATAGACAACTCACCAGCAGTCGTATTAAATACATCAAACAATACTCCGATAACTTCACCACCCAGTGAACCACCCGTTTCTAACACTTCCAACTTCATGAACATTGAACATACTGAAGCCCTTCAACATTTAGAGAAAGCTTTAAGCTCCTGTGAAGCCACTTTAACTGAGGCTCCAGGAATGGTTAAAATGGAACCAGATGAACCATTTTTTCAACAACAACAGCAAGACAAACCCTATTCTATCAGTATGGTACCGACAAGCAATTGTAATACAACAACCACTACTACGACCAACAGTCCCTTTCCTGCTATAGAAGGTAACATATTTATATCTATCATTCTTATCATTTTAATTGAGAAGAAAATAATTATTATTTTTTATAAAAAAATTGAAAATGTTTAAGCAAACGATTTAAAAAAAGTTTATTATTTTTATTTCATGCATGTGATAAATTTTTAACAAAAGAAATATTTTTATTATTAAAGAAAAACAAAAAAAAAGTGAATTAAAATAAATAAATATTCATTTATTCCAAGAAGATAGTCGTATATATTAAATATATATAGGTATATTTGAAAAAATTTTCTTCATTATTCAAAGATTCAAAAATTCCTGTATTTCTCAACTCAATATATATATTATGAACAAAAGATTTTTTTTCCCCTATTTATTCAAATCGATAAATATTCATTTATTCCAAAACGAATTTATTTATTTTGAATAAACTTTTTTTGTCAATTTTTATTAAGAATAAAAGTATTGTTTTGCTTAAAGATTTTCTCCTTCTCAACAATAATATTTTCTCTCTCAATTAAGTGTATTGATTATTTAGAGGTAGCAAACAATAATTATTGATGATTTTAATTAGGTTATCAAAGACGACAACGACGTTCTGAAGCAGAATTAAAAATGGCATCGGACATGGTAGCACGCGGCAAAACGTTTCAAGTAGCTTCTGAGAAATACAACATTCCGATCAGCACAATTCGCTTCTACATGGTCCGAAAGGGTCTTTTGCAGAGGCGAAAACGGGGACGCGGCTCGACTAACATAGGTGCGTCGAACAGTCAGCCCAGCAGCCCCGCGACTACTCCACCATTTCACATGATGAATTACCGCTTGCCTGAGACTCTAAATTCGAGTCTTCAGTAGTGGCTAAGAGACGTGAAAGTGAAATACCGGTTGTTTATCCGGTCAATACGATTAAGTTATCGTCGTGGGTATAATAATCGATTTTTTCCCTCATCGATTCTCTATATCGGAAACTGTATCCGTTTATTATTGTTTCATTTATTTGAGTTTGTCGACGGGCGAAACGTGCTTATAAATGCAAAGTACACGTTCGTTGAGAGATGAGTAGTGAGTTTTATTATGTCAGAACGTACGTTTACAGTTTACTAACCCGATAATGATGAAAACAATTACTTATATTATTAAGGAACGATTAATACTAAAAGAGAGTATAAAACAATATTGTACAAATATTGTATTCATACAATCCGGTTGAAAGCAATAAGTAAAATGACGGAATTAAATTTTTTTTTAAGAAAAATTCCGTGCTATAATATATTTTCAAATATTAGTATCAACTACTAATTTGACTTTAAAAATTTGTTTTAACATTCCCATAAGGCCTAAAGAAATGAAAAAAAATTTTTAATCGTTCCAATATCAAATCTCAAGCTAAGGTTTAGATTCGACGTAGTATCGGTCTATTACCATTGTTTTTTGTTTTTAAAAAAAAAAAAAATTATTTTTTAAGCTAAATGATGTCGCAAGAGCCAGAGGTAGTATTCCAGTGAAAGCATTAGATGTAGCCGGGGTTTTTGGACTATTTTTTGATATAGAAATATTTTTCACTGTGAATATTTACCAAAAGCGAACTAAACTAAATCGTAAAGATAAAAGAAAAAAAATATAAAGACTTCTTGCTCTTATTTTTCACGGATCCTTCGATGTAAATCCGCAATACTCTGGAATATAATCATGACGTAGTATAAACGCTTTTTACATATTAGTGTATAAAAGAAATGAACAAAACAAAATGAGGAAATAAAGAAGTAACACGTAGTCAACGAGATGACAGTACATTTGGTTTGTATAAAAACATTTAGATTCGGAGTGAAAGAAATCTCATTGTTTTTATGGAAATACAATTGTGAATAGTCTCTCTCTCTTTTTCTCTTTCTCTCTTTCTCTCTCTCTCGAAGTGGAAACAACTTCGTGCGGTGTTAATGCCTTTGTTAAATATAGCATTCAAAAGAGGCCATATTTTTTCATGCAATGCAATAATTGAAACATAGTTACACTCACTGAGAAACCGACCGAACAAAGCAAAGAAGCAAATAAAGTATAAAAATAATAATAATAATACTAATGATAAAGTTAAAAAAAGAAAAACACTAATAGAAGAAAGTGTTATAGGATAATAATAATAATAATTTAATTTTTTTGTCTTTGTAAATCGTCAATTTGTGACGCTATTGATACTGACAATGGCTCTGAATAGTAGAAAGATGTTTAACCAACAAGAAACAGTTTAATCAAACCAGTATTCCAAAAACCAATGCAGAATAATTAGTTTTCTAAACAGTTTTTTATAGAATCGCTTCTTTCACCAATCCCGCGTGAATTTGTCTCATTTCATCAAGTATTCTTTCTTTTAGTTTTTCCCTCAGCATTTTTTAATAATACAATTATTATTATTACCTTTTTTAAGTAAGAGACTACTCCCATTGGAGTATGATTATTATTAAATGAATATACGCGTAATAAAAAAAAATTGTGAGAGTTTAAAAATATTGTAATTACATATTAAAACTCTCATTCTTCCATTTCTTTAGTAATATTCTTGCAATTTATAAAGCTCAGCCATTTTAGTGGCAATTAATATTGAGTTTCATTAGTAATAATGAAATTGCAATTTTTTTTTATAACGGATACATTACTCGGTGGCCGTTTTATATTTGTAGATAAAATCAATGACTGGTAAAAAAAAAAAAAAACTAATTGTGTATTGTTTATAAAAAAAATAAGAAACGGATAAAAAAAAAATTTTTTTACTCATAAGTCTTCATACCAAGTTACCGAGATAGGGCCATTATACTGTTGTTTGACTGTAAAACTCCAAGACTTTCATCCATTTAAATTCCTTTGAAATTTACCCTTTAGTCAGGACAATCATGGAACTCATTTTATAGTATCATGCATTGTGAAGTTTATTTATATGATTCTCGAAACGATTCGAATTGTTCCTTCGTGACTCGTTCAATGTGTACAAGTGTATCTTTTAATATTATTTGTATTATTTACTTTACATACTTTAGTATTATTTTTTTTGTCATGTTTTGTTTGCGAATTTTCGTACATAGTTTTTTTTTTTTTTTAATTTTTATTAACGTAACGAAAAAAAAAACAACAACAAATGATATTTAGTATAAAAACTACCATAGATTTTACATTATACTTGCGAAAGAGCATTCAGAATCGTCAATCATGAATCATTTTGGTGACTGCAACTCAGTAACAACAATTTTTTAATAAGTAAATAGTATGTAAAAGAGATTAAATAGAGTTCGATATTTAAATTTTCATAATCAATAAAAGCATAGATTATACTTATAAAATATCAAAAATAAAAAAAAAAAAAAGAGAAAAGAAGTAGAAAGAAGCAGGAAAATTGAATATAAAGAGATTTTTTTGATTTCTTTTTTTTTATATAATATTATTTCATTCAATCGAAATAATTTTACTTATCAAGTTGGTACAAAAAATATATTTTTTTGCAATGAATAATAACTCTATTACAACTTTCATATTTAATCTTTATTGAAATGAATAAACGATTGCAGATAGAATGTCTGCAAAAAATGATATGAATTAATAAGAAAACTAATTATTAAGCGACTCGGTGATGAGCAAAAACCGTTTTGAAAAAATTTGAATATGTATATTATAAAGAAAAGAATTATAATTAATAATAATAATAATAATGATAATAATTATTATAACAATTTATACGGAGCATAAATCAATGTCCTTATTGAAAGTATATGAAAAGAAAAATTAAGACGAAAAAAAATATTCGTGTCATTTAACAAATTTTTTTGTCATTAGTCAATAATTAAAAGAAACCGTCAACTAATTGTCTAACTGTGAGCATTTTGTTTGAGATGACTTATGTTTAGGGCATATATTTAGTTTCGCGGAGACTCCCAAGTATTTTTATTTGATTTAGAATAAATGAAATCAATTAATAAATACAAAAAAAAAAATAATAAAATAAATGATACATAAAACTAAATATCATTTTTAAGGTATATTATTATTAATTTTTAATTTTAAGAACATGTAAAATGTGTTAGTGAAGCATGCTTCTACTTAGTGATTTAGGACATTGCTATAAACAATAGATATAATTACCATGAATTATGATCATAAGGCATTTAATAAGTGCAGAGTATTTCTTAATAAAATTATTTCTAAAACCGAATTTATACCAAGTTTATTTTTATTTTGTTTATACATCATATGCGTATTTTATTATTATTATTAATTATCAATTTAGAATAATATTATATATAATGGGAATAAAAGCATTCAAATGTTATTACTACAATAATGCTGCTTATTGAAAATTATTCCTAAATAGCAGTGAAGGATTGATTATTGTTAACACAACGCATTTATTCGCAGGCCAACGATCCGATCCACGCTAGTGAAAAATGCACTTTTCTCATACGCATACGAGACGGTGGCACCGACATCAGCAGCGTAACATCTAGAATCGACTGTTTCTTCCTGTGCTCCAAGTGATGACCTTGGCATATAACGACCGATCATCGGCCTTGGACCACGTGTGCCTACCTCGTGGATGTACGAAAACACATCGTGGACGCCGAGAAAAATTTCTACATGGCGATTTCTTACCTGACAATACATCTAAAAACTGACACAAAACTGTTTCTTTATATTTAAGAAAAAACAAAACAAAAAAAAAACAGATCGTTGCATTATTACGACCATCGTCGTGTCCTTCTGACAGATTAATCAATACTATGATCCATTTTGTGGATTCTAATTATATATAAGTAAGGTTCAACAAATAGCTTACGATCTTATCATAATATATATATGTTGAGACCTGTGTCTTTTTTTATTTTGTAACGTTAGAGAATGTAACGTTTATTTTATCAAGCTCAAGCCTTTGTCTATAAGCGATAAAGAAAGCTAATATTTAATCAATTTTTGTAATATTCAAATATTACCCGCCTAGGATTCCCGGACCTTTCTCACTCAATTTCAGCATACATCAGGAGTTAGGGTCAATGACTAGAGATTCAAATTTACCCTCTATCGCCTTGGCATTCCCTTTATTCCTCGTGTTGTCTAGAGTATACGGTTAAAAACCTTTATTTATATTAATGTGCGTGCATAACGACACAAAAAGATGAAGATTTTGACGCCAAGTGACACGTGTGTGCTGGGATTTCCCTATGTATGATCTTTGCCAACTTTTTGGCAAATTTTCTTTGTCTGAATGTTCATTTAATGCTTTTTAAGTCATCATGTAGCTCCAATACTTTTGTTGTAAATTTTAGAAATATTTTCTGATTGTCTAAGTGTCATAAGATCATGACATTGATCATGATCTACATGTGAAACCTCGTGTTTCCATCGTAAATCAAAGAACCAAACAAAATTGCGTAGTTTAAAAGTATAACAGACGATAGATGATTCTTGTGGTGCGCACGCTCTTTCGCCTCATATTCTCTTTGTGTTATTTTTGGCAGAATCGTCGTTCTATGCTTTAAATAGGACTGAGTTTCCGTCGTATAAAGCAGTTCATAACACGATTTCTACATGCTGGAGCATCGCACTGTCTTCGAAGTAAGTAAACAAATGATCTTACGAAGACTGACAACAATGTTATTAATTTATCACCAGTTCAACTCTGTGTTATGATTTCATTTTTATATTTAAATAAAATAAAAATGATATTTTGATAGATAGTGATGATAAAAGAGATTTTTGAAAATTTTAAACCAATACAAATAAAATAGCTGGAATAATTTTTTAAAATGTTACATTTGTGAAAGTGTATCTTTGCAAAAAAAAGTTATTTGTCAATTGGCTTGGCCGATGTTATTAGATTATTTATTTTTAATTGTGAGTGCATCATCTTTATTTCGTAAGCTCGTGGTTGGTTTATTGGTGAAGCATTTATCCGACCAATTTATAAATCTATAAAATGAATATTATTTATATATGATAGTTTCATAAGTCAATTGATAATAAATATGAGAAATCTTATAAATTGTTTCAATTTTTTGTTATAATACTATTTATAAAAGTTATTTATTATATAATTCCCACCTGTCATAAGTGATAAAAATATTTTAGTTGAAGAATGGATTTTGACCTCAAGAATAATAGTGTTGAAAACTTTTCATCAATTATACTAAAATACCATCTTTGTCACTTATATTAGAATAATTTTTTATAGAATACACTGGGACACTAATATTTTTTCCTCTCTTGTGATATTGCCCGGTAAAAACTGCGTCGTTCCCCTTGGCATTGGCAAAAGCTCCAAAATTTATCGTGATTATTTTGGAAACAAGCTTCTGCAAATTTGACGATGACGTCGACACTTAGGGAAGTCTGTATAATTATTAAAAATTAATGTATTAAAAATATTTCATTTTATTAGTTAAAGCTAATATGATATTTCAAATATTTGATAGACTTGAGAATCAATTGATACTTCTGTCAAATTGGAAACAAAAAAAATTAAATTTAAATTTATTTCATCAAAAAGACATTCATGATTAGAAAAAAAAGACATCAATGATTATTTAAAAAATATGTAAATTTATAATTGAAAATTAAAAAATAATTTAATATTTCAGGTTTCTTACACGCGGTATACACTATTTAGATCAAACGAAGTGGGTATAAAAGAGTTTGTAATTGTGAATGAAAATTGAAAAAAAAACCAAATCATAATTGTCATTGCATGTAACTTCATGCACATCAGTAAAATAAAAACATCAACAAATAAAACTTATTACTAATTATGAAAATTAAATGTTCAAAGCGTCATGATTGCGAATAAATCACAAGCATTCGAAATAGACTTACCCTTTGAGTGTTCTCAATAAATAGGACGCAGTGTAGTAGCTCACATGTAGACGTAAGATAGATATTTGTTCTTTAGAAACGCGTGTCAAATAAAGACAGACGCTTCGAGAAAAAACATTTAGTCCACGTTTGATTATTGAGGAAGTTTGAACGGCTAAAAAAGAAATCATGAGTCTGTGGACTACACGTCACTCTCGATCATTGATTTCAATTTTACTGGCAAGTCAAAGCAACTAGAAAGCAAAAACAAATTATTATTATTATATTCATTCACTTTTTCCTGTTGATAAAGATACTAAATATTTTTTGAACATCTCATAAATATTATCATATCAATGTTAATACCATTTAAAAATCAATAAATTTAAAATATTCGTGGGACAATAACAAACAGAAAGGTCATCATCATTTGTCTATTTCAATTTTTGAATGTTAAAGAAAAAATGTATTTTTAAATAATTAACAGATATGTTGCAATTTTTTAGATGCCGGCTGAGTGCATTGCCAACCCATTGCAACGAGAGCTTGCAGATGCAATAATTCGTATGCAATCTTTAGATGAAATAAGGATCCTCTTAGCTTGTGGTGCTAAACCCAATGATGTTGTCACTCAGGGCCTAAGACCTCTCCATTATGCAGTTTGGCAAAAATATGCGGATGCAGCTCAATTATTAATTGTACGAGGTGCTGACATTGATGCGACTGATGAATGCGGATATTCTGCTTTACATTTGGCTGCTGAACATGGATCTCTTGACCTCGTTAAATTATTACTGAAACATGGTGCCAAAGTAAATCATAGGGAGGATACTGGAGAATTATATCCCCGGTAAGTAATGAATGGATAGAAAATTTATTTTAAAAATAATTTTCTTACCTTTAAGTTGAATAAATAATAATTATATGTTAATTAATAAAATAGAACTACACTCTGTGATGAACCACTCCGATTAGCATTGAAAAATCGCCATATCGATGTTGCAAAGATTCTTCTGGAAGCTGGCGCTAATCCAAACAAAAGGTATTTCTTTGGCTCTGAAATAAACTTGGTATCTCCCTTGGATTTGGATTGTATGGAACTCTTGCTAGCTTTTGGAGCACATCCGAATACACGTGATCGTGGTGGACTTACACCATTGATGAAGGCTGCAAGATTACCTCAGGTATAGATATATTTATTATATCAAAGTAGAGCAGTCACGATAAACCTATCAACATGATTAATATTGTTAGACAAACAAATAAATAATAATATAAATGTTATTACAGGGTATGGCATCTGTATTATTACTCTTGAGTTATGGAGCAAATGTAAATGCAATGACGGATGCACGAAATGATTACAGAACAGTTTTACATTATGCCATTCTTGGTGGTGACAAAGCCGTGATTAATTTAATGTTAAAGCAGGGCGCTAAGTTGAATCTTGGCCCTGACTATCAAAAACCTACGGCCTTGGACTTGGCAATTCTCAAAGGTGACCCCTCGATAGTTGAAATGTTGCTTGAAGCAGGTATGAATTATTGGCATGATTGCCTCAGCATAATTATTAAGTATATTTAAATAACAGTTCAGTTATTTATTTAATCATTATCGAATAATTCATATTGTCAATAAAAATAATTGAAAAGTCAATTATTTTTTCAGGTGCAAATGTGAATGCATCTTCACCGATAATTGGTACTCCATTGCACGTTGCGTGTGCTGACAACATTCCCAACAGACTAGAAATCCTCTGTATGCTTTTGGAACGTGGAGCTGATCCAAATCTTGTTATTAAAAGTGATGAAGGTCTATCATTGCGTCCAGTTCTTGCTGAATATGTAGCATCCAATGAAAATCCATCAGTGGAGGTTGTTGCTTTACTTCTCAAGTATGGTGCACGTGTTGTCATCAAAACACAATTTCGAGATCCACATGGAATTTTAAATTCCCTACAAAACACTGCTGATAAACCTAAGCTATTGAAAGCTCTACTTGAAGCTGCTGAGAGTTTTGATCCTTGTATGATTCGAAGATCTAGTAGTCTTACAGATGCTCAAAGAGCTTTAGTCATGGAAGCTGCTCGAACTCCTTTACCTCTTACTCACCAGGCTCGACTCATCGTTCGTAGAATGTGTGGAAATAAATTAATTAAAATTGTGCGTAGATTACAGCTGCCTCAATCACTACATCGCTACCTTTTGTATGACTTTTATTAACAGCTACCTGCAAAAATGATCTCAATATTTTTTACTGCTATTAATAAGTATTTGAGATTAATCCTGATAACATTAAATATCAACGAAAAATTTCAAAATGTGATACAATACAATACTACTTCATATTTGAATATAAACAATTTTGTTGTTTTATTGTTATTCAGTAGAGATTAATATTTTTACAGTAATATTTGAAATGTTTTTGTCGGTAAACTCACAACAATTGCTTCCGAACAAAAACTAAAGTATTATATTAATAAATAATGTAAAATAAATTAAATTAACATTCAATTAACAATAATAACTGACTGACTGAATTCAGAGATATTAAAGAAATTAGACAAATTGGAAAGATAAAATGATCTCAAATAGATCATGTTCAATTTAATTTTGTACCTTTGTATGTGAACAATGTTCGATTGAAATAAATAAAAAATATCCCAAATATTATTATTCCATATTCATCGATTTTTTTGTAAATGTTAGGTTATAAATCAAAATATGAATGCATATATATGATTCATTAATAATATAAATAATCATTTTTTTTGATCTTCCAGAATATTTAATGCTAAAAATATTAGTCGTTAAGAATCACAATCATTCAGTTTGTATTCTCATCCTCGAAATAGCAGCCTCAATACCATAGCTTACGTCAAACTCTTGGCAAACGTGATTGCCAATGAAGCAATATTTAATCACGAGAATATGGTATCATTTTAATTAAAATTTTAATATAATTATTTATATTAGTTAATACTATAATTATTAAATTCTTATTTCTGAGAAATTAAATAAATAAGCGAAATTTCAAAATTTTTGATCAGTTTGGAAACCAATTTTTTAGGTTAAACAGTAATATAAAGACCAATAATTGAAAATTTTCAATACCTAGATTATTTAAATAATAGGTATGATATTTTTTAGAAATAATAAATAATTATTTATAAAAATTGATGATGAAATAAATTGAAATGACATTATTCTACGCGCGTAACATTGAGCAGCGTAGAAATCTGCGCACTTGTTTGCCGGAGTAGTTGGAGGATCGCCTGGGAAGAAATGGCGATCAATGTGTTGAGGACAGTTTTGAAGAAATCTAGATTTTTTATCCATGATGGGAAGTATTTATTGCAAAAACATAATCCTGTTAATGTCCTCGGGTAAGTTATAACAATTGCTTAATAAATTCTTATCACCAATTGATTGACTTATTATGTAACAATAATATAACCTCAACTGTTGTTTCAACTAGAAAAACATTAAATATGCAACTTTTTCATTGTTGATTTATATCACATAAATTACAATTTTTATATTTATTTAAATTATTAAATCAATCATTTTTTTATGTATTCATGTTTTAATTTCAATATAAATTGTTTTTTAATTTCTAGGCAACAAAGAGGATATGCGGGTTCGTGGTATCCAGATGCAGAATATATGAAACAATTCCAAGGACCGTATATGTATGCTCCTGATGGAGTGAGATGGAATTATCCTCCACCAGAGGATGTAAAAATTGTTCCAGAAAAAACAGTCAAGAATATAAGGATTAACTTCGGCCCTCAACATCCAGCTGCTCATGGTGTACTACGTTTGATCTTAGAGTTAGATGGTGAAATTGTTCTGTCAGCTGATCCTCATATTGGTTTGCTTCATCGAGGCACTGAAAAACTTATTGAATATAAAACTTACATGCAGGCTCTACCATATTTTGATCGTCTTGATTATGTATCCATGATGTGTAATGAGCAATGTTTCTCTCTAGCTGTTGAAAAATTGTTAAATATTGATGTTCCACTAAGAGCTAAGTACATTAGAAGTAAGTTCATTTATTAAATAACATATCTCACTGCACTGTAATGTATATTTCGATTAATATTAATATCAAACAAAATTTTATCATAGCGCTCTTTGCTGAAATTACTCGAATTCTTAATCATCAAATGGGTATTGGAACTCATGCACTTGATATTGGTGCGATGACTCCTTTCTTTTGGCTTTTTGAAGAACGTGAGAAACTGATGGAATTTTATGAACGAGTAAGTGGAGCTCGAATGCATGCAGCTTATGTTCGACCTGGTGGCGTAGCACAAGATATCCCTCTCGGAATTTTGGATGACATTTATCAATGGGCAGCTCAATATGGAGCTGTAATTGATCAAATGGAAGATGTATTAACGAGAAATCCTATTTGGAAAGATCGAACCATGGATATTGGAGTAGTTACGGCACAACAAGCTTTAGATTGGGGATGTAGTGGTGTTATGCTTCGAGGATCAGGATATAAGTGGGATATTAGGAAGGCTGCACCTTATGATGCTTACGATCTCGTTGATTTTGATGTCCCAATTGGACTAGCAGGCGATTGTTATGATAGGTAAAGAAATCAATTAGTTGTTTAATGAGATTTAATAGTCTAACGTGCTTTACATAATTATTTTATTGCAGATATTTGTGTCGAGTTGAAGAAATGCGTCAGTCCCTTAGAATAATTGAGCAGTGTCTTAATCAGATGCCTGCTGGTGAAATTAAAGTTGATGATCACAAAATAGTTCCACCCAGCCGTCATGAAATGAAAACTAGTATGGAGGCATTGATTCATCATTTCAAACTTTTCAGCCAAGGTATTCAAGTACCACCGGGTGCAACATATACTGCAATCGAAGCACCGAAAGGTGAATTTGGTGTCTACCTTGTAAGCGATGGCACTAGTAAACCATATAGGTGTAAGATCAAGGCTCCTGGTTTTGCACATTTGTCAATTCTTCAAGAGATTGGACCAAAACATTTTCTTGCTGATATCGTCGCTATCATTGGAACTCTTGATGTTGTTTTCGGTGAAATTGATCGATAAAAAATTTTATATGGGTTATAATTAGTAACCAGTTTGTATATTATTTAGTGATAAAGTAAGTAAAAAATTATTATTGAATAAGATATAATAATAAATAACGTTAAGAAACGTATAACAATTCAAAAATTTTCTATTTTAATTTAATAAATGAATGCTCATATTACAACGTACTGTCATCATTAGTATTATTATTTATAATAACATACTTGGATAATTACAATAAATGCATTGCATGAAGGAATTGTTAATAGTTTTAAATCATAGATTACATGGGAATCATTGACTTTTTTAATTCTCTTAATAATCAATATATCACACAGTGATATTTAAAATCTTTTTGTTACTGTTAGCATTGATTTGCGGACCTTGGATAAAGGGCAAGGATACAATTATTTTTTTTCAACTTAAATTTATTATGATTATTTAATTTAAATATTTTTAGAAATTATTTATGAAAATAAAAGAACACTAAATATTTTTTTTTATTAGCCATCATAGTAATTTTATTTTTAAGCGAATAAATCGAGTATAAAATCATTTGATAATTAATTTTTTTTTTGGTAAATCTATGTCAGATAAATTATTTATTATTTTTCATACATAATTATACAGACATTGACCTGAATAGAATGTAGACTACAAGGTTCCAATGAACTGTGATCTAAATAAAGTAGACATGTTGTTGGATAAATATCTGCAGACAGATTGTTATTCAAAAATAATTGTAATTTTTCCCCTAATAATTTATGTTGGAAAATCAAGTATAAAAAATGATAACATTCATAATAATTCTATGAAAAGAAAGCAGACATAACAGAAGATTTTAATTGACTAATTAAATAATTAATTAATTAATTGATAGTTAATGTCTTTATTTATGAGTGAGCAATGATACTTAATACTTTTTTCTTGTTATCACGTCGGTAATTGAGTTTGATAATTTACTTAATTGCGACATATAATTTCATATTAATTTGATATTGATAATTATTTTTTTAAATGATTAAAAAATATTTTTATTTTATATTTAACAGTTTTTATTTTGGAAATTTTACAAAAAAGTCATGAGAAATTTAGAAAACAGAAAATAATTAACAAATATCTTTACTATCATTATAATCATAGTCTCATTCATTTATATGATATCCGGTAATCAGATATGTCACGCACATGTTCATTAATGATTACAGTGTCAAAAGTATAAGGTAGGATGTTAATTATTACTTATCTTACGAACGAACAATCATTTATGTTTTAAGAATAATGCAAATAATAAATTGTTACAGGATTTTTTATTTGATTTATAATATGTAAACTTTTATCACGTTTTTCGAACGTAAAAGAGTTAACATAGCATAGTCATATGAACTATTACTTCAAAGGTCATTAAAGATTGATGATTGAGAAGAATAAATACTTAATTTTACAATTCAAATTGGTTATAATGTAGTAAAAAAAAGTATCGGACGAGTGAAAATGTGCATTTTCTGTAAAGTTGTTTAATTAATTTCATTATAAAAAGAATGACTGATGGGCTGCTGATGAGAATCATTTTCTAAAATGTAAATTGAATAAGTTTTTTTTTCTATTATTATTATTTTTTATTAATTTGCGATCAATTAATATGTGTATGTGTGTGTTTTTAGAAAATTTTTATTGATTCTTAGTTAATGAAACCCCTTGAAGGATAACTTGCATAACGAAAAGTGATTCGCATACAAAAAAGTGGACTGTATTATGGTATCGGAAAAATATGTCACATTGCCAAAAAGCTTCAACTGGTTGAGGTCATTGGAGGTAAAACACACAAGTTAAATGATCTACGTGATGAGGTAAGTAAATGATTATACTCGAAAAATAACAAAGCCTTGGAATTACTTTATTTTTTAAAATTAATATTTATAAATATTTTTAAAATGTCCTAAGTAATAGCAGATATCAGAAGTTCTTCATAACATTTTCTAATGATCAGAAATGAATTCATTTAAATGAGACTAATTAATATTCATAGTCTTTATGGTGAAGAATCTCATTATTTTTTTTCTCCAATGAACAAAAAAGGATTATATCCCTTAATTAAAGGAATTATTTGAATTTGATCAACAAATTATGTGTGTATGATCCGTATGACATTGACATGTAAATTGTACTCAGTCAGCATGTTAATTCTGGTAATATTTCTCAATGTTTGCGTAACGCATGAAAAAAAAAACTATCGATCTAAAAGTAAAACAACAAATATAATAGAAGAGTGCTGGGAAACTGATACCTTGAATCAGTGTAAGAATAAATATGTTCTCATAAATTCTCTATTAAAAATTCAATGAATTTTTTAATCATCCGTTCAGGTATTTCTTTATCAATATCTTGATCAATGCCATTCTTCATTATAATACCAATTATGACTCGAGTTTTTACGTCACGAAATTAACAGTAGCTTCTAAAATGGCACTAGACATCCTGTATTGGTGACAATTAAGTCAATGCATGTCTGGAGCATCAATAACTCAAGTATTTTGTTACTGACTCCAAAACAATCTGACTGTGTTGATTAAAAAAAAAAAACAAAAAACAAAGTGGTCAAGAAAAAAGTTGAAATCCTTGTCAGATTATAGGAAAAAAATTATTAAAAAAATTATGAAGACGATCGGAGGTTGATTGATGAAGACATCTAAAAGGAGCCTACTAATTTATATATTATTTCATTTCAATGTTATCCAATAAAAATACTTTTGTTCCAGACAATAAAAAATCAGGTAAAACTTCTAACTTTAAAACTCATTATTATTATTTTCATTTTAATACTTGAGATGAAGTATAGAAAAAGATCGTTGTATAATTCAGATACTTTTAGCGTATCTAATATCCCTAATGTTTCATAAATTTCTAATGACATTAATCATTACATTCTCCACAAACATCTGTATGAATGTTTCTTCTATTAAACTCTAGATTTGACTGTTTAACGATCATTATTCGTTCAAATACCTAGAAATAATAGAAATTCCAAGCATTACAAGAAACATTACTATTCAATGCTGTGCTGAATATTTGATTAAAACGTTCAAGTTTTTTTTCTTATTAAATGATTATTCCAAATGAAGCCTACATGAATATTACTTCTATTTCCTTTTACACAGTAATTGTTAGCTCTTTGCAAAGCTACTCCAGATCATGTTGTGGTAATTTAAACCAGTAATTGCTTCTGAGTTTATTACTATAGAGAGTACATCAATACACAATAATTGTTGGCCTGATATCTTTCAAATCTAGAAACGTATGAAAAGGTTATTACAATGCAATACGTTTATTAACCTACGTCTTCCTCATTGTATATCATATTATCTTTGAACACGTCATTTATAAGTTTATATAACTCCTACGCTTATACTATTTAATCATCAACTAATCAGAAATATATTTTTTTTATAGGTTATTTTTTTTATTAAATAAAAACAGAAATTAAAAAGTGACAGAGATGTAAAATAAATATGTTCAAGTACTAGGATATTTTTTCATGAAGCTATGTGTTGATCTTACAAACCTCGTGGTCCACTTATTGCTTCAGGAAGCAAGAAAATCGCAATTCTACGTAAATCGCGAGAGTAAGCCGAGAGTTTCACGCTTTGTGTAGCAAAGCATTTAAAGTGAAACTTAAACTATGTTTTCAATTAATGTAATAAATATAAAATCAGCACTAAAATATGAGAATACAAAAACAAGAAAAATTTTTAGCTTGAAATTAGGATATTATTACTTTGTTGAATTAATGATTTGCTATATGAGCTAATGGTGAGGTAGGAATTCTTTGAAGTCAGTTAGATACATTCTAACATTTCTTAAAGACCTTGAATAATAACAATGAACAATAGCTGTTTGTGGTGAACGATAGGTGATTGTTAATGCAGTTTAAAGTTACGTGGATCAAATATATTACTCGAATTTTTTAACAATAATATTATATTTAAAATTTTTAACTCTATTAAGATTGAATAATGTTTTAAGATAAATAGGTAAAGCAAAATTTTTTTAGAAACTTAAATTTGTTATAATTAATTATTTCATGGAACTAGTTTAATTGTATAATTACTCTGATAAAGTGATAATTACTGCAATTATGTCTGCATATTTATCAACCATGCAAATATGAATTGGTTTGGTTATAAAAATATGAGAAACTGCAAGAAAGAATGATTTTTAGAATAAAATATATACGTATTTGTTTTCAACTAAAATTTATTTGATTTCTAGGATAATAAATTATTAAAAAATAAAATAACTTTAAGCATTCATAAATTATGTTGCAAATTCTTGTGATTGTTAGTTGGGTACAAAAAAAAAACTAACGTCATCTAAGCACTTTACTTCATTATCATGACTGCTTTGTAACCCAAGGATAGTCATAGGGAGGTAGAATAGTCGGAAAGAGATTTAGAGAGAAATATACAAAAAGAAATAAGAAAAAGGATTCTGAAAAATATGCTGAGAAACATGTCTAGTCAATTCAACTTGGCTCTGACGTAAATACAGTTTATATGTACCTATACACTCGAACTTCAACCTTATCCAAAGGTTGATTCGTGCTTGTTAATTTTTTTTTTTTCTTGTATTAAAAAATATTTTTTATTTCAAACATCATCTTTATTATTTGAACATGTTAAAGTCATTCTTATTTTTATTGTTAAACTTTTTACTTAATTTTTTTCTGCTTTCATTTTTATTTTGTTGTCTTTCTCAACCTTAATTGTGAAATTTTTATTTGATCCTTAAGTCTGAATTATATATTTTTACCAGTTTTTAAACCACAAACCAACCGTGTCATCACTTAGCCACATCCTTAAGTACTATTTTTGATAAAATATATCTTTAGTTAAATTTAGCGAAAAAAATACTAGGTTTTTATATAAAAATTCATGATGTTATTATAAAATTATATCTTAGTTTCTATCATTTGTTAAAAGATACCATATTTTTATTGTTCACTAGTCATAACTTATACATACATGTGAAAAATTATTATGAATAGAAAATGAATGTTATTCAATAATTTAATGAGTATTACATCATTCATATGAGTTTCTAGAACGTATTTTCTCTCTTACTCTTTGGTTATTTATATTTTAAAACTTATATTATAATTGCAAGCATTTATGTTAATATTTAATAGCAATAATAATGTGTATACTCAAGCTTAATTTTAAGTTCTGTTTTATCAATCATGACGTGTAGGTGAGAGTTTTTCTTACAGGTGTACACCGGAAGTTACGTGACTTCGATGAAAGCTGAGAACAAGAAACACACCAAAAATAAGTGTATGATGCACATCATTTCTTAATTTACATACTCAAACGGAATTATTTGATTGAAATAAAATAACTTTCTTTACAATATCAAGAATATAACAACTAATAAAATGGATGAATTAATAATAAACATTGATATGAATAAATTAAATTTATTTTATTTAAATTTAAAGAAGAAAGGAAAAATTTTAGGTTATTTATTTTGCCAAGATTTAATATGACTTGTTAATAATTAAATTAATTTTGGATTTATGATTACAACTTTGTCAGTGGTAAGTAAAGAATAATCGAAGCTATAGCATGGATCTATTAATAAAATTACAATTGATACAAGATAAAATTCATCTGATACACATGAATAAACATATGTACATTTTTGTTACAGTAATGGTTCAATATTTAATTTGCTATGACCTGAGTTACCGTGACTTTTAACAATAATATCGTTCAATTATCATGTTAGTACATGTCTTATCTTCCCAGTGGTCTATTTGTCAGGGAAATGTCAATCGCAAATACACAAGGCCAAAGGGAAAAAAAATAAAAGGTAAAATTATCAGGTTCAAAATTATAATTTAATAAATCGATAAAAATTTTTACATAATTTTCTGCTTATTATATATATTTTTTATTCTTATTTAAAATATTATTTTGTTTGATAAATTTTCAGCAACTTGAACTTTTACGATGCTGTAGAAAAAAGTCTTGAGTCGAAGACATAAAAAAGTGAATGAGGTATAAAAAGTAATACGTAAATTGTGAAGAACATAAGAGTGAAAAAAGCATGGAGGCCAATGATTTAGTTGGAAACAAAGAGAAATGCATTCAAAATGCAACACTGGTGACGATATGATTTAAAAAGAAGAGAAAGACATAATAATAACAGAAGGTAAAAAGAGACAAGAAAGAGATGGACAGAGAAATGATGGAAAGAGAAGATTGAAATATTGTTAAAAGTGGGGGCAATAATAAATCGTTCACCTGAGCCACTACTCGAGCTCGCAACTTTCCTGCCAGGTCGAACACACTTTAGTGTCCGAGCCGATCTCGTGCTGATCACTTTGCACGCGTCTATCAATGAATAGTTTACTAGTAAAATCAATTGGTCGGCCGTTTTACTCCAAAATTTTTTTCTAAATTCATTCAATGATAAAATTGTTTTAAAAAAAAAAAAAAAAAGTACTAATTGATACAAAGATAGATCAATGATAATCAATTAGAAAGGATGTTTAGAAAACAAATAGCTGTTAATTGAAGAATGATTTGACATAAAGTTTTTTTTTTTTTAAATTGAAGAATGTATGTGTAAAGAAAAGGTGTTTATATATACTGTTCAAGTTAACTTATCATCTACTAGTGATTCAAAACGAAAGAAGAAATTGAAGAAGAAGAAGAAGAAACGAAGAAAAGAAAAATAATTTTTGTATCGCAAAGTTTAACTTTAAAAACAGCTCTCACGCGCTATACTTATAAAACTTACGCCTGTATTCTTCCATTCGTTCGTCACCGCACCAAGTAGTCGGCACACTTGAGAGTCGACTTTCTCCTCGTGTCGTTGTCGACTGGAGAATTTTTATCTGGGCAATCGATTTTGGATGTATACAACTCTTATACGATTATCCAAAATTACCGTAAGAATTTTATTACTTTGACCAAATTGGATTTGTGCAATTTTCTCAGTTGAATTATCATCAAAATAAAAGCAACATAGATTAAGAGAAAGAAAAACGGATGAGGTAACTGTACCTGTAACGTGTGAATAGACAGAGAAGATAACGTGCAAGAAAGAAACCAAGAAAACATGAGGATTAATCGAGGAATTTGTGGAAAACTTCAAGGAGGATTTCTAAGGAGATGGTGTATGTATATAATATTATTATATTCATGACTTTTCTTTTATCAATAATTATTCAAAACAGACCTCTCTAGCAACAGACCTAATTCGACTTTTTTCAATTTGATCAAGTCTGTACATATAAGTTGAAATGAAAAAGACTATGGCCTTATATTGAGAGAGAGTTATATTATGAAATTTTATTTACAATAGAATTTCTTATGTAACGATAATAAATCGAAGAACGTGTTGAATGGGATATTTAGGTATCACATTTACTTGTCTTAGCTTAATCTTCCAGTTGCTCCAGTTGCAGTTTTATCACTAATTATAGTGGAGACATGATATCTAGGTTACTGTTATGAGAAACATTCGAAGTCCATATCACTTTGATCACGCTAGTGAAGTTTAGATGCTATTTTTCTTATTTTAAAACAAGTCTCCCTGGATGTGATTATATGGAAAATATATTCTGTTTGTCATTGGTTCCAAGATGGATAAAACAGTTAGTTTTGGTATTATTAAAGTTGATGTGCTGACAATTTAATTATTTTTTTTTACTTTATAGTGAAACTAAAATATTAAATAACAAAATGGTCACTTCATGTTGATGTATCTTTGAAATCTTGAAAGCCACGTGGGTGCAGTCATATGTACAATACAGATACAGATGTAGACATTGTGATGTGATAGATGAATACATTTGATACAGGTTTATATAGTTATCTATGTATATTATAAGTGTACTCGTGTCGTTAGTAGATGTTGGTATGACTATAAATGCAAGCAATAGTGAATGAAATGACCTCGCGTCATGGTTCGACTCATCAGCAACATTTCTTGATGATATTAGATTTTTTAAGTTCATTATGGAAATGTCTGATCATTTTCTTCATTCCACGTGGATTTTTTTTTTAATGCTATCCAATTATATGTTGTTATTTATGAATTATTGAGATCATTATTTCCAGTCCCATTAATGACAAATTTAAATGAATATTATTGAGAGTTAATTTAAAACATCTTGAACTAAAAAAAAAAATTGATTGGATTGAAGAAAAAAAAATATTCATTGATTTCGTTATTCGATTGTAAAATTGCCTAGAAAATCATTGCTATAATTTGATCGCAGTAATTATACATTAACTACTGATGATGAATCACTTTTACAAGCTAATTGTGCTGCCTTGACTTACAAAGTATTTATGAAAGAATTAAGTATGTTATTTTCTTAAGGGTTTTGTTTGATATTAGAATATAATACAAATTAGTTCGAGAATAGTTTTATTTTGAATGAAAATGTAATTTAAAATAAAAAATTCTGTATTCTACACAAGTTTTTTATAATAGTGCAATGACTTTAACTCAGTATAAGGCATGCTAATTAGATGAATTAAGTGTCACTATATATCTTTTAACATGCAAATTAAAATACCGGAATTCAAAATGCTCTTCACGTATAAGTCAATTTTTTAATTTGTATTTTCAAAGTCAAGCATTATAGCCTTTCTACTTATTAACGAGTCGTAAAAGGTCATTAGCCAACTTAATATCTTTCTACTCAGAGAAAAAATTCAATGATTATTCAAAAGATATATACATGAATATTATTTGAAAAAGTATGTTTGTAGTTGGTATTTCATAGATGGAAGTTAAATGTTAGATTACCATATTTCAATATTTTTCAAATTAAATATATCAACAATGTAAATGACGTCATTAGCTGTTCATGAGTAAACTTTCGGATAGCTAGTCTATGTTCTTACTCTACTTATAAAACCTTTAGCCGTCAATTTCAAAACCGTTATCGCGCAAACTTTCTACGGTCAATTCATTCAGTTCAATAAGTTACACTTGGTTTAAGAAGTTTTCTTTAATATTTCCTAGATGTTTTCATGTCTAAAGTTCTATTATTCATTCAATAAGTTAATATAGGTTTCCTTATCCTAGCTTCTGCGTGTTTGTTTAGTTAATTTATCTTCAATACCTTGATTATTTAATTTATGCAACTTGTTTTGATGGATAATTAGATGTAAAGTAGATAACTTCTTCATCCAACAGTTCATGAAAATTCATTCTCATTAGAGAAAAATTTATATACATTTTTTATGAGTATCATAGTTAAGTGTGAGTTGTTATGATGGTAAATATGAAGATTAAAATAATTTCTAGTTAAAGAGTATGCTTCTTGTAATATAATAGATTATTTAAAAAAATGTTGTAAAAAAAAATAAATCGTATTTGACATGAAACTGGCAGTTAAATGTTTCAACTAGTTTCAAGAATATGAACACACCGCATTCCAACATCGGCCAAACCCGAGTGACAGGCTTCGCATACTCTCCTCTCCTTGATGGTGCACTGGCTTAGCCAGTTTTCCCGGTTCATTATATACTTATATATTTTATAAGTTGTAGGTATGAGAGTCACACACTTAGATATTGATATCCTCAAGCAATGGCCAGCAAAGAAGCATCTATTCTCTTGGATCTTTACTTAATCTTTTTTTCTACAGAGTTTCTTTTAAAATTAAATATTGAGCAAAGTTTACTATCATTTATTTAAGCATTTTGCAACCATTTATTCCTGACCTTAGGTAGATTATTGTGGTTGTTGTTGGTAATTCAGTTTGTACTTAGATTGGTATATGTTTGCTAGATTGCGAGGACGAGTACTTAGTAGTTATGGTTGCTACAGCTGGACTAGACATAAATCTTCAGGTAGTGAGTAGTAATTACTACAAAAAATGTAGGTAATCATTGTTGAGAAAAAATGTAAAAACTTTAATTGAGTTGAGGTAAACAAAAATTTAGGTAATATCTGAATTTCTTTAAATATTACCATATGATTTTCACTTAAAAATAATATTTTATATTCAACTAATTATATTGATAATTAATCACATATCATTTTGATGATATTAAATTAACATATAAAATAAAGAAATGTATTTTTGTAAAATAATTTTGAAATATTGATATTTTGATTAAGTGAATCAGTTGCAAAAGTTTGAAAATATAAACAGTAACTTGAAAATATTTTATTTATTTAATAAACATTTGTGTAATTTACACTGGAAGTGATTAATTATATGAATCTTTTGTACACATTGTCGGATAACGGTGTGAATATTTATTTAGAATGTACATGTAAACTACTACTTATAGTTACTGTATTCTGTATGAGTATATTAAAGAGATATTCGATCCAAGTAATCAAGTAATGCACATGTTTAAGACACAAGACTTTACTCTGCTCTTGCAAAAGTATTCTCTGTCGTAATGGCACATACAAGACACGCGCGTAACTCTCGCCTCGCTCCCGTAATCAGCATTGCGGTTGTAGCCCGTGAACTGGAGACTTTCAATTACACGCACGTTTCTCATTGCGATCAGAAGAATATTATATATTACATTAACATGATAACAAAGTTTCTTTTTCTCAGAATGACTAACTTTTTGCCATTTCTTATTACCCACTTAAGAAGTGGAATATACTGAAATTTTATTTACATAATTTTTATTAATTAGATTATTTCATTTTATTCACTTCATTAAATTGAAATAAAATAAATGAGGTATTTTAAAATACTCATTGGCCAATGTTTATGTTATTTTTATTGTTCAAATTCAACACAACTGTGAAGTCTGTGAAAGAAACATTGGAATCTGTATACAATCAAGTATGTTAGAATTATCATAGCGATTTATAGACAAACTTGCGTGATTTGCGTGAAGATTCTTGTCTTTAGAACTTGTTTGGTGGACGGAAATGACGAAGACTTGGTAGTCTTTGCTCGACCAATGTATCGTTTTATTTTATTTCTATTTTCATCATGATAAATTCCTTTTAATTCTGATAAAATGCTTATAGGTAGCTTCTTCGTTGAATGCAAAATTTATTTTTATACTCCAAGATGTCCATTTTTAAATGATTGGTTTCTTTTGTGTTTATTATGAGATTAAATAATTATTCATTATTTTGAAATTCTTTCCACTAAATTATCACGTCAAGTTAATAAATATTTAATGAATCTTTTTTCTTTTTTCACCAATCAATTGTTCAAACACAAACATGGATATGATTGGGACGTTATTTTTTATTACAAACATACTGACAGACATGAGAAAAATAAATCTTTTCGAGTTTTATATATTCTGCGAAAGTTTTCAGGCGTATTGTAGTGATATTGTCGAAATCTAAAATGTACATACAATATTATCAAGTGTGTATAACACGTGAGAGAATAGATTATCGCGCCTCACTAGTGGGAATGAGAGCACTGAAAGTGTCAGCTTCCTACAGCTTCAATAGTCTCTTTCAGATTTTCACGTAATTTGCAGTGATGACTGTTTCAATTGCGTTTTATTTTTATTCTATAGAATAAAAAGTTTTAAATATTGCTACATATTGCTGGAATATAAAAAAATATACAAAAAAGGATAATAATAATAATAATGATTTAGTATTATTAAATAATAAAAGTAATTTTGTAATCGCTAATTATGCATTACATTAACTCACGTAGTGAAAAAAATCAATATAATATTCCGTTTCTGCATCAAAACTTGATGAAGAGATTCTTAAAAATTTTTTTTTATTTATATAGAAATTTTAAAAAGTGGATTTTTTTTCTAGCAATCATTTTTTCGAGGCTGACTATGGCAATTATTGCATATCTCTCTATTCTTCATATTAAGTAAAGTGTAATCACTGAAAAAATAAACATTTATTTTATATAGCATATATTTATCATGACTATGAGAATGTAGTAGTACACTTACACATTTCATCCAAGTTGTTCTCCTTGCTCGAATCATGCTGATCTGTATCCATAACAAAATTGCAATTATCATTGTGTACGTTGGTACAAAAATACCAAGTAAATAAATAAGAATTTTTTCTGTATTGATTGACTAACAAAAAAAGACGAATAATTTTCATATATTTCAGTTCAAATGATATTTATGAAAAACTTTATACCTCAGTTGTGTATAATTATGAAAAAAAAAACTTCATTAAACTACTTGTTTCTTCATTAAATATTGATAGTCAATAAATGACCAAGTGTATCAATTCAAGATTATTATGACAAAAAAAAAATGTATTAAATAAATCTACTTCGATAATTTACAATTGCAATCATCATTTTATCTGAATGTAATATATTTTGCATTTAATAATTTATGATGTTGAGAATAATCTTAGACATTAAATAATTTTTTGTTCATTTCTTCATTTCGAATAATTCATACTATTTATTAAGTAACTTTTATAAAAAAAATTTGCAATGAAAATGTTCTTCTGCTGTATTAATAGTGTGAATTTTTGCACTCTTTTTCCGCAGTCGACAATTGTTTTTACACCATCCAGATATAATAGAAAATATTGATAACATCATTTGAAACCTTGCAGTTCCGGAGCTAAATAAAACATGACATTTATTATTTATTTTTAAAAAATCCGTCAAATGTTGCAAAGCTTCAAGTTATTATTCAATTACTTCACTATTACATTAGAGAAAAAATAACATATTCATTTAATTTTAACTTACGCTAATTTATACTTTCAAATGACAGTTGTTAGGTAACGTAGAAGCACTATTTTTATACCATTTCACGTATTAAATACACTGAACGTAATAATTTAATATTTTGAAATAATTAAATCACTTCAGATAAAAATTTATAATGAAGGTCTTGAGACATTTTTGATGATAGAAAAATTATAAGTCCACGTGAAAACCTTGTTTTTATAATAAAAATCAATGAAAGTTGAAAGTAAAAATAAATTCGATGCCAACTAAATGATACGAACCGGTTTAACTCCTTGAATGAGCTCCAAGGGAATTTTTGGAGGTTAATCCAGTTGGGCCATTGCACGAATGACCTTTCGTGTCATCTCCCAGCTCTCTGTGGTCGCCATTTATTTACTTTCAGGGGCAAACATCTTCAGCATCTTTTTGTTCATAATATTTTATGCAGGAATGTTATTGACTTTTACTGACGTGTTGGCTAATCAGTAGTTTATTCTTTCACATAGGTATTGTATCAGCATAATGCTGACAAATAATTTTCTAACATCAACAAGTTAATTTATTTTCCAACTCTATGACGTCCACTGCGGAATAAATATTTGGAATAAATTAGATAAAAATATTCAAAATGATGATTATTTAAAAAAAAAAATAACTATTTTCATGACAACTTGGTTAAAAATATGCTTATAAATATTTCGAATGTTTGAATGAGTGTATAAAAAAAACAAGTTACCATAATTTATACGTAATATGTCATTCGCTCTATTTGATTGCAAGTGAAAGTTATTTTAATTCGATATTTTCATCAAAAATAACCGGACGTAAAATTCCATTGCGGAATCAGAACTCATGTTCCTATACGCCTATTTTCTACTACCAATTATAAATAATACCCATCTTTGATTACAAAGACACATCTATTCCATTCTTTTCGTTCAAAAGACATCGTAGTAATGGGAAAGTACATCATGATTTTTGCTTTTTTCTTCATTCATCTTCTTCAAAATGATACGATGATGGCGATGATAAATAAGTTGGAAGGAAGTAGAATTTTTTAAATTTAAAATCATCTAGAAAAGAAAAAAAACAATCTCACTTTATATTAGTTATGTAATTTTTTTTAGGCAATATTATTTGTCGGTATAGTGACTCACTTCAATGGTCTTCGTTATTGATCTAACCGATTATTACTTCCATGAAGTGTTTTAAAGAGGTTTTTCACAGGTTATGCAACTCAAAGTTTCCGAACGCTTTATTTATTTAATAATAATTATAATAATCTAAATAAATAAACAGAAAACTTCCTTTAAAAAAAAAAATTTTTTAGTCAGCATAATTACAGTCGAACTTGACCTTTGATGGCAACCAACTTCACTGTAGTAAAGATCCAACTTTAAAAGTCTCATAAATCTCACACGCTCTGGTAATTGAGACACAAATACCTACATGACATGTAATGTACCTTCAAAAGTAAAAACACTCATCTAGAAATGTGTTAGGAAAATCGGAAAAGCGGATCCAATTAACTTCCGGTATGGTTTTACTGTACATTGCATGTCGAAGAAAGTGATAGTTTGATGTTATAATAAAGTCATCCGGTTGAATTGTTAGTCGGAATTCATTTCTTCCGCATTTGTTAAAAGAAGAGAACTTGGGTTAAATGTTACTTGGTGATAGCCTTCAGGAAGTTGCATATCGGGTCGATAGAGGTTAATTAAAAAGTTTTTTTTTTGTCATTAAAATATTGAAGATACAAGAAGACACTACAACCTTGGAATAAGATTTCTAGAATTATTGTGTATTATTATGTAATTAAATTTATTTTAACTTTTAATTTATGATAATTCACAGCAATATATTTTAGTACTACTACTAATTAAGATTTAAAAAAATACATTGAAAATTGAAATAGAATTTTTAAAATTGTTTTCTAACTACTTTAGGTCTAATTAATCATTTTTGAGACAATCTTTTAACACTGAATGGTAATTTTCTTTTGTATTTCAGGACAAATGTCTGAATGGATTAATTTGAAACACTGTTAGATTTTCTAAGGAGTTAGATGTTGAAAAACTCTCACTTCTTATTTCATATTTTTAAGACGAAAAAAAAGCCAGACACGTGAAAATACAAAAAATAAAATAATCACTGTAATACTTGGTCTATGAATGTCCATATGTAATAAAAAAAGCAATAGAACATTTATGTTCAGTAATTTGCTTGAGAATGAGAGATTTTAACAGAAAAAAAGAAATGAAAAAAAACCAAGAAGTCACTGGATAATAATATAGTATCTATTTAGTTTAGTTCATTAAAAATTTGCTAGAAAAAATTTACGATTATGTCTTCTGCTTCTACAAGGATTCATTTTTATGAGCATGTTTATTGAAAGTAATGTATTCTTTATTACATATTTAATTAATTTTCGACATAATTTGAAGGTTAAATGGTGGCCATGGAAAATAGAAAAAATGAAATTTTTATACCATCAGTTCATTGAATAATTTTTAAAATAAAAATTTAACTAAAAGATTAGACATTTTATGGTTATAAAGTATACATGAATAATAATCTATTAATTACAATAAAAATCAAGCTTATAATGAATGTCTATTATTGAATAATAGTTGAATAATCGCCGTGTCACACTATTCAATTATTTTATAATTTCTACAAGTGAATAATGATATTATTTTGAGAGATTCATTAGTAAACAGCAAGTTTAATGCATAAATGACGGTAGCATGTATTAGAAAACATGTAATCTAACAACGGTTGAACAAATAAAGAAAAAGTGTTACAATCCCTACACTTACATGCTTTAGAGTAATAATTACAGGCAGTGACAAATCAAAAAAGAGGGAAAAATTGCGATGCTATCTAGAAGTTCACTTTAGTATTTTTATTGTATCGAGTAAACTTGACAGTAAGCTATTCAGTTGTTCATCTGACAGGAACCTGAACGATTCAAACTAGGTCGAAAAAATATTGTTAGATTTTCCTATTATGTTTTGTCTAATTAAAATGAAGCATAAGAAAATAATATTACTAACAGGTTGATCATTTTTTTATTTTATTTTAAAATTAATTTTTGTCATTTTTATTCAATGAATCATTTTTTTTTTTTAATTTTCAGGGGCAGCTGTAGCAGCTGGAGCATTATTGATAATCTTCGCTGGAGTACTGGCAGCATTGTTCCCAAACATTATGGAGTTGATAATAAATCGAGAAGTGTCTATTAGAGAGGGTAGCCGATCATATGGATGGTGGAAAGCACCTCCAATAGTTCCTCGAATGAATATTTACATTTATAACGTAACTAATGCTGATGAGTTCTTAAATAACGGTGACAAACCCATTGTTGATGAACTTGGTCCCTATGTATACCTTCAAAAGTGGGATAAAACTAATATTACATTCAATGATAACGGAACAGTCAGTTACAATGTGAGGAAACGTTTCGTATTTTCTGAGGTGATTATTTGTTTTTCTTTTTTTTTAATATTATAAATATATAGGGTGTGACAATGACTAAGCTGTGGTTGGAAAAAATGTCTATTAATTTAATTCTTTGAATATTAATCATTTTTATAAATATAAAGAATAAGATTCAATGATTGTGGTAAAATTTTATGGATATTTTATGAGTCAGTAGTAAGTGTGATTCATTGTCTGACATTTTTTTTCCATTGGAATTTTTTTCTAAGTACACTTGAGTGCAAAAATCATTTTAAAATTAATTATCAAGTTTCTTAGTGCAGGAAAAAAACAGTTGGATCATGAAATATGAATTTTCTATCATTTTGGCGTAACATAATATTATAATTATCTTGTCCACTAGTCACTGGGTAAATAATAAAAATGAAATCAAGTAGGACTTTGATGAATGTTATTTGTAACTTGACTAATTGAACAATAAGACATGACAAATTAATCGGTTGACTGAAAGTTTGGTAGGCATTCTTCAGTTGTCTTACTCTGATTACGATGAAAACACGCTCATCCGTGCGCGACTACAATGCATACGGAATCGCAATTTGCATATCACTCGTAGCAACGCTCCGTTGACTCGTTTAAGATGTTGATGATGGCCGAGGTCTAGAATCACCTGATAGTTTAGTAGTATAATAACTTATCAAGTAATTTTATTCTTGTATTACAAAATACTTTGGATGAAAAAATAATCAAAATAATTTTATGAATAATTTAAATTGAATTTTTTCTTTTTTCATATATAGAAATATTTTTATACTTTGATTATAATTAATGATTAATAATTTACAGGAATTATCTTCGGGTTTATCTGAAGATGATTTGGTAATTGTCCCAAATGTGCCAATGCTATCAGCAACCAGTCAATCTCGTCACGCAGCAAGGTTTCTCCGGCTAGCTATGGCATCGATCATGGACATTTTAAAAATTAAACCATTTGTCGAGGTCTCAATCGGTCAACTTCTTTGGGGATACGATGATCCATTACTCAAGCTTGCCAAGGACGTCGTACCAAAAGAGCAGAAACTTCCTTACGACCAGTTTGGATTATTATATGGAAAAAATGGAACACATCCTGATATGTATACCGTCTTTACTGGTACATCAGATATCACAAAGTATGGAATGATGGATAGGTGGAATGGAAAAGATAGTTTTCAACATTGGACCACAGATCAATGTGATAATATATTGGGTGGTGACGGCAGTATTTTCCCCCCGCATATCTCCAAGCAAACTGTACTCAAGGTCTTTGACAAGGACTTGTGTAGAACCCTTCCGCTTGTCTTCAAGGTAAACTAGACTTTATGCTAATAATATTTTTTTATATTAAATACTTTCTATCATTTTTTTTCAAGGTTATTAATAATAATTGACTGTAGTGAATTAAATAAATTTAAATTAAAACATGACACTTTTTTTAATGTTATAGGAAGAAGTAGCTACTGCTGGAGATGTTCCCGGATATAGATTTGTTCCACCTAAAGATGTATTTGCATCAGCTGATCGTATCTCTGCTCAAGAATGTTATTGCCCCTCTGGTCCGCCTTGTGCACCAGAAGGAACATTTAATGTCTCTAAATGTCAATACGATTCTCCTGTTTTGCTAAGTTTCCCTCACTTTTATTTAGGTATTAAATATTCATTTTTTTCGTATTAAATACAAAGAGTAAATGAGAATGATAAATTGGAATTAAACAATTTTTTTCAGCTGATCCTGCTCTACGGGAAGCCGTAGTAGGAATATCACCTCCAGACGCAGAAAAACATCAATTCTTCATTGATGTCCAACCATTAATGGGAACTACATTGAGAGCACGTGCTCGAGTTCAAATCAATCTCGCTGTTAGTCAAGTGAGAGATATCAAACAAGTTGCCTCATTTCCCGATATCATTTTTCCCATCATGTGGTTTGAAGATGTAAGTGTATTCTTTAAATTAAATTGATATGAAAAATCAACAACAAATCAATCAAATGTGCTTACATCAGTACTTATGAATGAATATTATTATAACAGGGTGTTGATGGATTACCAGAAGAAGTAACATCTCTCTTAAAAATGGCTGTTGATGTTCCACCAATAGCAAGAGCAGGTCTCGCAGGTGCTATGGCTGCAGCAGGAATAATTGTTCTCGTTGGTGCACTTTTCTGTCTCGCTAGAGCGGCTAAACGTCAGGAAAAATTGCATTTAAGCAATCCTCTACCTCCAGGTATGACAAAGCAAGGAAATATTAATCCAGGTTTTCAAGGACCAACAAAATAAATTAGATAATAAAAATAGAAAGTGATATATGTATAAGAAATGAAAACAAAAACAGAGTAAAGAAAGTAAAAAGAAAAAATCCTCCGTTGATATAAGGATTTTTCTTTTTTTATTGTTTTTAAATATCGGACAGTAATCCAGAGTAAAAATTCGACTTGAATTAAATTCAAAGGTGAATAAATTTTATGTGTACTCGTCATGACAACAATGTAATAATTTCAACAACAATTGTATAATTATAACGAAGAAAATAATTGTCAAGCAGGCGGGAAATGGTGAAAGTAAGAGAAAAGAGGTATTTAAGTTTGTATTTAGGGTGAATTATTAGAAATGATCTAGATTTTAAATATTTACAAACTTTTTATGAAAACTGTAAAATATATTACAAACATAATTATGATTAATGGAATCAATCTATGAATGATTATTCAAAAAGACATATTCTTTAAAAAATATTTACCGTCATCAATTGTCTATATATTTTATGACAGTAAATATTTAGCTCTCTTCTTTTCGTACAAAAATTTTTTACTTTGTTTTTTAAAATTTAAAACCCTTCAATGCACGTAATCTTTTTATGCTCAACGAAAGTCTTTCGTAGTAGGTCGAGGTCGAGAGATAATAAAATTATGATATAAATGTATTAATTTTAACGATCTAATGTTTTCATTTAATACGTCATTATATTGACGCATTTGTTGTGGTGAATGTTGAGAAATTTGATCATGTTCAGACAGAAAAATATATTTTTAAATCCATTGATATGGTAGAAGTCCAACAATAATTTAATTAAAAATTCTAATGCTAATCGTACAAAGCATATCAATCAACTGCGAAACAAATCACAAACATGAATGATAACATGCAAAAATTGGAAAAAAAAAAACATAAACAGATGCACTGAAGTGTAACTAAACTACACATGCGTGTACTTTAGAATGATCTAGTTCTTTCTTCTAGAAGTGTGGCAGTTGAAGTAATTTAATTAAATGCAAACTAAATTTCAAATTACAGTTGTAAAATAATTATTATTATTGTTATAAATTAATTATCATAATAGAAATTGGATTTAATCCAAAAGAAAATTAAGCCAAGACTTGATTAATGAAAGAAAGTAACATCAAATGTGTTTTTGAAAATCATTGATAATGATTTAAGTTAATGAATTTATTCTAGATTTATAAAATATCAAAATATCTTGGCTACGTATTCCGTCCAATGAATGTAACTATATCTAATGTTTTATATTATTATTATTATTAATTATTTTTAAATAAAATTCTTATTATTCTTCGTTGTATATGTTATATATATTACTAGGAACAAAAATTATTAGATAATATTTGTTAGGTGAAAATAATTTTGTACAAATAAATCAAAAGATACCAAACAAAATATTTCATTGCTGATTATTTATATTACGCCTCTTCATTTGTACATATTAAATGTTACTTAGATAGATAGATATATATATATATTTTTATCATCGTATGTTCACTTGGAAAAAATAGACTTATGAAAACCAATTAATTTGTACCACATCATTTTTGCAAAATTTTTGAATCATATAAAATGCTTGCAATTTAAACAGCTAATATCATGTTTCACGGAAGAAGGTCATGCTAGTAAAGAGAGGTTATCACTTTATAAAAAATAACATGATAAAATACATTCTGCTGATAAGACATAGACATTAGCATATTAATAATCTATATTGATTAATGTTCCTTAGTTATAGAAATTATGTAACTGTTGGATGAGTATATTTACATACAGTAATTCAAGATCATGGTTTTCTTTTATTATTTTGGTTTGAGCATTTATTTAATAACTTGTTAAATATTACTATTCATTAATTTATTTAACTAAATTATCGTGATTAATGAGGTAACAATAAAATTTATGATAAAATTAATAACATAATATATTAGTAAATTTATATATTCAACAATATTTCCAAATTACTTAGTTTATTTATTAACTTCTATCCAATAAAATTCTTATCAATAAACACCTAATTAAAAAATCGCGAGATAAATAAAATAATTAATAAATAGAAAGTTTTAAAATTAACAGTCTTTTTACCCTTCATACTTTCTCGAATAGTTTTTAAGAGTAAAAAATAATATTTTGCCCTGAGAAAGATATTGTACACATCTTTACTTATAATTATTCACACCTTTCTTTGTTCATAACACATAAATTTAAAAGTTTTTATTCTTGCCACAGGTCTAATACCAAAGAAACTACTACTCTACTTAACTTTAACTACTAATTAACTTTAATTTTTTTGTAATAATAATTAACATTGTACTGTTCCTAACTCACTTTCTTCGAGTAATTTAGCTTGTCCAGATATTTTTCTCTTCAGAGCAGCTCGATGTGCTTCCCGTTGTTTTCTTAAGACATGCATGAGAGCTCCTGAAGATAAGATGATACCTACAATGCTTCCCCACTTCATTCCTGCTTCAACTGTGGATGCAGTAAAAAATGCATGTTTCAAGAGATTCATCAGGTGGTCTGGAATGCTGTCGACTCCAACGTCAATCCAAATTAAAGGTAGAATTTGCCCATCTTCGATATTCCCAAGGAAAGGAATACCAGCAACTTTGCGAGCTTCAACGTTCAGTTGGACTCTAGAGTGTCCTCCCATTACAATTCCCAATCGCTAAAATAAATAAACAATTAGTAACCAATTATTTTATAACAATTGCCAGTAATAATTATCAGTCATTTTAAAATAGCAAAATAACTCACTGGGTGAACATTGACGTATGTTTCATGCAAATTTTGTTGAGGATTTAAACCATCAATATTTTTTTTAAGACTTTCATCTCCATTTAAAAAATGAGGCAAAGACACAGCGATAGGCATATTGAAGGTACAGACTGACGAATTAAAGATTCCATTAGGGGGACAGGTTTTTGATGATGAAACACCTGTTATAGTTTGTGGACAAAAGCAACGTTCCTCTCCATTGTTGTAATTGAAAGCATCAGTAGGAGGTTTGAACCTTTAAGTATATTAATATTTATTAAATAAAAATTGTTATTAATGTCAATAATTTTATTGACAAAATTTTTTTTTAGGAAATCAATGATTAACTTACGTATATGTTGGAACCCCAAAGGATATGTCAGATCCTGCTCGTTGGAAACGTAAAGTACGACGCATATCAACAGCATAAATTGATAATGTTGAATCAGGATCTTTGATCATGTTATAAGGGAACATGTATCCTTCTGACCCATAAACACGGTCACACTGAGCATCATGCCAGACATGTTGATTACTACGACCATTGACTCGTTCAATCATTGATAGTTGATTTAAATCATGTATTCCTGTGTTCATTGTAATAACATCCGATGAGACACCATTTTTCTAAAAGAAAATAGTTGATTTCATATATCATTGAAAGATAATAAATTTTTAATTACAAGAAAGAATGAATAATAAACATACGTGGGCAAGAAGACCAAATTTTTCAAAAGATATATGTTCTTGGAAAGAAATAAATGGTTTTCCTAATTCAAATATTTTATCATCATATCCCCATAATAGACCCCCTGCTGTGACTGATGTGAAGGGTTTTGATTGCAAAGTCGTGAGGACTCCAGTAAGAGCAAGATGAGCAAAAAAAGACATATCTTTAACAAAAGCCATAGCTGCCATAAGTGGAACATTTGGTGCAATAATAATTTCGTCATCAGGTCTTCCACCCTCCCATTGAAAGGATCTTTTCTCTTGAAAACTTATCGTTCCATTTTCATGAAAAACATAATTTATTCTTGTCAAAGTTTCACGATAAATATATGGTCCAACCTCTTCAACTTTCAATTTTTTTGTTCTACCACTTTCAAAGTCATCAACATTTGTGTAGTTGAATATTTTTATCTTGTAGACTGCCCGAATTGGTGGGCGAATGAACCACTCCAGCATTGGAGTACCATTTTTAACGACAAGTGTTGAAAGAATAGTATTTTGAAAGATATTTGTACACCAGAAAATTACAAAAAGAACCAGACTTGAAAATGTCATACCAAGAACTGAAGCAACGACCAACTTTCGCGGTAGAAAATGTCGACGATTATTCGACAACGGTTTTTCCATTATTGACATGCCTTTTGTCATTTTGCCAAAAAATTAACTTTATTTTAGATTAATTAAAAATTTAAATAACTTTTTTACTATATAATTATTCCAATCAGCAATTAAATGTGTGCTTCGTAAATATTTAGTTGATGATGATGGTTAATATATTTTTTAACTTTGATCCAAAATTCCCAATGAATCACGATCAAATGATACACTTAGAATGGTTTTCATTTGACTGACTTCTCATACGACTTAATGTCTTACAAAAATCTCTCAGTTTCTCTTTTTTCAATCTAATGATAACCTTGTTGCGAGGGTTGACCTTTCTTGGGTAGCACCTCCGATATGTTGGACAGTTAGGACACGGGTCTTTGCCATCCTGTCTGCGACCGGCAAACACGTTCATCAACATTCTGAAAATATTGTTATCATTATTTTAGCATCATACCATTCATTTAATTTAAAACAGTAAGAAGTATTTTATGTTAACTTTGGTGTGGAAATTATTGATTAAAAAAATATGATAAATTCTAGAAAAAAGTAATATTACAGATTGATTAAAGTAAAATTTAATTTAAATATTCTGATTAATGATATAACACTGATATGAAGAAGGCTATGCAATATAGAATAGTCAATTATAATTATAATAGAAAAAGCAAAACAATATGTTTTTAATGAAGTGGTGATATCTTATCAATAAATGAATCAAGTCTACGACTTTTAGAAATTGAAATTTGTGTGATTTTACTCCAAGGCTATTGATAAAGCATTCAATAATCAAAATATAGCTGTCAAAGTGAATTGTTTATATTTAATAATAATTGAAAAAAAAGCTTGTAACAATCTGTATATAGATATAATAATATGAATATGTATGATTGGATATTTTAAACGTTGGCGTAATTTAATTGGAGACATTAAGCATCAGGCGATTCACATTTGCTCAATCACTGCGAGGTGGATAAGTCGCGGATAAATGTTATAGCATCGTCTCGGATAATTCCCTTTATTGTGACCAGACGATTAAAAAAAAATGACTTGTGATAACATCCTGGCGATTTGTTTTTGTCAAGCTTATTAAACTTTAAGTTAAATACTATACTTAACTTAGACAGACGTAACTAAGATATCTCTAATTATTAATAAAGTTTAAAGAGAAATAATAAAACTTACTCGTTTAATAGTTGATAACAGATTTTTTTTGCTTCAATTCCGTTTGCAGTAGACGACATTTTTTATCTCTACTTACAAGAGTCTATAAAAAATATAAAAATGTCTTCAAGTGATTAGATAGTTGTATCAAATTTTGTTAATTATTATAATTATAATAAAACATCTAAAACTTCAACTCTAGAATTATGAAAAAAGAATGGAAAATTTATTTATTCAAACATTTAAATATTTCATTAAATATTTAGAACAATAATAATTGATTAATATTAAAAATTTTTAGAATTTTTTTTAGGTTATTTCTTTCTAAAATTAGTAATAAATTATGTTAATTTTTCATCGTATGCAACTGTTTAAAGAATCAACTGTAAAAGGAATAATTAATCCAACAAAAACAACTAATCTAAATGTGAACAAATTTTAAATTAATTTATTTATCATGCTTGTTTGACAACATACCGCGTTTACGTTGGAGGTAGAGTTGCCAATCTAAAAAACTATCAATAACGAGATTTGATTGGTAGAAATATTTAAAAAGTAAGGGTAATATTTCTGTTATTATTACGCTTTTGTGAAAATGCACCTTTACGATATTTTGTATTGTTGGAGTTCCCCCACAATGTTATCCAATGGAATTGATTGAGGTTAGAGCGACGAAGCAAATAAAATAGCGTTGATATTGTGAAGAGTGTAAACTCATTTTTGTGATTATTAAATAATTGACAAAAAGATTTATAATAACAAGGTATATAAATGGAATATTTTCCATCATTTGAGTATATATAATAATTAAAATTACTTAGTAAAAACAGTAAATTTGAACTTCAAACATCAATTTATTTTTCATTCCAAGCTTGTGAAAAGCGCCAATGTACTACATCACACAAAGACAGGGATGTCCCGTATTGCATGTTTGTACATGATCACTTGTTCAACGAGTTATTTGCTGAATCAGCTCAACATTAATTAGATTATCAATATTTATATATTTTAGACGTATTTTTTGAACAAATTTTTATGCTTACTTTATTATTTACAGGTTAACTATAAGTTTAAAAAATACTTTCACATAAAACTATGATGAGTAATTGAAGAAAATAAAATATGTAATAAATTGACTAATTTTTCTAAATGGAGACTAATTCACTAGTGCCCATAAAAAGACAAAGATCATCGTCAGCAGGAGTTGTTGAGTGTATACGAGAATTTAAACTGCCACAGGCTTTTCCAAGTATGGCTAAAAATGCAAAAGGGGATTTGAATATGACATCACAAAGTTCAGTACAATTAATAAGTAATCCTTCTAATATTATTCAAACAAATATTCCATTGAAAGATGGACAACTTGGACCAAAGCTTCAAAAACTGAAATTAAAATCATCTGATGGTAGAGATTTAGGAGAATTTGATGTTCAAATTGTAAATAAAAATAGAAATCTGTCAACAACATTAAATGTACAATCAAAACCAAATAATTTACCAGCAATAAAGAGTGATTATAAAGATAACAATGTTCGAAAGTATGTTAAACTTACTGCAGGAAAAAATTCAATTTTATCACAATCTGCAGCAGTTAAATATCTAACAAAACCGATACAAGTAGACGTGCCTGAAACATCTCAGGGAGTTTTAATACCAATAGCATCCAATATGATGACCAATGGTACTAGTGAAAATAATCAGTCATCGATTTCTGTAGATAGTCATAAGAAAAAGCAAGTGTTCCTTGTAAAACCAACAAAAAATAATTGGCAAGTATTAAATAATGGTCAAACTTCAAATTTATCGCCAATAATATTAAAGCCTCAAGTAAATGATGATCAAGTAATGTCGACAAATACAAAACAAGTAAAAAATGTGCCTCAAAGAGTACAATTAACGCATAAGTCACCTGTAGTAACTTATAAAAATAATGATGGTATTATAACAACTGGAGTGAAAAGAAAGATAGATGAAACAGTATTTAAACCTACTATAGTGAAAGATAAGAAATTTGTAAATATTGGTAATTCTAATATTGTTATGAAGCTTGAAGGAATAGAAGAAAATAACACTGGAGATAATGTAATTTATGTTGTTCCAAGTAATGATAATCTTACTGAGAATGAAAGTGTTCAAAATGCAGAAGTAATAGAAAATCAAAGTAAGTTTCTTAGGAATTCTCACGGAAGAGTAAATTTAATAAGAAGAGGTCGAAAAAATCCTTTAATTAATAGACCATATTTTAATGAAAACGATGAAACGTCTTTAGATCATTCATGTTCTTATTCTTTACCAACTAATGATTCATTGAATGATGATCCTGTTGATAATGATATTTCAAGTAAATTGAGCATTGTTGGTCAAGCATTAAGTACCATCGGTGATGAAGAACTTAAAGCAAAAGCTTTAAAAGCATTAGCAGACTGTGGTATTGGGATGGAAAGATTTGTACCAATAAAACCTTCTCCTGATTTGAAATCTATCAAAGAATCTTATTGTCAGACAAATGTATTTGGACTGCTTGATAAAAAAGATTTCATTAAGGTTGAAGGTGAAAGCGATGCGTTAGAACGTATTCAAGAAGTTGAAAGAACAAAAATTGATTCCACCAAACTTCCTGAAGTATCGTCAAATGATACCGTTGAATTTTCTGAAAAACTCAATAAAATGTTGGATACGTTTTCTGTAAATAAAAACAATGTAGAACAAATGCGAGAAATATTTAAAGTTCATCCTGTAGTTGAAAAAGCTCATCGCTTGATAGAAAAAGATTTTAAAAATTATAAAAAATTTGATAAAAATGGATTATTGAATATTCATAAAGCTGTTTTAAGTAATCAAGAGAAATTAGTAAATAGACAAATCATGGTTTTAACAAATTGTAAAGCTAGTGTTGATTTACGTACAACTGATAAACAGGTATCTATCTTTTATATTTATTATTTATTAATTCTTAAACATAAACGAGTAGATTAAATAATATTTCACTTTAAGACGAGTTTAGAGTTAGCTGTACGATATGGCATTTCACTAGAAATTATCAAAATGTTACTCAAAGCTGGAGCAAATCCCACTGCTCCTGAGTCTCATGATTCAGCTTTGACCTTAGCAAGTAAACAATCGTCGCCTATTTTACTCGCACTTATTCCGTACCTGTCATCAACTGATCCTGCCATTAATAATGTTGATTCAGAAGGTAACTATTGTTTTTTATCCTTCAATGTAGTTTGTGATAAATAATTGGATATTAATAAATCCTATACACTTTTAGGATTTACGGCATTGCATTATTGTGCAATGAATGGATATGAAGAAGGTGTAGATGAATTAATTCGCATTGAAGTTGACTTAAATGCACGCGATTGTAAATCAGGAAGAACTGCTCTCTTTCATGCTCTAGAGAATGAACATCTTCAAATTTGTAAAAAACTTTTAATGCACGGAGCAAAAGGAAATATTCCCAATTTTGCCGGACAAACGGTGTTTGCTTTATTTGATGATGAAAAACATTTTATGTTAAGGGATTTTTTACAAAGGTCCATGAAATAATATAATGTGAACAGAATAAATTGTTTACAATCGTCTAGATAAGTTTAAAAATCCATAGGAACTTTTATTTGTTATTATTTATTAGTATTTTAACATTAATTAATGAATTAAAATTGAAGAAAACAACCTTCAATATTTTTAATTATTTTTATTAAATATTTTTAATGCAAAAAATAACTTTTTATATAAAACGTTTTGGATAATAAATTAATCATGATGTTAAGTTAATGAATATTCTACTTTTTAATTGTAAAAAATTCACCACTTCACAATTTCTTGTTTAATTATTTTTTTTATTTGTACATACAATCAAATTTTGCGCCGTTTACAGTGCTTGCAACTAACTTCAGAGGGAAGTACTGTCGTTTATTAGTTCCAACAGTCGCCGCTAGTGTCGCTAGTATAATACAAGAAAAGTTAACCTCTTTTCTTTATGATGACGCGATAATGAATGTTTTCATATTATTGAATGTGAAAAAAAAAATTATTTAACTAATAAATACAAAATTTGAAGATTTTTATTATTTATTCTAATACTTTACCATAATCTAATGGATTCTTCAAATCACAGAAAAAATATTACAAAAAGGTAATTTTCCCTTAGGCTTATCAGCATTTTTGTTTCTATGCAATTAACTTAATCAATATTATAAAATAAATTATTATTACTTATTTAACATTTTTTTATATTAAAGTTACAACGGAGACGAAGATCAATCTGATTTCGCTATGATTAGACGAATAAAAATGGAACCAGAAACAATATTATCTCAGGATGATGACATTATGGCACAATTACATCAAGAGAGTTCTGATTTAGAAGTGGAACCAAGTTTTGTACTTGATACCGTAGCTAACGAGGATTGTAATGAAGGAGTTTTAATGCAGCACATGGATATAAGAGAGCCTTTATCAACACTTCGAAATTTATTAGAACAAAGATTGGGTGTTGAACTAACTGATTATTCTTTTTGGCTTCAAGATGCTCAAATGGTAATAATTATATTAATAATTTGACTTTAATCTACTACTGTTTCTGTTTAATTTTTAATTTATCAACAATTTTTTAATTTTCAGTTAGAAAGTCATAAAAATTTAGTAGACCAATGTGTTCAAGGCGAAGGTCTTGTTCAAGTGAATGTACAAATAAGAGCTGCACAAAGACGAATAAATATAGTTGACGTTCTAAAACCTGCTGAAGATTATGTAGAAACTGCTGAGAATCATGGTTAGTTGAGTTAATAATATTACTTTAAAATTTATTATGAAATATTGTGAAGAAAAAAAATAAAAAGATCGTTATGAATATTTTTTATTAAAATTTTAAGCTCCAACAGCAGTACCGGAAGACAATAAACAGAATGTGATTAGATGGATGGTAGATGCACAGTATAAACAAGAGCAGGTATTTATTAAATTCTTTGAATTTTATACTGATAAAAGTTATTAAGAAAGCAAGGAAAACAGTAAAAAAAAGTCAATGCTATTTTATTTCATAGTTTTTATTAATAAATTTAGTTATTGTTTTTAATAATCTCCATTAAAATTTGTACATATTATAATTTTGATTTAATATTATACCATTTAAAAATGAAATATTTGAGACATTAATTTAAATATTGAAAATGATATTGAATATTCAATATTCTTAGGAACGTTTGAAAATTCCATTTGATCCGAAAGAATGGTCACAAACCCACGTTAAACACTGGCTCCAATGGGCTGTCAGGCAATTTAATCTCGTTTCGCTGAGGTTAGCAGATTGGAATATTACTGGAGCTGAACTTTGTAATCTTACCCTTGAAGAATTTCAAGCTAAAGTTCCCCTCGATCCAGGCGATGTATTTTGGACACATTTAGAGTTGCTTAGAAAGTGTAAATTTGTTGGTAAGTATATCATCTTTCTTTCATTAGTAAATAATTTTAAAAAAATATATTACATTGTAATTTTTTTAATTGATTTTATTTCAATTATTATTTATAGCTGTGGTACAAAAAGATTCGACAATACACGAAAATATTCATCGAAAATCAGTTAAAGTTCGTAGTCAAAAAGCTCCTAAAGCTCGAGCAGTAATGAATCAACATGCACGTTTAGTAGGTATGCCTCTTTCGAACTCTTCATCATCTGTCACACTTGGAACACCTAGTCGTACGGTAAATAGTAGTCAAATACAACTCTGGCAATTTCTACTTGAGTTGTTGACTGATCGAGAACATAGAGATGCCATTCGTTGGGTCGGTGAAGATGGAGAATTCAAACTTAATCAACCAGAAGCTGTTGCACAACTTTGGGGTGCGCGTAAGAATAAACCATCGATGAACTATGAAAAATTAAGCCGAGCTCTACGATATTACTATGATGGTAATATGATCTCCAAGGTCCAGGGTAAAAGATTTGTGTATAAATTTGATGCCGATTTAAAACAACTTCTCGGATATTCAGCTGCTGAGCTTAGCAAAATAGTTGAAGAAGGAAGAAAATATTATTAACTCTAAAATAAATAATTAATCAATTAATTATTTGATTGATTGATACATAGTAATATTTTTAACAGTCAATTTGAGATAAATTTATCAGAAGAATTAAATTGTGGTGGTTAACAGTGTTGTGAACTTTATAAGTTACGATATAAATTATTTATAAGAATAAAAACAATATAAATGACGAACAAGTTACAAATAACTGAAACTATCAGATTCTATTATAGTGTTATTACAATGATTATACTTATGTATTTTTATATAATTATAATACAACAAGCATAAATGGTTCTACATTCAAAACATGTCTGTTATTTTATAAAAAAAAAATAAAATAATCTCAGAGCTACTTGCACAATGAATAAAATTAAATTATCATAATCATTTAATATTGTTCAATTTAACGAATAACTTCCAAATCTTTGATGATCTAATTAGTAACAATGTTTCAAGTATTAATAATTTCGTTAAAGTGTTATCAGTAAAACCATTCATGAGCCACTTGTACAAATAACATATTATTATTAACAATTAATCCATTTAGTCTTGAGCAAGTTGTCTCTGGAAAATGATTTTATACATGAAAGATATGTAAATAAATTGAAATGATAATCTTAAATACATGAAGACAAAGCAAAATCAATGCACTCATCTTTCATTCAAAACTAATCAACAGCAAATTTCTCAATTAAGATTGACAAAAATTTTTGGACATTCACTTAGCCGATCCATCGGAGACGAGACTGCGTTAAAAGGGCCGGTGAACGTTAGCGGTGCCGGACCGGTCGTTCGACCGGCCAAAAGGCAGAACTCATCGCCAATACCAGAGAATCTAGCCTGTGAGATATCGGTCGCGACGTCACAAGTTAGGGTCTCAGGGAACCGGCGAAGCGGCAGGCTTTATATATCGCCTGCTCGCCATTGCCCTTCTCTCTATCCTCTCACGGCCTTTCTTACTCTCATGCACTCTTTATTCCTCTTTCCATACTTCTCATTCTTTCTCGTCTTTCCCACCCGCCCGTTTATAGTTGAGTCTCCAGCGATTCTTCCCCCTTTTTCTTCTCCAACTCTTTCCTCTCATTCTCCTTTATTTTATTTTTTATTATTTTATTTTTTCATCTCTTCAAAACACCGATGCCTCAGAGCATTGTCCAGCGCTGAAGCGTCGACAACTGGGAAAGTTAGCAAGTTGTACAGTGAACTTCATATCTGCTAAAGCAATTACCCGCTATACAACCTACTACCTCACCCAGGCATCGTCGCACTTGAATATTTAACCATCAAAAAAGGTATTTGAGAAAATGTATGAAAATACTTTCCCTCAATTTCAACCTTATATTAACTTGAAGAAAGCTTTATTATTTGTGCTTCCAACAGTATAGGAAAAATAAAAGCTGTCATTAAAATTGTCAATCACATCCTCCTCTTAATATTTTCCTCCTCACAAAGACAAAATAACTGCAATAATAAAAGAAACGTAACGATAAAAATGTTTCAGATTTTTTTTTTTGTTAAATCCATTTGTTTGTTTTTACTTTTATTGTTTTTCTTTTTGTTTCTTTAGCAAAGTGTAAACACATCGTCTACACTGGTGATTGATGCACCAAAGTTCTAGATGAAGCAAACATGTCACAGCGTGAACGAGATGAAAGGTCATAAACGCCGGCCTGACTACATGTACCGGTAGATAGGAGCTTGCGGTATGCATATAAAATAGCCCACAAGTTCGGATCTACGGGTTAGTGTCATCAAGTAGCTGCTTCTCTTGTGTGTCGTCCGCAGATTGACGACTGGATTATAGTGTCTCAGCAGATTGTCTCATATCTCTGGAGGGAGCCAGGTGGTGTGAATTCAGGTTCAACAAGCCTCCCCGTGGACCTAGTAAGGTCACCTGAAAGCAATAAAGGAAAGGAATTTAATTCACGATGACATTTCGTACCATATATATATATATATGTATGTTTCTCTTGAATTATTAGCATGTATATAAGACACTCCTTTTTTTCTCTTTTAAATCTCTTTTATTTCTATTACTTTCAGACGATTAAACTTCATGCAGATTTATTTGATTATCAACGTCATCCTGAAGCTACCTTGAAGCAAAAGAGGAAAATAAGCATTTGGAATATTCAAAAATGATGTCAACTAATTGTGTTGCATTCACGTATTTCAACTTGACTTTAATCATCTATTCTGATTGTAATTTTTGCTAAGTAAATTGCATTCTCTTCTACAACAATTGTATTAAATAATGTCAGAGATGTTTTCTACTTTTTTAATTCTGTGCAAAGATGATGACCACTCGAGAGAAAGAGACTTGTGTCAAACAACTAGTGCAATGAAAAAGCAAAGAAAAATGATGTGTCCCTGCAGGCTCACGCCAATGGCAAGTCAGTGGACGAAGAAAAGGGCCACTGCTGATGGTAATGGCGGAAGAGTAGGAGTGGAAAAAAAGAAGGTGGATCTTGAGAGAAAGAAAAAGACGTAGAAAAATAATAAAATAAAAAATTGAAAAATTAAGAAAAATAAAAAAAGAAATGAAAGTAAAAAAGAAACTGAAGTTGAGAGAAGTGAGGAAGGAAAGAAGAAGTAAAAGATGAGTATAAAGGCAACTCTGCAGAGCTGTTGTAAGAATCTCATGCTGGTCGACGTTTGTAGACAGTGTAATGGCCTCGGTAGATACTTTGCCGCAGGCTAAGCCAGGAATAAGGGCCCGTTTCCAATTGAACGATTAGGTGGTGGTCGCGATACGCATCGTGGTACCACCAAAACTCTTTTTTTCTTTCTTTTCTCGCCCTCTTCTGCATCAGCTAAAATGCTCCTTGGACCCCTTGAGAATCTACACTACATCAAGATACACACAGCCTAAAATCTTCCCAAGTCTGCTCCCAAGACCATCATTATATGTTCCAACTCTACAGCTTATGTTTTCGGTATTTTGAAGGATTAATATTTTTCGCAATCATTGTAATCACGTTTTGGAGTAAAACGATTTCTTTTCAAAGAATTTATCTGAGAATTGCTCAATCTTTAACATTTTATCATACTCTTTTTATTTATCATTAAATATAATTATTAAATCTCACCGAATCTTTCTTTTATATTGTTAACAAAAATTAAAGATACATTTTTAATGTAATTTATTAATAATTAAATAGTTATTTAATTTAAATGAAGTTAACTAATGGATAAAATATTATTTATTAAACAATAGATATCAGTAGAGTTGAATAAATTTAATGTTTGAAAAAAATGATTCATTTAAATATATTTATATATAATGATATAGAAAAAAGGAGCAGAATTAATAGGAGGCTATTGCTAACGAACTTTTTTCGAACGAGGGCATAGTTAAAAATTAGGAGGGTTGGAGAGAGACGAAGCTGAAGGGGGATGAGAAAAAGAGGGGGCGACGAGTAATCACAGGGGCGTTGGATTAGCGGGATAGAGGGGGGCGAGGGAGTTAAGTGGGGAGAATGAGGGTTTTGAGGTACAACCGCCATATTATATTTAGCAAGACGTGCAATTCTCGTGTGAATGAACTTCAGGTGCATATGGACGACTGTATAGATGCCTGATGTTGATGAGCATGCACCTCTTTTTCGGACGGAAAGGAAACCGCGAATCCTTTTTCAAAAATTCCATTGAATTATTTTAAACATAAGAAAAAAAAATGATACAAAATGTGATGTATATAATTGTGGGAAAAATTAAGAAAGCAGAAATAAATACGTTTTTTTTCTAGAATATTACTCTTTTAAAAAATAAAATGAATAAATTTTATATTATTCATTTTTTTTATTATAAATTGGAATTATTTAAAAATATTATATGCATTCCAATGTTTAAATATTTATAAATTATTTTTCTTAATTATAATTTTAAAAAGTTTGTTTTTCATAACTTTTTTTTCTCTTTCAGAAGTAACAACGTGCTAGAATATTCCCAGTATTGTAGACAAAATTCATCCCCGAGTGCAATAAGCTTCAAGAGGGCGCAAATAAAGAAAAGAGTATAATAATAATAATAATAGTCTAAAAAGGATTGAAAGAAATATATTATACACCTATATATAACATGAATGTTTCCATGGCAACGAGTTGTAAAGTACTATATATATACATCCCATCAAGTATAATAAGAAGAAAAAAAAATTGGTCCAAATTTAGTTTGGATCCGGTCAGTTTTAGCAAAAGGGTGATTTTTATTGTTGATAAAGTGAATGTAATAATTTTCATAAAATTATGACTGGATTTTCAGGAGTATTAAATCATCTGGAAATAAATACTCCACTCCAAAACGACTAAATATCTAGTAATATAATTAAGAAGTAAAAATAATCTCCATAGATGAATTGAATTGAGATCATGAGCCAACAGTGAGCAGACTCCAAAAGAAAATTCATCAATTGCAGTTAGCCAAGGTAAGATAGATAAATAATTTAAAGTAAAACTTTGGTGCTTTTTCTAATTTATTTTATCACCAACCATCAATTGTCTATATCTAAAGATAAGACATAAAGGTGATTAATGAAAAAAAATATCAAGTTAGAGGAAGCACCATAGGTAGGTAGTCGAAAACATTATTGTACACTTTTTTCTTTTACAGATCTATCTCCGCCCACTGCCTAGACGAGTTCCACCAATGAATGCCACGCATTCTATTCGTAGAAAGCCGATAGGCTCGCGAGAGTCACGGTTAAACTGAATCACTAGTCCCCCCTCTTCCTCGAGGGGGAGTGGGCCAACGAGACACACTAAATCTTGACTTTTATTTTGATTTATTCCTTACACTATACTTGATTGTTAGCAACTATTCGGTTTGACTTATATTTCTGATCAATTATTGTTCTTTTTTTTTGTTTTTTTTATTGATATTGATATCATATTTATCGTTAAAAAAATATTTATTCTTAAAATATCTTTCTATTTTTTAGATATCAAAGTTTGCATCCTGGACTATGGTGATAAATTTTTAGCTGACATTGTGTGCTAAAATGAATTTTTTGAGCTGAAATATGCGATTAATCAGGAATGTTTTTAGCAAAAATTTATATTATAAGTTGGAGTAAAATTGAAATATTTTAAAATTCCATTCCATAAATAGAGTTATTCTGTTTTTTATGCGTAGAAAAATATTCTAATCATGAGAACATGATTATTAATTATAACATTTTGAAATTGAAAACATCTTAGATGAATTTATATTTAATTATCTAGACTGAGATTGAAATTAGCTGTGAACAAGTAATATCATTTTCAATTAATAAAATCAAAATTTTAAATAGTTGAAATTAAAGAATATTTTTTTGATTCAATTATTTCAAATATTTCCAATGTTTTTTATTAACTAAATGAACATTTTAAAGCTTGAAATATCTCAGATAAGTTTACACTTAATCGTCTAAAAACATTAAAATAGAATAGATGTAATTATGAATGATGTTCCTAAATAAGCTTTAGCTTAAACTTTGATTTTATAAATATATTTATAAAACAACTTAATCTCCAAAGGATTTAGAAACCTAGATCTTAAAACTTGAAGACTAATTAAAGCTTCATCACCTTCACAATTCATTTCACACCAGAATAAATTGATTTCATGATAAATAATATGTAATCTTGAATGAAATGGCAAAGTATGTACTTTAGATAATTGAAATTACAAGGATTACATTATGTGTAAGCATGAAACTCAGTTATACATGATATGATATCCCAATTTAGTTTTAATATCCGGTTATTCGTGTTATTTAATTCTGAGCATGAAACTATATCCGGCAGTGACAAGAGAAGAAAGATTGACATGCATAAAAAGGTAAGTAAAAATACTAACTCCACATGATACTTGATAAATCCACGGTTAATTATCTATTTCAACAACCAAGAATACTCGAGTGTTCATTAAAACACATATCCAAAGTGATAAATACAGTTAAAGTTAATTAATAATATAATCCATTTTCAACTATACAGAGAGAAATGGACTTGAAAAATAATTTATAGAATACTCCAGTTTGATTTATTCACTGAAACTGTCAAAATTGTAATTAATGATTGTTTCAAATGTTGTAAAAAATATTTTTAAATGATATTTCAAATGCTTTTGATAGATTCATATGTCAATAATTTTCAAACTAAATATTCTCAATACAAGTTGTAATATATGAAAACATCATGGATTTGGTTTTGAAAATGTTGAAACAATATTAACTCTGAAGAGGTGAGTTTGGATGTTTACTTTTTTTTATATAAATTCATGTACAAAATATGAAAATGGGTTATAACTAGTTAGCTTCTAGGAATTCATTTTTATATTTTCAGGAATGTTGTTATTGAATAAATATGAAGTTTTGGTTGAATAAACTAGAAATCCAAGGACATTTTTGTTATGCACCTGAACGTTACTAATTCTTGTTTGATTTCAATTAATAATTATATAAATTTTGAGTTCAGTTTTCTTTCGTGTAGAGAAGATGACAAAATAGAAATTGAATGCTAAAATTCAGTGGGAATTGGATCCTGGAGAGACATTGCTTTGGATATACAAATATCTACCTATATGTATGCAAGAGTAACAATATGACACGTTCAACAAATGAAAGTGTGATGGTCCCAGGAGAGAATGAGATGCGCGTGCACGAGGTATTTTCTCATCATCACTACAGACCCCCAGATACACTAGCACACCGTTTGCTTGCAACATACAAGTTAGGTATTGATCTTAGCCGGAACTAGTTTCCGTTTCCGTGTTTCCGTCTACCGTTTTCTATGTACATGTGTATATTATATATAATATAATACATAAACCCTTTCCCCAAAAATATATATGTCTATATAATATAGTATGTATGTACTTAATACATATATATATATATATATATATATATTTCAGACTAAATACACGGAACGTTCACTGGAAGGTCGAGGACCTCTCTCGGGGTGTTTCACCTTAGCTCGACTCTGGAGAAATAAGAAGGAGATGAATGAGAGAAGAACACCAGCAACAATCTAAATAAAAGATCATCTGATGAGCCAAAATTTAAAGGAGCTCTTGTTTAAATTTTAATGACTATGAAATCAATTAGTGTATCATAATGGTTACTTTATTAATGATGTTCTGAAATTGGTGCAATTAAAGATGATGGAGATATCTTTTAATTGGATAATTAAATTTAATTTAGAAATTTTAGTATTATACAAATGATTTAACATGTTTTGTTACTATGAAAAATGCTATTAATGTTTAATTAAATACTCCTGTTAATTTAGTATTAATTAATGTTGTTACATAAAAATTTTTAATTAATATATTTATGTAAAATGTCGTGTTGTTAATAATTAATTGATGTTTTATTCTTTACATTGTATATTATGGACTCTGTTCAAATATTTAAATTGACAGAAATATTCTATGAAAGTATATTTATCTTCTGGGTTCATAAAATATAATATAAGATTAAACTTATTAAAATAATTGAAGATCTTAACGTTATAAATATAAAGAAATATGTAGCTTATAATAGATGTAATAATTTTATTTATATATAAATATGAAGATAAAATAGATAATATAGCTCTCATTTTAATAATAATCTTTGATTAAAGTATCAATTAAAATTTCTTTCAACTTCAATTTAAATTCTTTACTTTACTTTTATTTATTATTCTCTTAATATGTTATCTATATGCATAAAAAAAAAACATTTCTTCACTATAAATAAAAATATAGTTTTTATCAATAACGGTAAAAAAAATATTTTACTTTTGATGAATTGTCTTATCATCATTATTTTATTTAAAATAAAATTGAAATTACAATTAATTAAAAGTATAAATAGTAAAATTGAAATAATTACTTCTACTATCATAAAAAATTTGTTGCCTGAGATAATTTTAATAAATAATAATAATAATAATAATCATTTAGATATGCATTGTACATTTAATTAATGTATAAAAATTATAAAAATAAATTAGTGGTATGTAATATAAATGTGTGTGTGTCTGTGTATGTATCAAAGCAAGTAATCTACGAAATAAATTCACTACTATGCAAACAACCTCTCTCAAGTATAACTTAAATACTGGAACTTAAAATTTTTGCTAATTTTATGGGATTAAACATTGACGTTTACGAATAGTCTACGCATGACTGCACTTTGAAATGAATCAAGGCGGTTGCAGGCGCGACAAGCGGGCGGGAGTAGACACAGTGACACGAACAAAGGAAATGTGATGCGACACGGGACGTGCCACTGGCCTGTGAGTACCTTAAGAGACGTCAATCGATGGACGTTCATAGCGCTTATAGTGCTATGGTTACTTGAATTAAAGATAAAAGTACAATATCAGTATCTTTCATTTCTCTAATTGATCCAGGAAATAAATCCAATTATCAAACCTTCATTTTTTGCATTTTCAATTTGTCTCTTTAATCAGTTTAGATTTTCTTCCATGTATCCAAGTACACATACTTGCTCATATTACATCATATATATTTTTATTCAGCCCACAAGTGTAACTACTCTATTATTTCATCTAAATATTATTCTGCAATTATTTCAAGTCTTTCTTCAATTGTTTCTTTAGATAATAAATAATTATATATATTTTTATCAATAATTCAATTTAATTTGTTTAAATAATTACTTTTTTTTAAAGTCAAATAAATGATTGAATTTGTTGATAAATATTTAATAGTCTAGATAATGATCAAGACTTGATTTTGTTTGACAAGAAGACAATTTATGTGATTCACCATCAGTCTAGAAGAATGCACCACATGATTGTTCACGACCTTGAAGTCATGCAATTACCTGCACCTCTGAACCATCAAGATGAGGCGTATTTTCTCACAAATAAAACAAAATGCCTATAAAACTAACCGCATGGGATAAAATATGTGCTCTTCAGTAGTGGTTGACTCCATCAAGTATTATATCCACCATAAGAATATTACCATAAAATATCACTAATCACTATACTTAAAAACAAACATTAATATTTATTATTATACCACAAAAAGTATCTTTACTGAGATACTATTTTTTTTTTTAATCACTATTTGCTACGAGAAATGAGAATATAATTATAATTTTAAATGTTTATAAATTGTTCTTTTTCTTAGTTTCAATTTTAGATTAGAGGTAAAAAAAAAAATGTCAGTACACTTTAACACTTCACTTGTTCATCATTCATCACATTTAAATATTTATCCATACAGCTTTGATTGATCCAACTCCAAAATTATCCAGAGTATCCAAGTGATGATTAATCCTACTCTCACGTTATATATTTAAACATACACTTTTTGTAAAATTCACTTACAGAGTCCTGCTAAAAGGCTTCACTCATTTTCATCAACACAATCGATAAGTAATTTATAAAATTCACTGTATATTATTCCTTAGATGGTATAAAGTTAAATATTGACTATATTTTATGTGAAATTACAATTATAAATTATCGGAAATGAAGCACAACCACTATAAATTTGAAGAGTCTACTGTTGTTAATAAAAATATAAATTAGTGAAAATATTACAAACAATGGTACCTGACTCACTTTTATGACGTCTAATGAATGGCAAAACAAGTGAAATATCTAATGCAAGAGATGGGATGGCGTATAAAGAATCACCTTCACTAACGAACGTCGGGCTCACGAACTGCGTGCATTCTGCGGTCGCGATGCAATGTAGTGCATCGCCCGGGCGAACGGACGGTACGCGAACAAGAGAAGGACACCAAGTGTCGCGCCAGCGGAGCCACCTTCAGTCTCTGTGCGGAAATCATCAGAGGTACAGACGAGAGCTCAAGTCCCGGAGTAATTTAGTCGGAGAGAATTTCACATTCTAACGAAAAACCAACTCATTAAAATCAAATGTATTAATGGAATTTATCGAGAAATTTTTCCATTGATAGAAATGTAAATAAATATTTATTTATTAATTTATTAATATGTTTTTTTTCTTTATTATATTTTTATTCAATCAGATAAAAATGTCTCGTGGGGTAGAAAATGTAATAAATTAAAATTTTTTTATTAATTTTTAGAATTTTAATTATTTTTTATTAAATAATTTATTTAATAAATTCAGTCGATGTAAAAATAATTTTTTCAATGGGTATAAGAAAATTTTTTAAATATTTATAAATAAATATAGTAGCACTCTAAAGTATTTTAATGAATCTATTTATTACATTAATTAAGAATAAACACGAAATACATAAAATAATAATGAATTTTATATTGTCAGAATATTTTTGAGAATTACTGGATAATATTTTTTATTAAATATAAACAGTCTTCTATTACTTTGAATAATACGAAAAGATTAAACAAAAGATTAATGCTTATCTTATGGGAGAATTTAGACTAAAATTATTATTAATTATTTATTATTATATTAACAGTATTCAATTTAAATGCACTTACATAATGTAATTTTTTTATGATGATTTAAAAAATTGTTATCAAATTAATATAAAAAAACCTCGTTTTAAATTATTAATTAATTATTTGTATTAAAATAAATATTTTATTTTCTAGTAATTTCTAATTTTAATGTACAACAAATTTTAAGAAGAAATTAATCTGAATGCATTTAAATTTATTTGAAAAAAAAAAATAGAATTTATTGATTCTAAAATAAATGTTGATTTAATATTATCGATTTAGATATTAAAAAAAAAAAAATACTATCATCACTATCAAAAGGTATTGTTACCAGCATATCACCTGCTGATAACTCCAAAATAGTCATCTGGCTTTTAAAAAAATTTTTCAAACCCATTTACCTAGATGTTCATGTCATAACTGTCATAACAACATGTATTAATTTCCACGTACTTCAAAGCCAAAAAAAAATCTATAAATTGTGGCTTTAGTATTGCATTACATCCATGCATGTAAGCATATCAATACAAGCTAAAAAAAGAACTTTATCAAAGCAACGGAGTATCGTAGAGTTGTGAGATGAAACTAGATGCACACTTGTTTAAAACAAAAGATATTATTCTCAACATGAGATAAATAATGTCAACGAGTATATTTAATTAGACTTTAAGTTGGAAATAGGAACTCGTGTAATTACAAATGAGTTGCAAAGATGACAATGATGATGATGATGATGATGATGATAATAATGATGACTACTACTACTACTACTATTATTCAAGAGATGACTAAGTAGCATGAGGTGTATGGAATGAGAATCATAGTAGAGAGGGTAATATGCAGGAGGTGGAGCAGAGGGGTGGGGACAATAGAGAAACTCCCTTCCCTTTTTCATACCGTGTACTTCCGGATGAGGTCGAGGCTTCTCACGCGGAAAAACCGAACGACGGGGTCAAACGACGGAGTAAGTTCAGTGACACGAAGGGAATCCACATTTTTGCGAGGAATACGAGCTCTGGCTTTCCCTCTTTTAGGTCTTGGGATGCACCGTTATACCAAGAAGAATATTTCAATATTTTTCCTCTTTTTAAGTCATCAATTTATATTGAAATTCAATTGAAAAGTCATCTTCAATGGTGAATACAGTTGGAAGAATTTTTTTTATATGAAACGATCAATAATCTTGTGAATAAATATTCAAAAAGTGTTATTATTCATGAATGATGTTCAACTCTTTGGTGGTTAGTGTCACTAACCACTTCTTTGTGATTTTTTTATTAAAATATATGTCATCTAGCGGAGCCTTACGGTTGGTCTTTGGACTTTGGACTAAAAAATAATCTATTCAACGATTATTATTGCACTTATACTATTTATTTTTTTTTTCGATGTGTCTACCATTTATCTGAATATTCATAAATATTTTTTACCTAAAAAGAACAAATAAAACAGACACAGTTTGATGAAAAAAATTTAAGGTAATTTGAGATTAGTAAAGCCTAGCATTAAGCCCTAGATTTTTTTTCTACTATCTATAACACTTGAGTCATAAACGAAAATGAAAATTTTAAAATTATCCCTAATGTAATGGATAATTGAATTAATGAATTGATAAATTGTTGTTGATGTTTAATTCGAAATAGATTGAGTGCTGAATGAACTTGTATGATGATGATGTGTTCTGTGTAAAAATATTCTGAGACAAAGGTGCACTATGGTAGAGTATATTGTATTATTTGAATTAGAGAATGCTAATCGATGTTAATTGAAGTTGATTGAATAGGGAGATGTGTATTGAATAGAAGACGGATGCTCCGCCATTTGATTTTGTGTGCACGCGTGCTCGTTCGTCCGTTACACCATATATGCAGTTCTAACTTGGTGTTCAACGCACTGCTAAATGCGGGGGTGAGATGCGTTCGTGAAATCGTCGGTGACGTGGACAACAGAATTGACTACTTTGGTGTGCAAATTCAATCTCAGGGCCGTATTTTTTAGTTAGTTCTGATTTTCCTCGGTAGTCTAACTCGTTCTGATTTTTTTCACTGTATAATTTTTTTGTTTTATTTACTAATTTATAAAAATAAATTTTTACTACTGTCATAATTTATTCATCTTTAATAAACATTTTAATTTGTTTTACTAAATATTTTACTTTTTATTTCTTTATATTTTATAATAAGTTAATTAAGGCACTAATTTAAACTAAAAGTTTCTCAAATGTTAATATTAATTTATTTTCTTTATGTTAAATGGAATTACTGATGGTGAATTGTCCGAGTTTAACAAACCTGAAAACATTTGCAATGGTTAGCTAAAATAAAGGAGAAAGAATGAAAGATAGAGGAGAAGAAACAGAGAGTTGAGTGGTGTGGATTTGTAGAGAAAGAAAGAAAGAAATTATACAGTGATGGGATTGAAAACAAGTAAAATAAAAGAAGTAGGGAGTGAAGCATTGGCTGATGTGCGCCTGCAGCGGAGAATGCAGCAGCAGCAGGAAAGAAGGGCCAGAATAATAAAGTTCGTTGGACGAATTATTTTCTACGTGTTGACTGATGGAGTATGTGTGATATTGGCCATAACTATATACCCCTATAGCTCCCTCGTTATTGTTAAAGAAAAATATCTCACTAACAATCTTGTAAATAATACCAAAATTATTACTAATTAGTTACTAAGGTAATTTTAGAAAAGAAAATTGGTGTGACTTTGAGGATAATCATTTGCAATTTTAAGTAGAGAGTTGAAGGATGTAATTTTCAACTGTGTTGCTTGTAAATGGAATTTTTGATTATTATGTTCGTGTAAAGAAAATTTAATGAATGTAATTAATAGGGGATTTTAAATAAATGAATGGTTTATATTTTTTAATAGGGAAAATTGGGAACATATAGGGTATGCGGGGTAAAATAGTATAATAGGAGAAAATTTTATAACAATTTTTAATAGTTAATTTACGGTAAAATTTACTAGGAAGAAAAATTAAAAATCACTAGGGTTTTTTTTTAGTAAAAGTAGCTAAAAAATACTTTGTAAAGAATACTGTTCTGGTTAGTAAAAATTACCAAAAACTGAGTAAACATTTCTATTTTGGTAATTTTTACCAAGCAAAACAATATTTGTTACTAATAATTTTTCTAAAAACTATTACTAATCAAAAGAGGCCTTTCTATTAAATATTGTACCTATTTTAAAATTGTTTTCCCCCAGAAAACTATGAGTCACTAAATATTAAAAATGATAGCGATGGCTCTAGGATATTTATAAAAGTATTACAGGTGGAATATATATAGAATTTAGGTGCATGATTCTTTCAAATTTACGAGGAAATATATATTAGAAGAATTAGATGTGAGGAATAATAAATACAGTGAATAGTGTCGTGAAGTTAAAAAAAGTAACTAGTAAAATAGACGACGGCCATTTGCAGCAACGAATCGAGAGATTTTTATCAGTATTTATGGTCTCTCAGGTCTAGGCAATTGAAAGACGATCGATATGCTTTGTAGAAAACTTCCTTGAGTGCAGTGTGCTATTATATGCACAGATTACTCGAAAAAAAATTTCATTAATTCATGAAAGCAACACATGGGAACTTTAATAATTTAATTGCATTTAAAATCAGCATTTTTAGAACTAATTCCCTTTTCTTCCTTAATAGATTAAAAAATAATAATAAAACTATTTATTATATTATAATATTTAAATAGTATAAAAAAATTTTATCAACAAGACAAGCTCTGGTCTATTATTAAATAAATAAATATTAATTAACTAAGTTTGAATATAAAAACGATTTTTTTTTTGAAGGGAAAGTTCACAAAAAGTCAATTGATAAATATAAAGTAATATGATAATTAAAAATAATTATGTAAATTATCCAATTAAAAGTTAGATAATGTTAGTGACCCTGAGAAGGGTTAAAAACAACAAACTGGTAGCCGACTATTCAACCACGATGGCTTTATAAAGAAGAGAATATATTCCACTTTATACTTGACATGACGGTGCTTCACAGGGTGCACACTACCTCTTCGTGCATCTCCGACCTACTTCGGCCTTCATATTGATCACGTGGCTTGCCGCGATATTCGCGAATATATTATGCGAATTTTAGTTGCTAGCGCCGCAAGATACCAGTGGAGGAGTTGATATTATAAAATATATTGTGTCATTATTAAAGTGCCAATTTGTGATCATTTTTGCATAAATTTTATCACAACCATCCATTATTTTCTAACGTCTTAATACGGTCTGTTGATAAGAGCTTTTTTTTCGCAAGCATCAACACTCTTCTTTTAGATAGGAAAAACG